AATCCCACCCTCTCATCCTCGGTTCTGGTATTAACCATCAGTAACTCATTTCATCTTTTTGCGCTTTCTCGGCATCAAGCTATCGTTGCAGAAGACAGACGATTCGAGATTCTAAATAAGATAATACGAAAGGAAAGAAGGATCGAGACAGGATAGAATAAAAGGGGGTGTGTTTATCTAGGTTGCCGTCATATTGGCCTTAGTCCGATCTCTGTGAGTTGTCTCTTATCTTAGGTTGTGGATCGCCGTTGTGTTGCTTTTTCATCTGGCCGTTCAGTGGGTAAGTAAGAAAGAGCGTGACGGGGATGAGGAAGTCTTTTTTTTTCCTTTGGGGGTTTCATCAGCAGCCCAGGGTGAATTATCTCAGACGGTGGCGCAACTCATGACGGACCATCGAGATATTGCCAGAGATGTTGAAAAAGGGCGGGCGATAAAAAAGGACCAACCTAGATAAACCAGGAGCTAACTAACGGTGCGGTGCGGGTTGCCCCATTTGCAAGCCAAAGCAGTCAAGCAGCAGCAAGCAGCAGCAGCAGCAAAAAAGTAGCAGCAGCTTCTTTTCCTCTTCCTCCTTACTACTACTACCTGGACTAGTAAGGTATCGTCTCCGTCCTCCGCCTCTGCCTCCCACATTGGCTGGCTTCCTTACCAACCATCCCTCTCTCTCACCGTCGACATTCACCGCACACCACCACCCCATTCCGTGAATCCAGACGGCCTCGCCCATCCACCGCGTCTGTCCTCCTCATCTTAGCCGCCTCACCTTCTCGTTCACTTCCACTCCATCCTCATTCTCTCCCTCCCTCCCTCCCTCTCTCTCTCAGAACACCCAATCGGTCTTCCCCCCTCACTCGTCTCCTCCCTCCCCCTGGTTCACCGCATCTCCTGCTTCTCCTGTCCTCCTTTCGGCTTCCGACAGACGACCTTCCGTGATTCTCTGCACCTTCTCTCCCGCAAACTTCACGGTTCTTCAAAGTTTACAACATGGTTGTGGCAACAATTAAGTGCGTTGTTCTCATCATCTTTATCCCTTTCTCTCCGCAATCACTTTTCCCCCTCCTCTCTTTCCCCTCCCCCCATTTGAATACACCCCCCCTCTATCCTGTCCCTTCCTTCCCCTTTCTCCGTGCAAACCGAACACATTCATTCATTCTTTCTTTCTTGGAGCGGCAGGTTGCTAACCATAGTTTGACTTTTGTCGCAGATGCGTTGTCGTCGGTGACGGTGCCGTTGGCAAGACCTGCCTTTTGATCTCTTACACGACGAACAAGTTCCCTTCCGAATATGTTCCCACGGTGTTTGATAACTATGCCGTCACAGTCATGTAAGTTAGGGATCTCCTATCATTGAACACGATTTACATATCGGGACTCTGTCGGAGTGCGCTATATCACACTGCCAATAGCGTTATTGGTGCAACCCAATGTCGCTGGCTCGACGAATGCGATGGCGTCTGTGGACAAATATCGGAATCTGGAACTGACTCGAATCCGTTGCGCAATAGGATTGGCGATGAGCCCTACACTCTGGGATTGTTTGATACTGCTGGTCAGGAGGATTACGATCGTCTTCGTCCTCTTTCGTATCCTCAGACGGATGTCTTCCTCGTTTGCTTTTCGGTCACTTCGCCTGCCTCCTTTGAGAACGTACGCGAAAAGTGGTTCCCCGAGGTGCACCACCACTGCCCCGGTGTCCCCTGCCTGATCGTGGGCACCCAAACCGATCTTCGCGACGATCCCGCTGTCCGCGAGAAGCTTGCCCGCCAGAAGATGCAACCGATTCGCAAAGAAGATGGAGACCGTATGGCCAAGGAGCTGGGCGCAGTGAAATACGTGGAGTGTTCTGCCCTCACGCAGTACAAGCTCAAGGACGTCTTTGACGAGGTTAGTGTCGCGCCACATCCCGCGTCGTCGCATCCACTCACACATGTCGATTCTAGGCGATTGTTGCCGCGCTCGAGCCCGCTCCTAAGAAGTCGAAGAAGTGCGTCCTGCTGTAATTGATCCCGGGATCTTACAGGGCAGGCCCGTACGCTCCGGAGGGTTCTAGGCCTGTCATTGATGCATCGCAGACACGTCGTATGATTTTGGGAGACTGAATGTGCTTTACCTATGCAATATGGAGTTTTGGGGATTCTTTCGTACAAAGGTGGCTGGCTTCTTCGATCGACGTCTGACTTGACATCCTGTGTCCGTTCACTGATTTTTGAGTGAATACACATCTTACAACCCGTAACACCCAAGTGTGCTCTTCCCTCTTCGCTCGGTTGTCTCTGCGCTGCTGAGCCCTGTCTACCTCAAGCAGACCTGCCATCGAGAGCTCTTCCTCATCATTTCATCGGAACCTCTTGTCTCCCGACTTTCGTCTCGTCCTACCTGGCCAGCGTCGTTTCTTGATCCTCCTACCTCCATTCCCTCACTGTGTCCCTTCCACCTTTTTCCCCCACTGTCAATTTCTTATCCCTAAACTTTCCCCTTTCCGCTTTCACCAACACGTTTCCACCCACCCCACCTTTTCTCTTCCTTAAACCTCCCCTTTTACTCCCTTTCTAAACTCTCATCGTCCCTATCGGCGTTGGAAGTCGAGGCGTCTTGTTTTGGCTGGCTGATGGTTTTTCTTACTTTTCTTTTCTATATTTTCCTCATACTCTGCGATCTGTTATCGTGCCGATCCCCCCCGTCCCAAATTTGCTGTGCAATTTGTTCTCCTGAGCTGCAGCCCTTCTACTTATTTTCTTATCTTCAAAGCCTGGACTAGATAACACAGATACAATAGTGATGACCAAGTTACTTTTATATATTATGGTTAGATGTTGCTGTTGCTGGTTCGTGAGGTCATAATTGATCAGTCTGGCCTATATAGTACTATGCATTTGCTGATAATGAAATCACTTATTCAATTGTTCGATTGAACTAATAGTAGAAGTACTTAGGAGCATGCTATCCGTCTTCACTCTTACTTCATGATGTACTTGCATCAGTATTAACTCACTCGTTCATTATACATACATACATACACATAACTTCATATCGCATACTTCATTCACAGCTCATCCTTGGCCTCCTTCTTCTCCACGGGATCCTCTCCCTCCTCAACAACAACAGTCTCCTCCACAGGCGTCACCTTCCGTCCATACCATCCACCCAACTCTTCACCCGCTCCAGCCTTGACCATGCTAGTGATGATCTCAAAAGCCACCTGAGCTGCAGCCAAGGCAGTGGTCTCGCCCTTGTTGTCATAGCTGGGAGACACCTCGACGATATCCGCGCCGACAATGTTCAGCTTCTCAATTCCGCGCAGGATGCGGATGAACTCGCGGGTCGTCCAGCCACCGGGCTCGGGGGTACCAGTTCCGGGGGCAGTGGCAGGGTCCAGGACGTCAATGTCCACGGACAGATAGACAGGCTGGTCGGAATCCAGACCGATGCGCTCGATGATGCGGTTCACGATGCCCATTGGGCCGAGGTCGTCGATGTCGTCGGCGTGGATGCGCATGAATCCCTGCTCCGGTCCAGGGTTGGTGTAGTCGCTGTCGTCGACGCCGGTCAAGCGTGTGCGGAGACCAGCGTGCGCAGAGGTCGAGTTGCAGATTAGACCCTCGCGGCTGGCTTTGTGGAAGAAACTGCCGTGGTTGAAGTGTGCTTGCTCGGAGGTCCAGTAGGCTGAGTAGCGCACTGGGTTCCAGGTGTCCAGGTGCGCGTCGAAGTGCAGTACCGTGATGGGCTTCTGGTAGATTTGGTACAGCGCGCGGAGGGCTGGGAGCGCTACACTGTGGTCGCCTCCCAATGTGACCAGCTTCGATTTGCCGGCTGAGATGCCCTTCGTGCCGTACTTGGAGTCGGCGGAGGTCAGGGCCGGCCGCGAGCCCAGTTCCAGGAAGGCTTCGTACATCTGGCGCTCCGCGACGCCATTGTCGAATGGTGTGATCGGGATGTCGCCGCAGTCTTTGACTGTCGCCCAGGAGGCGTAGGGGTTGATCCCCGCTCGGGTGTTGTAGCTGGTGCCGGCCATTTGGCGGGCGCTAGCAGCCCGGATGGAGCGCGGACCAAAGCGAGCGCCTGGATGGGGGTGTTAGTGGTTTTGAGAGTGTTATTTGAGATTATTGGGTGTTCTTACCTGGCCTGTAGCTGACAGCCGTGTCGAAGGGGGCTCCGATGACGGCGATGTCGTACCGTTCGTCGGGTTCGATCAGGCATTTGACTGGCTTCAGGTGGGCAAAGCTGGCAATGCCGGAGAAAGTGAACTGCAATGGTGTGTGAGTGTGAGTGCGAAATGAATGGATTGGAATTGGGGCGCCTACCTCCTGATCCCATTTCCTCAGCAATTCCTCACGCACATGCTCTGGCACCTCTTCGTGGTCATGGTGAGCGTGGGCGAAGGCCGTACCAGCCAGCGCCAGGCAAGCAGCCCAAGTGAGGGATCTCATGACGAATTTGAGGGCCTCACTCGAGTTGTATTGGGGGTGTAAGGGAGATGGGGAAGAGAAGAGAGGAGGGGAAATTCGGAGCAGCAATCGGAGAGGTCTAAATAGCGGTGGTAGTTGCGTTGACATAAAAAATACATGCCATGAATAGAATAGTAATAATAATGGCTACTGGGGATGATGGGCCTATCTTCTTATCGATAGGGAGATTGACCCCCATTGGCCAGTATACAGCCGTAAAGGGAAATATCTATGCCTTGTGGCCTAGCGTCACTGACGTCGTGCGGACCTTCCCTTTTTGGTCAACTTCTTCATCGTCTCAATGCGGAAGGAACACCCTTGACCCCCCATTTCTCGCCTCGTCCATTGGCTGCGTTGAGCTTCACCACTTCATCTTTTCTATCTTCTTCCATCCATTCATTCTAGCCTCTCCCGCCTTTCCCCAACATCGGTATAGCGTCGCGGGAGTTTGGACCTCCATTACGTCTGAAGGCTGCGGAGACCGACCACCCGCAGCAAGACTACCCGTGAAATACCTCGACCACAGTAATCACGTACCGTGTATCCCCAGAATGCCATGCGTCGTGTTGTCGTGACTGGTCTTGGAGCAGTGACACCTCTAGGAGTAGGTGAGTGATGTCTCCATGTGCACCTGAGCATGTCCCAAAGAACCTCGTCAAGGCCGTGGTTCTACCATCTTTTTTTTCGGTCTCCAGCGTCTCCACTTCTACTCTTCCGGAAAGGGAAGGTCTTGCACTACCTCATATTCATGCCCAGGAAGGCAACTGTACACGATCAATCAATCCTCTTGCTACTATTGCTAAGTAATCTTCCGTAGGTTTCCGTCGTACTTGGAAACGTCTCCTGGATGGTCACTGTGGCATCGTCAATGTCAACCATCGCGATGCCAGATTTGCAGATCTGCCATGCCAGATCGCAGCAGTGGTGCCGCAAGGTGCACGAAAGGATGGATGTTGGACGGCTTCGGAGTGGTTAAGTCGAGATGTAGGCATTCCATAGTGCTTTCTAGATTTGTAACTGATGTCCTTGCAGGATGAGCGCAAGATGGCTCGCTTCGCCCAATATGCCATGGCTGCGTCGGAAGAGGCCCTCGAAGACTCGGGCTGGAAGCCTACAGAATTTGAGAAACGAGAAGCTACTGTATGTATTGTCGCTGCTTATCGATATGACATCTCTAACTGTATGCCAGGGAGTCTGCCTTGGATCAGGCATTGGCAACTTTGACGAGGTTTACGACACAGTCGTTGCATATGACAAGGGGGTTAGTACTAGCATGTCTACCATTCAATTACCGTGCTGACGAGCCATAGGGATATCGCAAAGTATCACCTCTGTTCGTGCCTAAGCTTCTGATCAATCTCGGGGCTGGGCACATTTCCATGAAGTATGGATTCATGGTAAGAGAAGTTCCTTACTACTGCTTTTCCTCGGGGCTAATGGTATAGGGCCCAAATCACTCAGCAACAACGGCTTGTACAACTGGGGCTCATTCCATAGGCGATGCTGCTCGCTTCATCGCGTTCGGTGATGCAGACGTGATGCTGGCCGGCGGGGCAGAGTCTTGTATTCATCCGCTAGCTGTCGGAGGTTTTGCTCGGGCCCGCAGTTTGGCTACAAGCTTTAACGGCTCGCCAGAAAAGGCATCAAGACCTTTTGACTCGGATCGGGAAGGCTTTGTGGTCGGTGAAGGCGCGGCAATGTTGGTCTTGGAGGTATTTCAAAGCAATTGGTTACGATGGGACGTTTCTAATCATTTGTCAGGAACTCGAACACGCAAAAGCCAGAGGAGCTCGAATTTATGCCGAATTGAGAGGCTACGGCTGTTCTGGCGATGCACACCATATGACAGCACCTAAAGAGAACGGCGAAGGCGCGTTCCTAGCCATGAGGAAAGCTCTGAAAAACGCCGGACTCCCACCTTCCGCGGTCGACTATGTCAACGCTCATGCCACTTCAACTGTTGTCGGTGATGCAGCAGAAAATGCTGCCATCAAATCCTTGCTCCTGGGACCGGGAGGGAAGCAACGGGCGACGGAAGTTAACATCAGTAGCACGAAGGGAGCCGTCGGCCATTTGCTCGGTGGTGCAGGCGCCATTGAAGCTTTGTTCTCAGTTCTCGCAGTTAACGAGGTAAGCGGCCCTGACATAAAATATAAAACACTGCTAACGCCAAGTCTAGGATGTGATGCCTCCGACCATCAATCTGGAGCGGTTGGCTGATGGGTTTGACTGCAACTATGCCCCGAAACAGGCCCAGGAGCGCACCATTGACGTGGCTTTAACGAACAGTTTTGGATTTGGGGGGACGAACAGCAGTTTGTGTTTCTCGAAGCATGCAGGGTAGGCGGATTTTGTATCATATGATATTGGCGGGTTTGCATATTGCATTGCATTGTATCAATAAACATGTACCACAAGGGCGGATGTAACTGCCAGTCACATTGGAGTAACACGTTTAACTGGCCAACGTGGTCAGTGACAGCTATTTCACATAATCAAGCATGTAAGAGGGTTTTTTTCTCACTCAACACCATCATGAAGAATAGTTATGTTAATTCCTAAGTAAGCCGACTTGAACCCATCAATCGTCCTTCCTTGCTTATTACCCACTCACCGCAGCCTCATCCACCGCAACAAAGAAATCAACCGAAACACAGGCACCACAACACTTCAAAGATACCTCATTAAATCTTCATTCATCATTCAAACTAACCTCTCCAGGCGAATTGATTTTGTGCCAATAACCCAGGCGTTCAATCCCCCTCCAACCGACCTCCACCTAACTGACCACCCACGTGACCTCCCCAAATGCGGAGCGCCCCGGACTGTGAGTGAGTGAGTGTGCTCAGCGCAAGCCTCGACCAACTAAGATACCGCACTCCCAGCAATCACCGTCCCCCTTTTTTACCACGGTCGGAGCTAGATACATAGCTTTAATTCTAATTCTATCCTATTCCGTTTCTATTTCCTGACGATATCGCTTCTTAAATCCGACCGTCGATAAAGAGCGCGCGCGTGTGTCCGTTGTGGGTAGTCGGTCGTTTCGTTCATAATCATGGCTACTGCTACCGGCGGCAGAGGTCCGTTATAGGCAACCCCCCTCCCCTCTCCCCCGATAATGTTCCCGCGCAATGGTTTTAAGGGCAACCACAAAGGCACACACCTTTTCTTTCTACGATCGACGCTAATACTGGTGTTGTAGCGTCCTCTGCCTCTTCTACCGCGGCGGGGAGTCTGGTCGATGCGTCGGGATATAAGTATGCCGAGAAGGATATCAAGCCTGGGAAGATCAAGTTGAAGAAGTCGGCGGCGAGTGCTGCTAAGTCTGGGAAGAAGAAGGGTGATGGTTTGTTTCCCTGCTTCCATTCTACCCTCCCAGGGATGGGTGGTTTGGTGTCATGTCATGCTGATGAAGTTGTTGCGCGGTTTATAGTGCCTGAATCTCCCGGTTCCTCGTCGCCTATATTACCCGATATCGATGAAAAAACTATGGCTGCGTTCCCGACGGGGAAGCCCCGCGAAGAAGATCATCTCGAGACCGTCATCTGTAAGACGTGCAAGAGGCCGGTGTTGAAGCAAAATGCGGTGGAACATATACGTGGTTGTATTCGCGCGAAGCAGGAGAAGGCCAGGAAGAAGAAGGAGGCGAGAGATGCGGCGAACCGCGCAAAGGAGAAGGGGGATAAAGATGGTGATGAAGATGTGGGTGCTGGTGAGAAGGGTGAGGGGGCTGGTGACGATTCGATGAAGGGTCAGAAGAGTGCGAAGAAGTCCGCTGTTAAAGGGATGGCGGAGGATGGGACGAAGAAGGGCAAGAAGCGCAAGACGGAGGCCGGGGAGGATGATAAGGACAAGGAGCCGAAGAAGAAGAAAAAGAAGGAGGAGCCGAAACCCAAGGTGCCGAAGCCGAAGGGTCCTGTTGATGTTGAGAAGCAGTGTGGTGTTACTTTGCCGAATGGTGCGCAGTGCGCTAGGTCGTTGACTTGTAAAAGTCATTCGATGGGCGCGAAGAGAGCCGTCCCGGGGCGTTCGTTGCCGTATGATATGCTGTTGCAGGCGTATCAAAAGAAGAACCAGGCGAGGCAGCAGAGTAAGTGGTCCCGTGGCTTATGGAGCCCGAGTCTGGACTGGATTGGGACGGTGCTAATGCTGGTTATCTACAGAGGCTGCTATCGATGCGAATGCTCCGCTGCAGGATGATCTGGATAATAATGGGCCTGTCGACTCGGATGAAGAGAAAGACACTGTCATGGCGGCCATCTCTCGATCTCATCCATACCCGATGGTGACTCATACGTTAATCTCGACGAAGAAGAAGTACCAATATGTGCGGATCAAAGAGATGCTATCTCATGCATTGGGCGGTTCCCGGGGTGGTGGGCTTTTCTCGACAGGGGATACTCTCTCCTCTCCATTTCCGGATGGTGGCAGCCTGTTCACCCCTGTAGAGGAGGTATCGGTGCCCGAGCCTATGGCTGTGGATGAGCCGGAGCCGGTAGAGTCGCAGGAGAATGCAACAGATGCTGGTGCGAAGACACCTGCACCTGAAGCCAAGAAGGTGCCTGTGGCGGCTAGCTCGTAGAGCTCTCGCTGGTAACGAGTGATGAAAGCCTCCCAGGATCGGATATACATATAGCCCGCTTACGGGCAGGGAGTTTGGGCGATGCTTGATGGCGTTTCTGGAAGGGTTCTGGGTCTTTTTGGTTTGCTGTTTGATAAAGATACCCCGCGCTCAGTCTTACTGGCGTGCATTATTGTAAATTAAGTCGGTGCTTCTTTGGCCGTATTGATAGAATGCAATTGATACTGCATGTTAAGCCGTTTTCCTTCCTTGATTGTTGGGTAGTACATCAATGCATAGCCTACTACATTTACTTTTGCGTGCATGAAATTCAATAAAAACGCCATTCTCCACCGTAGTATCGCATTGTCAGGCGACAAGAACGGCAATGTGATGCCTCAGGCCACAGAGTATCTCCGAACCTCCGCAGATGGGAGTCAAAGCTACCTTCGTTGCCTCAATGCGCCTGCTCTCATTTTCCTGACGAACGCCAACTCACCACCACCACGCCCCTATACTATTCTGCTTCTACCCACCTACTGCGGAACACCTTATTGCGCCCTGCGCCTGCGGGCGAGAAGCTCTAACTACCACTAGCGTGACCACCATTTCTCCAGACCATTGTTCCTCACAACCTCACCCACTCCTCCTCCCCTCCACCCAATACAGAAATATTTAGTCCGACTACCATGGGCAACTCAGTCCCCGATCTCGATGCCGTAGGCATCAAAGCCGATCCCGACCTCGCCGACCAATTCCGTCGCGAAGTCGCCTCTCTGCTCGGCCGCAACAACCTCAACTTCCCCGGCGCGCAACCCGTCAGTTTCTCGACACGGCATCTGACCGAGCTCCAACGAGAAGATTACTACGTGTGCGAAAAGACCGACGGAATCCGATGTCTTATGTACTTTGCGCGGGGCGAACCGGATTCCGACACTCCTGAAATTCACTACTTGATTGATCGCAAAAACGACTACCGCTACGTCCCGGGCTTGCACTTTCCCTTACCGGACGATGACACGTTCCAGCGCTTCCATGTCGATACGCTGGTCGACGGCGAGCTGGTCAATGATACCTACGAGGATGGCACGCAGCAGCTCAAATATCTTGTGTTTGATTGCTTGGTGCTCGATGGGCAGAGTTTGATGCATCGGACATTGGATAAACGGCTCGCGTATTTTAAGGAAAAGGTGCTCAAGCCGTATAATGCGCTGTACGATCGGTTTCCCGAGGAGAAGCAGCATCGGATCTTTGCCGTGGAGGATAAATCGACGCAGTTTAGTTATGGCATTGAGATGATGTTTCGGGATATTATCCCCAAGGTGAAGAAGATTCATGGTAATGACGGTCTGATTTTTACTTGTCGGAGTACCCCCTATCGCATCGGTACGGATGAACATATTCTCAAGTGGAAGCCGCCCAGTGAGAATACTATCGATTTTCGAATGCGCTTGGAGTTTCCCCTGCTGGAACCGGATTCGGATGATGAGGCTGAGGGTGTTACGGAGCCGTATTACGATTATGATGCCTTGCCTATCTTTCATCTGTTTGTTATGCTCAATTCGAATGAGTACCGCCCCTTCGGGGAGATGTATGTCTCGCCAGAGGAGTGGGAGAACATGAAGGCGTTGCAGCAGCCACTGGACGATGCGATTGTGGAGTGCGCTCAGGATGAGCAGGGTCGCTGGCGGTTCCATCGCATTCGGGATGATAAGGCGGACGCGAATCATATTTCGACGGTGGAGAAGGTGCTAGAGAGTATCCAGGACCGGGTGACGGAGGAAGATCTTATTCGGGTAGCTCCGGCGATTAAGACGGCGTGGAAGAAGCGACAGGCGCAGATGTCGGAGCGGGGAAGACCCGGCAGTACGGCGCAGGTTAATGGGAGTAATGGAGTGAAGCGGAAGTTTGAGGACTAGGGGGAATGATGCTACTAAGGGGTGGTGATGCTTTGACTGATTCGGTTTGCGAGGCGTTTGGCGTTGGTCGACGATGGGGATGTCTCATCCCATATCCTGGGGGGGTGTTGTTGTAACTATGTATAGATAATCAGAGATGGGCAGAGAGGATTAAGGCTAAACCGGGTTGGGCGGGTTTTGTATAATGCAATGCAATTTTTTTTTACTTTAAATATTTGGCTTAACTATGGAGAGTATCTGTAGAACTTCACTAGATGCCACTTTGGCAAGGATATCCTCAATCCACTATCATCATAAACTCTGCACTACTGTCAGACGATGTAAATCACATATATTATCATGCATTAATTGACATCTAGTATACAACATAGGGGGTATGTAAAGAATTCCCCCAAGTCACTGCACCAACGCCATCACTCAAGCCACTGCAACCTGGCGCAGCTGACTGACTTCCACATAACTTTCTACAACAGTATGGAGGAGTGATAGCTGCTAGATACTTACCCCATACTTACGTATCCAGCCAACAACGCACAGAGCCTCGCAAGCCCGGATTGGAATGTGGAGATAGGCACATACATGTAGAGCCGATCATGCAACTCCATGACTAGTAGATAGTACTTTTAGTGGCACTGACTATATGCTTTTTCGGGCCATAGCATGATAGGGGTGGGAAATGGTTCATCCATTCCATCCGGAGTAACTTGACCAGCAGGTTGGGTCGAGCTTATTCGTGAAGGAGCATGCATGATGCTCGCTCGAGCTTCGGAGTATCTAGATACCTCGTATCTTTTTTTTCTTTATTTATTTCTATACTTAAGTACTTGATGCTTGCTCACTTACTTTCTTGGGGATTGTTTGTGTTACACGAAGAGAGAGTTCGGGTACGAGGGATGGATGGGGGGGGACGGATGGGGTAATTGTGGAGGTCTCCATGTTTGTAAGAGTAGTTGGGTTGATAGTATGTATGGAGTAGTACTTTGGAGGTAAGTTATTTGGGTGATTACGTTGCGATGGCTGGCTGGATGGCTGGCTGGCTGGTTGGAAATGAATCCAGGGGGGGTGCAAGATGAAGCTGTGGTAGTAGTAAAACAAAGCAGGGGTTGCTTGGTGTTGACAGGGCTTTTACTGAAATGAGTTGGATGGGGTGGGTTTGGAGTGTTGTTCTTTTTTTGCCACGGAGCAAATGGAAATAGCAATCCTGTGGGATGAATGGATGGATCGAAGGATTGGTGGGTTAATCTGAAGAGGTAAAAAGTAGTACTTGGTCGTAATTCGTACTTCTGTAGGACTGGTTAGTGCTGTTAGTGGTGTTTCTAGAAGGTGAGGTGTCCAAGGCATGGGGGGATGAGAGATCACATCATTCATGAAGAAGGATTGCGTGGTCTGATCCATTCATGCTCCATCCATCCTACAGTACTTGTAATAAGTCGCCACTGAAACCTCCCTAATGAGTATTGAATCACGTATCTAGAATGGAAACGGATATTCTGCACGATGGAGTAATCTCGGGCTTTCTTCCTCAGCAGCTACACTAGTTCTAACTATCTAGTATTACTCGCTGCCTTTCCCGGAACTCAGGCTGAATGCCCCGAAGTCGATCACTAGAAAAAAAAGGTATGGGGGAAGTACTCCGTAGTTGTGGTAAGTATGGAGAAAAGAGTCGAACAGTTTCTAAAACCACATGAAGTAACTCCAGCCATTGAACTAGTCAGAAACTGACCCTTGTTTTCTCCACATCTGCACACGTAACAGTAAGCTAGTCTAGTGTGCATCTGCTTTGCTTTCCCCAAATCCACCCCCAACTCCATCCCCATCCCCATCCATCCCCATCTTGTCTTTCTCCGGGCTGAGCTCTTTTCCCCAGCCAAAAATAATAAAAGAAAAAAAGGTCAAACCATTCCTTCATTTCAGTCCCCGGGACAGTTTCCGTCTTTCCGTCCTTCCGTCCAAGCATGCCCACTCAGTCCTACCATACCATTCGCCTTGCCCAGACGTAGCAAAGCAGTTGGGGTAGTAGTATTCCCATCGTTATGTGTGGTTCTGGCCTGGACCCGACTTTCTGGGTCCATCTGCCGTAGCCTGACTCCGGGGAGGGTGGAAGGGTGAGGCGGTTGTTCCTTTTTTCTTTTTTCCACCTTTTTTTTTTCTCTTTTCTTTTTGGTTTCGGTTTCGCCTCGCAACGGGAAGGGATGGTGGATGTATCCTTCCATCCAATCCTTCCTTCTCGCTCTCCTTTATTCGGTAATACGTAGCTATTTATTGCTTAGTAGAGTGGTAGGTGTACCTGAGTCGTAGTGGTAGTAACTAAGGAAAGGTATTTTAGGCGGGTATTTCTTCTTGCTCTGCCTACTTTTTTTCTTCCATCCTTTTCTCTTCAGACTTGCCTTTTCTCTTGGAGTACTCGGTTCCTGGTACTTTATTGTTTATATCTCTCCACTCTGCTCCGTACAAGTGAGGCAGTTTCTATAAATCATCACCATCCACCACCCACCACTATAGTCAGCACCAACAACCAAGCTATAGAATACACAGACAATAGTAAAGAGAAAGGAAAAAGAGAGAGAGAGAGGTAAGCCAATTATTCCCTCTTTCTTTTTTTTTTACCCTTGCACAACACACCATCACAATCAATACAACACGGACATAATCCTCGGCTAAGAGGAGGGATTGAGGACCCTCATGAGCAAATAACTGGATCCATCCATCCATCCACTGATCTATTCCTTTTACCTCGGCGGTTTTCGGAGCAAACCACAAGATATCTTTACTCCGGAGGATCTATATCGGCATACATCCCATCCATTTATCACATATGATATTTCTCTTTTCTTCTTTGCTTCTTCCCACTCGGTTATATATATGTTCTACATATGCACATGCAGGACACAGATCATTGACATGAATCTACTACTATAGGAACATACCTCACTACTTATATAATCTCTGTTCCTGATCACTATATACTACTACTTCTTTACACATCCAACAACTTCACACCTATCTTCCTTCCTCTACACTGAAAGAAAGTGAAGACAGACAGACAAACAAAATGTCTCCCTCCCGCTGTCCAACTCCACCATCCACATCCACATCAACAACATCTACATCTACATCAACACGGAGACCTCACCTCTCCCTTCCTCTCTCCCAAGATACCATCTCCCGCGCCATCCTCTCCGCCTCAACACATATCCCCAAGGCAATCACCATCGACACTACCACTACACATCCTACTTCTCCATCAACACCATCATATCACACAGAAGGGAAATCACCCCTAGATTGGGAATTCCCCCTGCCGCCACCACCGCCTCCTTCGCCCGTGGAGATGAGGAGGTTTTGGGCTTGAATTCCTCTCTTATATGGATGAAGTTAGGTTCATTAGGGAATGGGTGTGATGGGTGTTGATCCATTTCTATTATTTTTTGTTGAATTGATATTCATGGGATGGGGTTTAGCGTTGGTTTGGTTTTATTTGGATAATTGCATCTCATGGATGGACGGAACTGGGTGTTTGGTGATGTGTGATTGATGGGTTTATTTTGTCTCTGTGTTCGGGTTTGATTATCTAGGTCTTTGTATTGGGTAGCTAGCTAGCTATTTGTTATTTGAAGTTACAGGGGAATAGATGTGTATACTATTACTCGATCCTAATGATAGAGTCTTTACTGTAATTTGGTATCTCCTTCATCATAAGAAGTATAGTATACACAGGACATTATAGTATATAACCAAGTATGATACAATCCATCTACTGCATCAAATCGACGCTATCACATGCAGGGATTACCAAAATAATAATAACCAAGATTTACCATCAAATCAAGGATGTACCTTGCAGCTGCTAAGGAAAGAATCCCGCTGACGCCATTGCGCCGCAAACCGGTTCGTACAACGCGCATCAACTGCCCTATTCAGGTCGGTCGAAACTTTCCCGCCGAGGATTCTGACTTGAGTGATCTGTTCTGTTGGCAAGCTTCTCCCGGCCCGAACAGTTCTTGTTTCTGCGGTGGGACGAACGCATGTGTCGTTCACCCTGACCTCGGTCGATCGGTCGGAGCATCGGATGTTCAAGCCAAGGGCACGTGACGTGCCTGCCTCAGTTACCTGGCTTTTGTGACTATCCTATCCGCTCCGGAGGTCAGGTCAGGTCGGGTCTGGATCATCGTTAGATCAATCATGTTCCATAAGTACTATGATTGATCCTTTTCTTTTAGTCGAAGTTCAGTGTGTGGTTTCGTATTGCGGAAGCATATTTCCACTGATAGGAAACTCTCACTCTCACTCCTCTCAAGCATTTGGGCTTAGCTTAGCTTAGCTTAACCTATTTGTAACCAAACTAAGCCCGCGAGATTAAGATTGAGATACGAAGTAGAAAGTTCCTATTGTCCCAGCTCATCCTCATTCTCATCCAACTCTTCCTCATCATCTTGTCCGCCCAACCGCGAATAAAGTCCCTCCAGCTCCGCCATGGCGTTCGCATCCCCGGATAAGGCCAGCTCGTTCAACCGTTGAATCTGCGCCAGCTGTTCATCGGTACGAGCCCAACCACGTAGCCGATCCTCCAGATTCGTCATCCGCTTTGTGCTAAATGTTGTTCGCACAGCATCGGTCTCGCCTTTGCTGCGTTTGAGGCTGGCGAGGCGGTCTAAAAATCGTGCTTGATTGGTTTGCGGGGCGCTTTTACGGATTACACCAGTGGTGGGGGTTTCACTGGGTTGTTCTGCAGCGGCAGAATCCGCAGCGTAGACGTTGGAGGATGAGCTGGATATGAGGTTCGCTTTGCGACCGAGGATTTTCACGCTGTTGGCTGCGAGGAGGTCGTAGTTTGGCGTGTGGCGGAGCGGAGGGACTGGATTACTACTACTAGTGAAGGAGGAAGGGTCTGCATCGTGCGGTGGTGAGGAGGATGTGTCCTCGGGACGGGCGATGAGTAACTCGGTACCGATTTGGTCGGCCCAGGTGCCGCTGAAGATTTGATTCTGATAGGAGATGATGGGGTTGGGGGTGTGAAGGCCTAGGATTTGGACACGGTCGGCGATGGAGGGGTTGTTGGGATCAGCTTCGGTGCTGGAGAGGGCGGCGTCGGGTTGGTCATCGTGATATTGACTATGGGAAGGCGTGGATGGACTGGAGGTGGGGAGGGAGGAAGGATCTTGTGGTTGTCGGCGTCGAGGGGGGCGGATGGGACCATGGAGGGAGGTGAGATCGAGAGTCAGATAGACAGTCTAGTGATGGTGAGATTTGAGACTTTGTCAGCATCGCAACCAAGGCAGGATGCTAGCCAGACTTGCCAAGGTGAGGGACGAACTTCTGTCTCGGTGGGATGATATTCGTATTCATATTCGGAATCATCATCGTCTTCGGGGTGGACCAGGCTGGAATCCGCCAGCATGGCTGGATCCAGCATTAAGGGAGTGGGGAGGGCCATGGATGCAGATGGTGATAAACCCGTGAGCAACTAAAAGTGATATGATGATGGTAGAATTATCGAGCTGGGAGAGAATGATTGGATTGATTGGCAGGGCGGCAACTAAACCGCGGCGGCGCCCGACGATCCAGACTTGGCGGTGAATCACTCCACTGCAAGCTGTTGGAGCCAGTCATCATCCATGATTCCCATAACTGCTCTGCATTAATTGTTAGTTGGATAGAATGCAGCAGAAGAGGCAGAAGAAGACCCTGCTGACTATCGTGTTTGTCATCGCTTCAGGCATCCATGAGAGGCTGAGCTGACGGACTGAACCCTTAGACTTTGCGACCCTGAGGATCCATCGATTTCAATCCCCTTCTTCTTCTTGTTTTTCCTCCATCAGCTCCAGTTCCAGTTCCAGTTCAAGCTCCAGCTTGACTGACGGGGTTATTTGTCCTTGTCCCTGCTGCATCCACCGCAGCTGTGAAAGTCCCTGCTGGATGATCGACCGGATGACTTCATCCCCCCCTTCTTGCATCATCACCAACTCTCTTTGTCATTCCAATCCGGTTGCAGTGCGAACTCGGCCATTCCATCTAGATAGTCCACAGTACACTGTACACCAAGGCACAGTAAACTACTAATTCAGTTTTCATCATTATTCAATATTCTTCTCCCAATTGATCCATCCAAGATCAGTGAGTCCACCTGATTCATTCATTCAGTCAATGGCCCCTCTTTTCTTCCGTCTGTTCCGTCCTGCTTTTTCCCCTCTCACTTCCCACTCACTCCCTCACCGTCGGTCTCGCTCGCTCGCTCTCTCTCTCTTTCTCTCTTTTACTATGACGATCCGGCAACCGGCGGAAGCCAACCAAACCAGCTGCATCCGTCGTCTTCCCATTCGGACTCGTGCCTCATCATCCATTATCTAATCCGCTTCCGTGCGAGCCGAATCTCTATGCTTGCTGCTTCCAGCAAATTCCTGTGCTGGACTCGGCGACTCCAATGCCCGAATTTCCCTGTTCTTCCCCTCCCCCCCTTCAGCCCTAAGCATCCACTATCACGTCCCGCGGCCCTGCTGTTTGTCTGCCCTACCAAATCGTCCCATCATGACCAATTACTCATGGCCAATCACTACCCAATTCTGTCCCCTTCTGTACCATCATTCTGACCTTCCGAGTCCCGTTCCTGCTGTTCTCGACCCTACCGGCTGACTGACAATGTCATCGCGCCTGCCCGCTGTTGCTTCTTATAGTGTCCCCTCCGCTTCCTTTACTTCCGGGCTCAAATGCCCGGCTCGGTCGCTTTTCTTCCTCCCTGCTGCTGCTGCTGTTGCTGCTTCTGCTGTCGCAGTCGCTCTGTCATCCCTCCCCCCTCGGCTCGGATGCCTCTCATCCTCTTGCAAATTCCCCCGAGGATTCCTCCGTGACCGATTTGGCCGACAGCCTGGCCGCTGTAGCTCCTCCTACCTCTGCTGTCCCGATTGGGAATCTGGTCACACTCCCCCCTTCTACCACTTCCACTCCCGGTGATCAGTCCGGGTTAGTGGTGTCTCCCTCGTCGCGCTCCAATTCCTCCGATCTTGAAGCTTCTCCCGGCATCGCGCAGCAGATGATTCGCTCCACCAAGGTTGCCATTGTCACCCTCGCTTCATTGATCGCCTATGTCTTGATCAATAGCGCCGCGCGGGCCGTGAACCCGTCGGCTTTCGTCTGGTATGCTGAGGATCATGACGAGCAGAGCTGGATTGCCTCCTCGCCGTCCTGGCTGGATCGCAAGGCCTGTCGCTGGCTCGGCATGTGCGGGACCGCCCACTTCCGCCTGGTGCGGGCCCGCTACGGCCAGCGCGAGCCCACTCTGGGACCCTGGTCGCCCGAAAGCGAGGCCCACTACGCCGCCTGGCGCGATGCGCAATTCAATGACTCCCAGCAGCCCGCATGGGATGAAGCCGAACGCTCGCGTCGGCAAATTCCGGAGTATGTCTTCCAGTATGCACCGTTGGTCTACTTGTCCTCGCATGAACAGTTCTGGCCTGGAGACATTGCCGAACATCTCTACCACGTCACCCCGATGCTGAACTACACCCCCATTCAGTCGGATGAGGAGCATCCCACCCTGCAGAACCTCGATCAGCTGAACGAGTGGCAGGAGGGTGAGTACGTATATCTGACCAGCAACGACAATGTAGAGGATCGCCCGCCATGGATTGAGGGCGAGAAGAATATTCCTGAAGATCCCGATGACGACCTTGAGCTGTCTTGGCCCGACTGGGATGGCCGGATAGACGGGCCTATTCCCGGGGACACGCCAGAGGAACGCTCCCAGTGGTATGACACCGGCCGTCTCTCATCATCGGAGGGAGAGGATGACAGTTGGTCTCCTGAAGACCTGGGCTATCTCCGCCCGGAGGACCTCGCGGACGAGGATGTCCGAACCGAGTTGCGCAAACGGTTCGGCGGCGAGCCCATCCACGTCGAAAAGACTGGCGGGCGCAGTAATGCTCCGGCAATTCTGCTGGTGATGGACAAAGGCCACGGCGTCGTAGATGCGTTCTGGTTCTATTTTTACAGCTTCAATCTGGGCAACGTAGTGCTGAACGTGCGGTTCGGGAACCATGTGGGTGACTGGGAGCACTGTCTGGTGCGATTTCACGACGGCAAGCCCAAGGCGCTTTTCTTCAGCGCGCACTCGGCGGGAGAAGCATACAGTTACGAGGCCGTGGAAAAGATCGGCCAGCGGGTAAGTCGAGATATAAATTGCTCCCCTCCCGCCCGTCCAGGGGATTCCCGACGCTAACCATGGATCCCTGGCAGCCCGTGATCTACTCCGCCATGGGCACCCATGCCATGTATGCCACCCCGGGCATCCATGCCTACATCCTGCCCTGGGGCCTGCTGCACGATCAGACCGACCGCGGTCCCCTGTGGGACCCTCTTCTGAACGCCCACGCCTATACGTACGATTATGATAAGGATGCCCTTCGTGCATCCACCGCCACCCCGAGTGCCCCTATCGAGTGGTTCTACTTCAACGGCCATTGGGGCGACAAGTTCTATCCGCTAGGTGACCAGCGACAGTATCGATTCGCAGGTCAGTATCATTATGTCAACGGCCCAGTGGGACCGCGATTCAAGCACCTCAACCGCCACAAGGTCTGTCAGCAGCGGGATGAGGAAGTCTGTGTCATTAAGAACTACATTGGGGAAGAAAAGCGGGCTAAACGCTGGGCGGGTACTCGGCCTGAACATGAGAAAGAACATGACTAGACGGGGGTCCTCCCTTGGCTGTTTGACAAACCCCAGCCGTGGCACACAACATGAGGTATCGTTCCGCACTTGTGCACTCCATGCTGGTCGGAACCTATTCCTACTTTATCCTTATTCTTTTCCCGACTTCCCCTCGTATCGTTATCTTATTCTTTGTGCGCATTTGCTTATTCCGGTGTTATCTCATGTGGATATACCCTGGCGTTTTCCTTTTTTCTTTACATCTCCTTGGTCGACTGCATAGACCACTGGCGCATGTTGGGACTAGATTCCCCCTCAAACCCATGATGGACGAGTTACATGACCCTACCTTATATCCTTACACCACTATACATATCATGACAGTTTTGGACACGGACCAGGAGCCGTATGATGGTGTTCTGGCAGTTTGCATTTAATTTGGACGAGTTACGGTCAGATACGAGGAGTCTAGCGATACGAATAGATGATTGGTTTATAATCTCCCCTCTACATGGTTGACTTGTGGTGTGCCACATGCTTTACTCATTCCCTAGTGAACAAGTAGCTCTACTCAATGAATGACTATATACATACACTCTATCTCTAGTCTATATGCGCGTACACAATGAAAATAACCCAGTACTCGCGAAGAGAGATCCTCTCGAGACATGAATCTCTATTGAGGTACCCTCTCCGAAACCTCCCTCCAGAAATCACACCTCGCCCCTCTTCCCCCTTCCCAAGCGGACGAATTCACCAACCGAAAATGGTTCACAACCCCATCTCCCTCCCGAATCCAATATGACAAGTTCGACGTCACCACATCATGAACCAAGTACCCCCCCGTGGTGTTCAAATCCATCATAACCGGGAATTCGGGCGAATAACTCGGCCAATCAAGCATCCCCGTCCCGTTCTTACCATGACTATTCTTACGACCAAACCTCGCAACAGGAACCGACGCATTCAATTTCCCAGCCGTGGCATCTTCCATCGAAATCACAGGATTATCAGCCATAATGAACTGGCCCCACATCTTCTGGAAAGCCGTTCTGAATCCCTTATCGGGCCAGGTGGCGTCCGCGCTGAAGTACGCGGAGAGGTCGGCGCCGTGGTACGCGGGTGTTACCGAGTATTGGTATTTCCAGGCTTGACGAGGAGTTTGGGAATCGGAGCAGGAAAGGGTGTCGTCTTCTTGGCTGAAGGCGTCGGCGAGCCATTGCGCGGGACACGCGAAGGTCGTTTCGGCGTAGATGTTGAATACCGTTTGTTGGAGGCCTGTTGCCATCTCGGATTGGTTGATGGCCGTGGGACCGCTAGTGCCGATGGTGTCGTAGCGGGGGCTGTTATCGGCGGGTCGGCTGTTGGCGGTTTGGTAGACTTCGTTGAGGAGCGCGATGTCGGATGAGGTGAAGAGGGGGAAGGTGGACGAGATGTATGAGTTGAATGCCGGGCGGGTGACTACGTTGGGGTTGCTTAGGGGGACGCCGTCGTTGGCGTTGTTCTGTGATAGATTGTTAGTGGAGCTAGGGAGAAAGTGAAGGAATTGGAGGGTGCGTACGCCGATGAGAATGCGTTTGCCGCTCACTTTGCCTTGTGCGAGCTGCACAGAGGGCCGTTCTTGGATCAGCTCGCCGTCGATGACCGGCAGGAAAGCCCATGTGCCGAATAGTCCGGACGTGGAGACGGTGGCGCTGGCATTCTGCAGGAGAGTGCTGGGAGCTGCTACCAGGCAGTCAAAGGTGGTTGCGTAGTTCTTGATGGCAGTGGAGTTCGATCCGCAGCCGGCCACTTCAGCAAAGTCTTTGTAGTACTGCTCTGGTACCTGGTCGTGGTAGTTGAAGATTGGGGGTGAGTAGGCGCTCGCAGCGATGATCTATGCGGAGACTGTCAGTTCGGTTCCGAGGTGAGAATTGAGAGAGACGGACGTTATTGAAGAGGTTGAACTCCTGACCCCCATATGCCAGCGCATGCAGCATGACTGCTCCGGCGCCTGAGGACTCGCCGCCAATGGTCACACGCTTAGGATCACCACCGAATTTGGCAATGTGCTCCTGTACCCATTGGATGGCAAAGCGTTGGTCCAGAAGACCAGCGTTCGTCACACCGTGCTCCTTGACCTCCTCGGAGGCGAGGAAACCGAATGCTCCCAGACGGTACTGGATTTCCACGGTGATGAACCCGTTGTTGTTGGTGTTCATCATTGGGCTGGGGTCATAGGTGGCACCGAAGAGCCCATAGCCACCACCGTCTGTCGATCGAGCATTACAGTTAGCTAGAATATAGGGTGCTACACAGTTATTGATAGGCTTACGGATCCATAGCAGGACGGGCAGGTCCGTCGCATTCGGGGGGGCATAGACATTCAGGTACAGACAGTCTTCATCCCCAGGCCCCGAGTTAAAGCCGTAGATGTACGGTGTCTTTGCCGCCCCGGATTGAGGACAGACGGGGGGCTGGTCGACGGCTAATGTGATCTGGCTGTTGTTCTGCAATGGAGGTGCAGGCGCCTGCCAACGCCGTTTACCCACTGGGGGAGCTGCGTACCGGATACTGGGTGCTAGATCAGACCATGTCCACAACATAGACTATCTCGCGGTTGGTCAAATGGGGCGTGTTTCAGACATACCTCTTCCACACATTCAAGTCGTAAGCGGTACTGTAAGAGCCCTGATAGATCGCGTACCCCAGATCAACGATGGGGTGCTGGCTGGCGCAGGAGAGTGCCGCGCTGGCAGCGAGCAGCAAGCAATACCCGGGCTTCATCTTCACCAGAGACTGTGAGATGAAGTTGGCGGCTCAGCGAATCGGGTTCCCTGCAGAACAACAGTTAAATTTAGGAAAAAGAAGCAGGGATGGACAGTCCTACCAACGGCAATTAAGCGGCAGTGCGTCCGAGCCCAGATCCAGCTCAGGGGCAAGCTTTTTAGCGCATGGTGTAAGCCAGCGAGGTACTAAGTCAGCACTTAATACTTCTTGGGATAGCATGGCACGACGGGCTCAAGCCGACGGAGCAGCGGTGGGAAGCAGGCGAGCAGCAGAGCGGATTGCGAGTGGATCGCAATCAATTTGGGCGGCCGCCATTCGATCACGGGGCTAGCACGTGTGGCCGGTCCGATGCTTCGTTCTGTACCGGCCATCGAGTTTAGACTCCAACTAACTCGCCGGTTCTTCCTACTGGACAATGCCTGCTAGTCCGTTATCTCAACTGCCTGAAGGATGACTCGCTCAATCTCCGAAACTTAGCGTTGGGGCCAAAAACCGCAATTAGAGCGCCTCGTCTATCCTTCGTGCTCTCCTTGGCAGCAGGCATCTCACACGAGCTGGGCTGACTGCCGATAGGATAGACTGGCTAGGCTGTCAGCATGAATAATTGAAGAAACCAAGGGCAAGGGGCCTACCAGACCCACCGTAAGCAAGCCAGCAGCACCTACAAAACACAATGGAAGGCACTTAGAGAATTCTGCTGCTGCTGCTGATGCGGCTGCTGCTGCGATACAGTCCCACGGTTGGATGCTGTAGCCGCCCAAGATGAGCTCTGCAGGGGCGAACTATTCAGCGGCATACCTGGCACAGTCGCGTGTGACCGAGGTGACGGTGGCATACTCGGTCCCGATCCCTGTTGAGATCTTGACTACCGTGTGGCGACTCTGGATCAAACTGCGGCCTTCCTCAGAGCATGGCTTGACCTTTGACGACTACGTGATGATCTGGGCTACGGTGAGCCATTTATCGGATAATTGTGTCTTAAAGGGCACGTCCTGACTCATATGTCTCCATATAGATCATCGGTGTTGGCGTCTGCGTCAGTGGATTGGTTTACGGTGCGCTTGACCGGCCCGTCCCGTTGACATCTCTGGACCGTGTAGCTAACTACAAATCCACCTCACGGCAGGCCCTCCCTATGGGTTTGGTCGACATGTCGCCGCTCTACCAACCAAGGAAGTCGAAACGTTCATGATGGTATGAAGGAAATAACCAAGTCAAGCCGACACTCACCTTCATATGGCTGACGGATCCGGGACTTCCATGGTAGGGCGACTATATCTTCAGTCACTTCTACGATGTTGCCATCGCCAGCACCAAGCTCTCCGTGTTGGCGTTATATTATCGCATTTTCATCACCCCGAAATTCCGCCTGGTCATCATCTCAACCGTAGTTTGGGTAATTCTATGGCTCATGACCATGGAAATTGTCCTAGGGCTGGAGTGTCGCCCGATCGCGAAATTCTGGAATTCGAGCGTTGAAGGGACATGCTTCAACCTTGTCGCCTTCAGTTACTTCACCAATATTGCGAACCTCGTCACTGACATCTGGATCTTTCTCCTCCCCCTACCCATCATCCTGCGCCTCCAGATCACGAAAAACAAGAAAATAGGCCTCAGCTTGCTCTTCTCCGTCGGCTTAGCGTACGTACTCAGTCATAGTACCTAAGAACTTCTAAGTAGCTGACAAACATCCAGAACCTGCGCAATCAGCGCAGCCCGACTAACCGTCGTAGTCACCCAGGGCTCCTCCGACTACACCTGTAAGCCAACCCACCCTTTTTTCTTCTCCATCCACCCCAGCCCACTCACCTAAACACAGGGGCCGGCGTCCCTCTTGGCATTCTCTCCGCCTGGGAACCCCTCGGCGGCATCCTCTGCGCCAACCTCCCGATAATCTACAAGTCCCTGGCTGCCGTACTCCGCAGCATAAGGGGCACTCTTCGCACCCACGGCTCACGCAGCGCACACCCCTCATCCACCCAGCGCCAAACGAAGTCCAGCGCCAACAACCATCACAATACCTGGCTTCAGCTGAATAATGGCAGCGGGGCCGGGAATAGCTATCGCTCTGAGATCTTGGCTTTGAAGAGCATGGATGATGACGATGATGATACGGAGATGCAGCCCATGCGGGGGATGAATACGATTATGGTTGAGAGGCAATTCGAGCAGGAGGTTATCGATCAGCATCATGACCCTTCTCTTAATCATCATGATGGGAGGGAGGGGGATGAAGAGCCCTTGAGGGGGGGAAAGTGATGTTATTTCTTCCTTGTTCGTTTACAGTATGCATGATATAGATAGGTATAACGTTAGTTTCTCCATTGTCGCGGTGTAGGGGTCTTTGTAGAGGTCATGCCTGTTGCAACCTAATTTACTGTAGCCCTACTACCAACCCTTCGTTAATGCACGTGCGCGGTAGAGCAATGGAAAGGATAGTACGACGCTAGGGTTCTACATAAATCACCGCTCAGTACGGGTTCAAAAGAAACAGATGTAAGTACTGCCTAGCGGGATTACGACAAAGGTAGATAGTACGATAGACATACACGAGATCCAGTGATTAGCAAACAAATCAGGCACAGCAGCTGGCTAGTACCTAGATGAAAACAGAAAACCAGAGCAGGACTTGCCAAAATGTAAAGATGAAGGAAATACGGGACAGAGGCAGAGTAAACGCTGAAGCAGAGCTAGGTATACTGGTATAGTAATAGAAGAATACTGCAAAGGAATGATGAAAAGGAACGATGGGAAGAGGTAAAAAGATGTGACCCGACCCCAGGGTCGGAGCCAGAGTTAGAACTGCAATTGATATCGAATGGGAAATCAGAAAGGATAAGGAAATGGGAATCCCAGGAAAGGAACGAACAGACCGATCTGGTCGAAACTCCCCAACCGCCACATGAACAACGCCAGGTACAGATTATGAAAAGAAGAAACAAAACATCCCGGTACATAGAAACAAAAGCCGGCCGAATAACGAGACGCCAAAAGGGAATCACAATAATCAAGGGCCAAAGCATATCGATGGACCAAGCCAAACCGATCATCGCCAGCAGACTCCCTTCCCTACCAAACTCCACATCCCAGGAAACACTGCCAATTGATCGAATCCGATCGTCTCAAACCTAATTTCTCCGGTTGCCCGATCTAGGTGGTCTAAAATGGTGAAAAACATGAAACTCATCCGCTGCTGCCTTCTCGCCCTCACACTCGTGTGGATCTCTTGCGTAGCCCGAACTCGGCTTCTTGCAGTTCACGGATCAAGCGGAGGCTCTCAGCATCCGGCTCCTCGTCCGCAACCCGCTTAGGGTTTTTGCCCGGCTGCCCAGGAGATGTTGACGTCGCAGAGTGCCGGTCGCCCTTTTTCTCGTCGGTTGACCAGAAACTCTTCTTGGCATGCGAGGACGAGGAGGGGCGTGATGCGGACTTTTTGGAGCCTGAAGAAGGACCTGGGGTGGATTTTCGCACACCACCGCTTGAACCGCCGAACGAAGAACGACGGGCGGTGGGGGTATGGGTCGTCCCCTTGGTCGGCTTGGAAACATGCGTCTCAGGCATGTACCGATCAACCTGGCGCGGTTGGCGCGAAGAGTGCCGGGAACTTGAGGTTGGTGTGTGCAGGACTACCACATGGTCCCCTTCTCCGTCTGCTTGTTCCTGAGGAACATCGGTCTCGTCGGCCAGTGAGGTCGGCGGTGATACAAGGGTGGCAGTAGGCTTAGAGACAGGCGCAGAATCTATTTCCTTCGCATCGACCGTGTCAGTCTGGAACGTAGGCGGTGATGCGTAGGAGGTTGGCCCCAATGGTGCTTCCTTTTCCCCAACGGTCATTCCCGACTGCCGATTTGAGTCTTTATCAGCCAGCGGCGCATCCGAGAACGGGGCATGGAGATCCACGGCTGCATGAGCATGATCGGACAGGTGATCTTGCGTCCCCGGCGCACCAGCTTCACGATTGTTGCTGAGATGTGCCGGCCTCGACGTAGGCGATGTGCTCTCCTGCTTCATCCGTTTGTTGATCATCGGCCCAGTTCCTTCTTCGTTGATACGAGGCCGTTTGGCAGAAGCAGCAGCGCGCGGCTTTGCTCGTTCTTGCGCCTTAACAGGGTCAATACGGCCGTACTCATCGTGGATACACCGACGCTGTTGTCAGTTAGTATTAGAACTGAATAGAAAGGGAGAGGGAAAAAGAAGAAGAAAGAAAGAGAGAAAGAAAACGAACCTTGCTCTTCCGGCAGTCGTCGCAGGCCTTGCTGCGGCCCTTCTTTCCGGTGTTGGCGCCTTCAGGACTGGCATCATTGAGTCCGAGTCCATTGACCGGTGCACGCGGCGTACCCAAAATGGCGGAGTTGAACTTGGCAGCGACTTCAAACCGATCCGGGTTCCTGCCACTTCCATTGTCTTGAAAGCCTGCTTCCGATGCAATAGCGGCAAGTGAATTCAGCGCAGACGCTGCGTCGTGTGCTAACGAATGGTTGCTGGGGCCGAAAGCGGTCACGGCCGTTTGCTTGCTGGAAATACCGTCGTTATGTTCATCCTTGTGGTGACACCGGATCCTTCGCTTGCGACAGGCATCGCAGGCAACGCGCTTAGGGCCCAGTCCGGAGCCACGGGGTGCAGCGCGCGATTTGGGAGCAGGCTCTTCTTTGATGCCACTGCTCGACGGGCCGTCTGGCATAGCAGCTCCGGCATTCAGCGGACCACTAGGGCCACTACTGTTGCTCATTTCGGTTGCTGGGTCATGAGCCGGCTCTGGAAGCCGCTGTACAGCCTGTCTTTCTGCGTACGTGCGCTGGCTCTCGGCATTACGCTCTGAGCGACGGCTGGGCCTTCCGGCGGGTTTCTTCTCCGCGAGACTGAGTTTCGCATTGCTTTCAGCCACGCCAGGGCGGGTCCAATGCGGTGCCCTCTCATTGCCACGCTTCCAGGCGACCCAGATGCCAAACTTCCTTACGGCATCGATTGGCTCCCCGGACATCTTAGGTATCGAGCGTTTGACCGCATTCCTGGTATCCATCGTCACGCCCTCCGTCAGATAGGCGCCAGCAATGAGGGCAGTGTGATATAGGTATTTTGCAAGATCTGGTAGCCCTTCCAGTTCCGCTTGAGAATAGAAGCGCGAGTTGTGATAAGGCGACCCGGCAGGCGCATTGTTCGTCCGTTCGCCGAATTCGTAGTAGATCGGATACGCTCGGTGGAAGCGGTAGTTTTCGTCCTGCGCAAAGGCGTCAAGAACGCTCTGCGGTAGCGGGTCATCTTCGAGATATCGCAACGCGGTATACCATTGTATCTTCTGGAAGAACGGGTACCTGAACTTCCGTGGAACCTTGGTATCCTTCTCGATCTGCGCGATCTTAATCTGCATCCCGTAGTTCAGCCTCGTAAGGAAATTCCCACCGATGACAAGACTGTTCTCGGGGGTCCAGACGGCATGGATCCAGCCCGAGGGGATCAGCATCGTATCGCCTTCAGACAGATCCACGCGATAGCATTCCTTGGTTTGGTCCCCAAGAAAGGTGGAATCCTGCGCAGGAGAATTACACCACTCCTCATACTTTTTCAGGTGCTTGTCCTTGGGCGGGATGAAGAAGAAGGTCTTTTTGCCTTTCAGAATATGATAATATACCGAGGACCCTCCAAAGTCGATGTGGAAATCGGTATAGCAGTCAGCGACAGACATTAAGACGTAGAACTGGACTTTCGGGCAGTCGCCGACGGCCTTCTGTTCGTCAGGCCAGACAGAGTCCTGAAGGTCAAGATCCCGGACAACCTTTGGCCGACGAATGAGCCTGCCCAATGGGCTCTGTGAGACTTCCAAACTGATGACGTTTCGGACAACCTTGTCGCCAGTACTCTCGTAGTATTCCGCCCATTTCTGCATTGTCCACCTCTTGTCTTCGTTCTGCTGCGATTTGACATCAATGACCTCGACTCTTTCTTCCGGTCCGTAAAGCTCCGCAACTCTTCGAACGGTAAGGCCTTCAGGAATCACCATGTCCAACTGATCCTGGCCACAATCTATCACTTGCTCGTAGCCTTCCTCTTGCTCGACAATATGATCCAGCAGCTCGTCGAACATTTCTTGCGTAGGCGCCTCTTGTACTAGAGTGTCAAACTCGGAATCACTGATCGAAACGGACTCGCGAGTGTTCCACTCCGCAGGGATGACAATTGGTTCCGTCATGCCATTGCCTCGCTCGAAATACTCGGCAGTGACCAGCTCAGGACGCATTCGTGGGAAATTTTCAGGTAGGAACTGAATTTTGCCCTGTCGGATGGGTTCAATGTAGTGATGTTCGAGAGAGTCCGTAGCGGCCTTGACAAGCCCTTGGTTGAGGCCGGCATAATCAATAGCTGTGCGAGCGCGAGAAGATTTGCGCACGAACGTAGTCTGTCCATAAATAGGACGGCATTCTCGACAGATAAATTTGTCCACTGTTCGGAGTTCGCGGTCACTCTTGAACCCAGCACAGACAATATGAAACCACCGTTTGCAACCATCGCAGCTTATCCATGTCACGTCGCCTTGCTCGCCAGTGTCCATCGGGATCCGCACAAGATTGCAAGCCGCGCAGCTAGCCTGGTTAGACTCCTCCGTATCATCTTCAATCTTGGAAGAATGCTCTATCGGCATTTGTGCCATGTTGGTGGTGTGCATTGATAGTTGTGCTTGTGTCTCGCTCGGCCTACCATTTATGACGAACTTTGTGGGTGAATAGTCGTTTTCAGCGTCCCCTTCCTCCTGCCATAGAATTGGTGGAAGAGTGGAGGAGCTTGTATTGGGTCGCATGCCATGGATAACCGGGCGTGATATAGCAGCTGAACCGTCGGACTGTGACCTCACCCGAGACGGCATGTTGTTGGGCCCGGGAGCATTGTATGCATATTTTTCGTCATTGAACCTCCAGCTCGCGCCGCCCGAATCCGCCATGACATGATGCTTTTGTTCGTCCCCATAATGATAAAACGACTCGTCGATGCTGACACGTTTCGCGGGATGCGAGGGAGGATGAAAGTTTGTGGGCCGTGCCAGATTCAGCAAAAGCTCTGCGTCTGTCTTCATGCTATCAAACAACGAAGCAGAATTTGCATCTGACACGGCCACTGTCCGGTGTTGGGTATATGGAGAGGGATCCTTTTCCGACCGCGGACGCTTGCTTGGGCGTTCTGTAGATTCGATGGGCTCGGAGGGGAATAGCGACATGGCGGGGGTGGAGTTTTGAGAAGGAGGTCGGTAGGAAAGAGGTGCGAAGGTAGGACTCGTCGCTAGGGCGATCGTTGCGAGAGCGTCGATGGTAGAACCGGAGCGGCCATGGCTAGAGCGATGAGAAGCTGTCTCATCAGCATGATGGTGCAGTGTAGGATTGTGAGGTACAAAGTGGTCGCGATCGGAGGCAGCAACCCGAGAGACGTTGCGGTCGACCCATGATGCACGGAGGTCGGAGGTTGAGCAAGGCGAGATAGGCTCGACGGCGCGTCGCGGCGGCGAGGGAGTGCGATACCGCGGCGGTCGGCTCCCAATATGATTCAAAAAGGATGTAGCAGTGATCATCGTGTGATCTGAGGATGGAATCGGAGGGAAAGGAGAGAAAGAAAAGGGCCCGGAGGAGGAAACAGGCGTGCTTGCGGCAGACGGGTGCAAAGCGGGGATGTTCGACCACACGGGCTAAAGAGAGGCCACCGCAGGCAAAAAGAGAGTCATTCCTGGCAGACTGGAGAGCGCACAGTAAACAATGAGATGGAAAGTGAATCAGAGAGGAAACCGAGGAGATGGTGGGGTGGTGGAAGGAGAGGGTGACGGAGGAGAGTCGCACGGCGGAGAGGTTGAGGGGGGGAAGTTGAGAGTCTCTGCCGACTGGGAGTTCAATCGAGAGCGGGCGGGAAGAGAGAGCCCCGAGTATGCACCGCGGCGGGTGCGGGCGAAAAAAGAAATGTCTTAGACTGGTCAATCAGGGAGCGGGAGGATATGATGAAGAATACTGGAGGACAAGCGATTAAAGAATGCGCCAGAAAAACAGATTGAGAAGATGAGCTCTGCACCGGAACAGAGCAGGAGAGGCGCGAGGCTTTGCTTGGACGGCCGGTCGAAGGAAGGCAAAGCGGGCGCGCCGCCAGTCTGCCTCAGGCCGGCACTCCCTATCCTAACCTATCGTTTGCGGCGAGCATCCCGGAGAGCAGCGCTACTACTTGCAGTCCGGAGTATACCAAGGGGTGTTTCGCAGCATCTAGACAACGTTTTTAAGTTGGTTAACTATGAGTAAATAAGGATTTATATCTCCACTCTGTCCCCTCCATCTCCGACAGCATCTTCTACACCCCTGACCTCGTCCGTCGGTCTCAATGCCTCGGACTTGTTGTCGTCTGTCTCGAACCAACAAAGTGAGGCTCCTCCAAGCCGCTAGTCCCAATTAGGCAAGGCAGGCTCCCTTCCGAACCTCGTGCTTGTCGCGGATATTGCTTCCCTCTCTCTTCTCCTCTCCCTCTCTCTTCCCTCTCTATACACCTCTCACTCCAGGCCCTCTGGGTATCTGATTCATCTACAACCTCTCCCGACCCCGTTTCTAGGACCTATACTGTCCCACCCGAGAATGAGCCGGAAGCTCGCCCCCGAAGCCAATCGGTAAGTTCTGCTCGCCGAATCTTGCCCCTCTTCGGTCGCCCGCCATCTTTCAATTCCAGGCATTTGTTCGGCACGTTGTTGGCTGGCAAACCTACGAGCCGGGCAAGTATCATATCTAAAGCATCGATGCTGACCGGTTTCAGGATTCTCTTTGTAAAGAACCTCAAGTACGTCGATGATTTCCCAAGATTCGTTCCTCGACTCGCAAACCATCCGTCGCATACCTGTCGACCAACAGCCAGCAGGCGACAGGCGCCCATCGTCTTCCAGAATGCAAGAGCTAACCTGATTGTTTCCTTACAGCTACAACGTCACAGCTGAGCAACTCTTTGACCTCTTCGGCAAATTTGGTCCCATCCGGTAAATCTGCGCATGACTCACGTTCAACCCACTTCTTGGTCAATAATGGCTAATTGTTCCTGTTTCTTCCAGCCAAATACGTCAGGGAATCGCCAACAACTCGAAGGGCACAGCCTTTGTGGTTTACGAAGACGTTCATGACGCCAAACAGGCATGCGATAAGCTCAATGGGTTCAACTTCCAGAACAGATACCTCGTCGGTATGTAACCCCGTGTCAAGGGGAGACGAAGCAGAGAATATATGGAGACAAGCCGATTGGCTGACATTCGTTTCTTTCTAGTTCTATATCACCAGCCTGAGAAAATGCTTAGGTCGAAAGAGGACTTGGCGGAAAGGCAAGAGAATTTGGAGCGTCTCAAACAGCAACATGGGATAGAATGACGTGATGATTGCTTTTGTTCGCTTTCTCTGCATGCCCTTTGCCGGCATCTGGCTGCGTATTATCCTGGGTTGGTCGTGGGGTTTCTGGCGTTTTTCTCTCCTATGGGTTTGATGGCTCTTATTCATTCATGGGTATGAAAGGGTTGCCGGCGGGTTGAATGACACCCTGGCTTTTTGTTCAGGAGAATGATACAGAATGGGTTATTTCAAGCCGGGGTCGGTGCTTGTTGCACCGGCTCCAAGGTTACCAATATAATCATTTCGATCGCCGGCCACCTTTTGGCTGTTGCGGCACCCCCCTCTGAGATTACTGCTTACTACAGGAGTTTTGACTTGACTTGCTACAAAGTATGTTCCCAGTGACCCCGATCAAGGGGGGAACTGACCCTAGCCTACTGCAGAGACCACGTCAGTCGTAGAAGTGGACAGAAATCTAGCGATCGTCCAACGGCCGTCATTTTGCATGGGGGTGGATCAAGCGCCTGAAGATCGTGCATTGACTAGTGAAGTATCTACAGAAACCCCCTGAAGTGCCGACGTAAGGCTAGCCAACTAGTGCGGTAGTTTATGTCTCTGCTGAGCTTCGCTTTAATGGTATCCACTCCCGGCCTCGTTAGCCGCGAGATCCAAGCGCCAATGATATTGTCACAATAGCGCAGGTGCAGCATCGGGGTGACATGCTTGGAACGTCTGGATCTGACGACTCAAGCACCCGGTGATCCTAGACAGTTGGCTTGCAGGCGCCAAGGGGCACCCGAAGCCAGACACAGCAGGCTGAAGAGACACCCAGGTATTTGTAGATAAGGAACACATGCGCTCTACCGGTAGATGTGCAAAACAATACAACGATCGGAAGCAGATTTATTCTACGAGAGCATGAACTACTAACTATTAACCTACTGAATACTGCACCGACCAGTATCTGGGGTATACTGATCTGATCCACTGGGGGTCGATCTTCGATGACAGCTGGAGCACAGGCGCTGGAGAAAGGAGGGGATCAGCCTGGATTCGGCAGTCATTATTAGTGCCTTATACATAAGGCCACAAAACACTGTAAATGCCTTGATACTAAGGCATAATTTTGTGGCCAATCCTAGAGCTGATAGTCATGACTCAGCCCCACCCACCGGGCTTCTAAAGATTTTCTTTTCGCTGCAGTCCAGATGCGCTTCTGCTTCTACAATCACCACCTTCCCTCCCCAGCATTTAGATCTGCAACACGGCAGTGATCCTTTGCGTGAGCCTCTTTAGACCGCTACACACGTTAAACCCACATTTTTAAACATGTCTGAGACTTCTGCCGGTATGCACATCCCAGGTCTCGTTTTTCTCATGGCCATATACTGACAATTTCTATAGCCTGGCCCCTCGCCGATGAGGCCCTTACCCAGAACCTCCTGGACCTTGTCCAGCAGGCCGGTCACTACCGCCAGCTGAAGAAGGGTGCTAACGAGGGTATGTGCTTCCTCAAGAACACTCATTGTCTGTCTGTCTGCTAACTGTCTTTGCAGCCACCAAGACTCTTAACCGTGGTACCTCCGAGCTCGTTATCCTCGCTGCCGACACCTCTCCCCTCGCTATCCTCCTCCACATCCCCCTCCTTGCTGAGGACAAGAACACCCCTTATGTCTTCGTGCCCAGCAAGCTTGCTCTCGGCCGTGCTACCGGTGTTTCCCGCCCCGTGATTGCGGCCAGTATCACCACCAACGAGGCCAGTGACCTCCAGGGCCAGATCAAGACCATCAAGGACAAGGTCGAGAGACTGATGATCTAAGCGTTGGTCTTGTTGTGGAAACCCTCCGGAGGATTATGCCTCCGCGGGTTGCTAAGAGGAATCTATTGTGACTTCGGGAGTTGGCCGGCCATGACAGACGAGGTTTTCGCCCCACAGTGCGAAAACAAGTGTCGATGAATGGTTTGGATCGCTACCGGATGCTCAATTGGATGCTGTGGGCGTTGTGCGCCTGGAATTAGTGCAGATAAAAGTCAATGACAAAAAAAATGTGCCAAAATTTGTGTAGTATATTTTGGTTGCTCTAATGCCGAGTAGTTGAAGGCGCGATTCCGGAATACTAGTAATCATTCTACAACAAAAAATAATACATAAAAATTATAGTCAGGGTCATCAGACTCAGGGTATGTCTTGGGGGGCAATAATTTGCAGGACCGCTGGGTAGGAGCTTGGCGGGCGCTAGTGAGGCCCAGCTGCGGGGGCGGTGTTTTTAGAGTCTTCGAGTTCTCGGGCTGGTCCTGACCTCATAACTCAAGGCTGGCTGGTTCTCCGCCCCATTCTCATCTTCCCATGAAACCCACTTAATTCCTAGCTTCTACCCTGAGACCCTGGCTGGTTCCGGTTCCTTGCTGGTTAAGGAGGACCTGCCTTCTTCGTCTATATTCACCGTCGCGCCCCTAATTCTGGTTGAAATCACTCCCATCATCTACGAAGTCTGCCCCGGCCATATGCCCGTGACACGGACATCCCTCGCAAGATAGGCACGCCGCCATCTTGCATCTCCGCAGGTCACTGGACTCCCCTCAATTATCACCGCCACCAGCTGCTTGGCCTTGAAACTTCCTCGGACTCGTTGCAGTATCTTCTCGCAATAGCCTCTTCTCCTTGATTTTGCTTTTTATCTGTATTTTGGACGCAACATCGCCGCCATGGCCTTCACATCGCTTGCCGGGCTAGTCATAACAACGGCTATCGCAGTCCTTAGTAGCGGTGTCGGTGCGTCGGCGGTTGGTAGTCTGACTACTGCCTCCACCACCTCCATAACGCCGTCACCATCACCATCACCTACTATGCAAACTGTGCCTTTTCATCTAGCTGGTCCAGATCCCACTGATGGAGACGACACCGGAGAATGCAGGCTCCTAGGGCCCTTTTCGCTTCTCGTCCAAGCTGCGCTCGGAGCATTGGCGCTGCTATCACTTGTCTACAAGCGCTGGCGGGAGAGACCTCAGCGACCAGTGAAGGTGTGGGCGTTTGATGTCTCGAAGCAAGTCTTTGGGTCCGCAATGCTGCACCTCGCCAATCTGCTCATGTCTATGTTCTCTGCGGGCCAGCTCGAGATCCGGAGTAAATACAAACCGAATCCATGCTCCTTCTACATATTGAACCTGGGAATCGATGTAAGCTTATCTCTACGCTCCATTATACGGGGTACGTGCTGACATGGTTCGTTTTCAAGACCACGCTAGGCATCCCGATCCTCATTTTCATCCTTCACCTCCTCAACCGCTTAGCTTCGTATACGCCCCTCGCCAATCCTCCGGAGTCTATCGAGTCTGGCAATTACGGAAGTCCACCGCGCGCCTCATGGTGGTTCAAGCAATCGGTGATATATTTCATGGGACTGCTGGGGATGAAGATTTGCGTCTTCTTCCTCATCCAGCTGCTGCCGTTCATCGTTAAAGTAGGAGATTGGGCTCTCCGATGGACGGAAGGCAACACGGCAGTGCAGATCATCTTTGTCATGCTGCTTTTCCCCGTCATTATGAATGCGATACAGTATTACATCATCGACACCTTCATCAAGAAGCCGATAATGCTGGATACTCTCGAAGAGGCGGAGCATGACACCCACGAACACCGCCATGCGCTCCTGGCGGGCATTGATGAGGACGCATCGTTCGAGTCGGAGGATGACTCCGTTGGGAAAGATGATGGCCCGGAAACTGTAAAAGAGGACCTAGTCCGGTTCGAGTCCGCCGAATACAATCCAGCTCAAGTTGAGCACAGCTCTGCCGCGTCAGCCAGATCGGGTAGTAGTCACGGCGAGTATGGCGATTTGTCATCGTCCACCAAGCTTACGTCCCAACATAAGGACTGATATGATCTCCACTCACGTGTGTTATGTGGCGTTTGGTGATATTCTCAGTGATTGTTCTATGGGAGTAGTGATCGGTGCATTTAGGGTTCTGGCAGGATGGCGTGTACATGATTTTACTTCAGCTGTTTGTATGTCTTTTTGTTTTGTCTACTGCGCGTTATACACCAGCAACGCATACGTATAGCCTAAAATATGATCAATTATAAGGTCGCCTCTAAGGTTCCTTTTGAGTAGCAACCTACTTCGATAATTCTGCCTGAAATACCAGGCACAATGTACCGCAGTGACCGCACCCCTCACCGCCCACATCTGCCGGCCGCCGAAGAAAATTATTGTCGGCTTCGCTTTCTGCGATATACACCACCCCCTCTATCCACCCATTCAATTCTCTTCTAAACTCTGAACAATCAGAGAATACCTATCTCACAATGCCGAAGGCGGCCGTTAAGCAAAAGTCTCGCCAGAAGGTCAAAACGGCCGCGCGCTCCCCCTTCGAACCAGGCCAACCCATTCGCGAAGCCAGCGACATCGACATGTCCGACGATGAAACGAGCTCCGACGAGTCTTCGGTGCCGGAGAAGGACGATGCCGAGAGGAAGCTTGAGGCGTTGCTCTTCGGCGACGATGAGGGATTTCTTGGCGCGTTGAAGAACCAGAAGGATCGCAGTTTAGTGCTTGCGGGTCAGAGTAGCGATGAGGAGTCTGCGGAGGAGGGAGACGAGGATGAGGTGAAGGATCTGTCGCAGATGGATGATGCTGATGTTTGTTCTATCTTCTTTTGATCTCTGTTTCCGTAACTCTGCTGGATGCTAACGAATGGGCTGTGGTAGCTTTTCTTCCTTGATTCTGGCGCCGGACCGGTTTCTACGGACCTCAGCGAGGCGGCGCCCGCCGTGCCGTCGGATGAAGAGGGCAGTGAGGAGGAGTCCGGTATGCCTGCGCTGTGGCATGATAGTGACGATGAGCGCATTACGATCTCCTTGGCGAGTCACCAGAGATTGAGGAAGCTGCGTGTTGCGGAATCGGAGGATGTCATTAGCGGAAAGGAGTATATTCGGCGCCTGCGCAGACAGTACTTGCAATTGAACCCGATGCCCGACTGGGCCAACCCGGAGAAGCAGCAACAGAAGGACGATTCTGATGCGGACGAGATGGATACAGATGATGAGGAGCCGACGTCCACGCAGCCGCTGGCTAAGTTGCTCCAGAACGCTACGGACCTTGTCAACGTGGAGGAAAAGACGTCTGGCGGCCGCAGAAAGATGCGCCAGGAGGTTGTGGATATCCAGCGTCTCAAGGACGTTGGCAAAGACCAGCCGGTATGTTTTCTGTTGCTAGGTTGCGCATCACTTCAATCTAACATAGTATACAGTCCTCGGTCGATTCGCTCATGTTCCACCCCAACTACCCGCTGCTCCTCTCCTCCGGACCTGCAGCCACGCTCTTCCTCCACCACATCTCCCCCTCCTCCCCAGCCCCTAACCCGCTCCTCACCTCGTTCCACATCCGCAACACCCCCATCCACACCTCGGCCTTCACACGCCGTCCGGCAACCGCATCTTCGCCTCCGGCCGTCGCCGCTACTTCCACATCTGGGACCTGGAGACCGGCAAGGTGGACAAAGTCAACGGCACCGCCGACCGTAAAGAGGAGCAAAAGTCCATGGAGCGATTCAAACTCTCCCCCTGTGGCCGCTACGTCGGTCTGGTCGGCACCTCCCGCAAGGGCGGCGGTCTTATCAACATCCTGGACTCCGGCACAGCGCAGTGGATCGCGCAGGTGCGCGTGGACGGCCGCGGCGGCGTGGCTGATTTCGCCTGGTGGAGCGACGGCGAGGGTCTAACAGTGGCTAGCAAGAACGGTGAAGTGTCCGAATGGGACGGCCGTCTCAACCGGGTCGTCGCGCGCTGGATGGACGCCGGTGCCGTTGGCACGACGGTGCTCAGTCTGGGTGGTCGGTCCGGCCGCACTCAGCTGGGCGGGGACCGCTGGGTAGCGATTGGCAGTTCCAGTGGTGTGGTCAACGTGTATGATCGTCGCGAATGGGCTGCGGCGTACGCGGCGCAGAGCGAAGACGTCGAGGCTGGTCAGGCGGCGATTCCTCGTAACCCGGAGCCGGTTCGGGCGCTCGATCAACTCACGACGCCGATCAGCCACTTGGTCTTTGCGCCGGATGGACAGTTCTTCGTTATGGCGAGTCGGTGGAAGCGCGATGCGTTGAGAATGGGTGAGCCTCATCCCCTAACTTCCCTGATCATAGACTTTGTAGAAAGAATACTGACGATAGACAGTTCACCTCCCCACATGCACGGTGTACCGCAATTGGCCGACGTCGAATACGCCTCTGGGTCGCATCTCGTCGGTGGCTATCTCGCCCAACTCGGAGCAGTTGGCTGTGGGTAATGAGCAGGGACGGATCAGGTTGTGGGAGATTAGGGGATGATTAATTATTCCTACTTGGTACTTTACAGTAGCCATAAAAGTTATATACTGCATATTACGTGGAGTTAGTGTAGAGTAGAATACCAGTGCAGATTCATTCAATCATATTGATGGCATGTTATGTGACGTGTAACAGATACATACGAGCGAGCCCTAATAAGCAACCATATCCAAGCAAACAAGGTAAAAGCAGACAAAGTAACCTATGAACACCTCCGCCACTTTCCGCATAATCTCATCAGAAAATAATCGTCAATTGAACAAGATAGGAAGATAGAACCGAGATAGAAACGTCAGAAGACGGTGTGTAGAAGCAGACTGCCCGTGTTGATCAATCAATTTACCGCAGACCCTATACCATTAACGAGTAGTCAGTACACCATTCTCATATAATAAATACCAACCATACTCCTTTCCTCCTCTCTCTGTCTCCTTCTTGTAAGGACAAAACAAAGAAAATATAAAGACTGGGAGAACTAACCAATCCACCGAGCTATACCACCAAACAACAGTTAGCCATCCATACCCCACAAGACAAAAAAGTAACCAAGCAGATGGAAGATACATACCAATCCCAAAATCCCCGACAACTAATCCCCCAAAACAAAAACCCCTCGTTAGCATTTACCCTTTTTCAACGCAATCCTCAACAGGAAGGACACCGGTGATACTTACGAAATCAAGCGGCTGCACAAGTCACACTCATTAGCACCCATCCACATACACATACACAATGAATAGTCTGACACAGAGAAGTTGGAGGGTAGGGGGGAAGGGTATATACATACATCACTATTATCCTTGTCCCCTTGACCATCATCACCCCCCTTGGGATCCTCCTTTCCATATCCATCATCACCATAATCTTCGTAGTCACCATCGTCGTGACCACCATCATCATCATCGTAATCATCATCGTCATCACCCTCATTACTCGTCTCATACTGCGCCGAGGCACCCGACGCAGAGGCAGAGGCGCTAGCCGACGCCCGAGAACTGGGTGTAGCCGATGCTGCGGCGTTGGGGGTGTGCATTGCTGCTGTTGCGGGTGTCGCTGGGGCGAGGTCTCGGTTCTCTATGATGGGCTTGGCTGCGGCGAGGGCTGTAGTGGCCCAGAGGGTTGTTGTTAGGAGGGTATCGAGTCTCATGGTTGGGAGGTACTGTGTATGCTAGGTAGAGTAGTAGATGGAGGGGTTTGGTGGTGAGCAAGTAGTGAGTGAGTGAGGGACTTCAATGGTAGTATGAGAAGAAAGATGAGGGAGAAGAGGGAAGGGATAGGGTAGGGTTGGGCAGGGTAGATAGGGCAAATATTTATATCATCATCATAGTTCATCTAGGACTAACAAGTGTAAACACACTGTTGCTGGTAAGTATCTACAAGGTTCATCCATGATGGTTCCTACATGATACATGCAAGGATTCATGGGGATGTGCATTCCGACCCAGTTCCAGGTGAAATCAGTTGTCGGGTTATTTCTTTTCTGTCCACGAGATTCAAGCATTCTTCGTCTATCCCGCCGGGAATGTTTTATCGGGATCCCCCATTCTTCCTGTGCAACCAAGTCAACACTGGCCAACTGAGTGACCGTGCACATTCTTTCTTTTTTGCCTTCCGCTTGCATTGCTCAGGGCTTGTTTGCTGCGGGGTTTTGTGTCTACAGGATGGTAGTGTGGCAGGTCTAGTCGATAGGAACAAGAGAGTTACACATTCACTGGCTTACTGGCTTACTTTTTAATCAGTACAAGGATTGCTCCAGACCAGACCAGGCCGGGCCAATTCTTCATAACAACTGTAATCAATTATTTTCATTCCGTCCACCGCCGTCTCAACACCAGAGAATAAAATATCACACCAAAGAATTCATATTTATGTGCGCCAGGTCATTATAGCAGGGTCTTCATGTCAGCCATGTTTCGGATACCGGCCAGGTTGCCGGCCTTGACCCGCTTCAGGGTCAGCGCCGCAATCAGCGCAGCTCCCACACCAGATCCATCCTCGGCCGCCATGATGGTCACCTTGTCCTGCTCCTCCGGAGCCCAGTCCAGGATCTCGCGCAGAGCCTTGGCTCCGCGCGCCTTGAAGTGAGGGTACTTGGTGAAGACGGAGCCGTCGGCACCAACGTGGCACGAGTCGATCTTCTTCTTCGTGCAAATGGCGGCAACACCGCAGGCCGACAGGCGAGCGGCACGCGTACCGATCAGCTCGGCCAGGCGGCGGATCATCTCCAGCTCCGCCGGGGTGGCCTTGATGTTGAGCTCGCGCTCCATGAGCTCCTCGGTCTCCTCCAGGTTCTCGTAGGGGTCCTCCTCGATGGCTGCCAGGAAGGAGGCATCCAGGATGTAGGGCTTGCGCAGCTTGGTGGTGTCCTGGCCGTTGAAGATGAGGCCGGGGCGGTTCTCCACCAGGTCCATCAGGGCCAGACGGAAGATCTCACCCAGGTACAGACCGGCGGTCATCTTCTCGAAGGCCTGCTGACCGGGACGGGGCGAGTCGCGGTCGATGATGTGGTCGTACTTGGTCAGAGGCAGCACGATGTGCTCGTTGTCGAAAGCACCGTACTCGCAGTTGATAGCCACGGGCATGTCGGCGGGCAGGTTCATGTGAGCCAGCTTGGGGATGGAGCCGGCGTTCTCCATGTAGGCGGCGTTGACACCGGTACCGAAGATGCAGCCGATCTTCATGTCGGAGTCGGTGTAAGAAGAGGCGATGAGGGTTCCGGTGGTGTCGTTGATCAGTGCAGCCACCTTGATGGGCAGGCCCTAGAGAGACATACCAGATTAGCTCGGGTTACACATCATGGGGGTGGAGGGGAATTCGACGTACGCGCTTCTGCAGGATGGCCTCCAACGGCGGGACGACGTCGTGGCCCTCGACACCATCAATGTCGAAACCCTTGGTCCAGCGCTGCAGGACACCGTGGTCGATGTAATCCTGGGTGGCGGGGTAGGAGAAGGTGAAACCCAGGGGCAGCTTGGAGATCTTCTCGTTCTCGTGGTGGGACTCGATGAATTGCTGCAGGCAGTCGGCGATGTATTCCCACAGCTCCTCGGCGGTACCGGTCTTCAATTCCTCGGGCATGCGGTACTTGGACTGGGTGATGTCGAAGGCACCCTTCTCCTGGGTCAGGGTGATCTCACAAACACGCAGGTTGGTGCCACCCATGTCGAGGGCGAGGAAAGTACCCTGTTCGTCGCCATCGGGGAATCCCAGAACCCAGGTGACGTTCATAGGCTGAGAGGGGAAGAGAAGCGTTAGTCGAGAATGGAGGAAACAAAAACGAATTGAGTCGAATGCCGCATTGCGAGAGCCAAAGCACTTACGATGTTTCCACCCTCGACAGAGAGACCTATTGCATGGAAGAAAGAGAGTCAGTCGGAGTGATGCATTCCGGGGCCGCATTGGAAGCGGGTAAAGTGTGGAAGACGCACCCTTTTCCAATTCCTTGACAAAGTGGTTGACAATCTGCTTGAGCTTGGAGCGATCGACGGTGAATTGGTCCTCGAAGTCCTTGATCTGCTGCAAGAGGTTCTGGGGAACATCGGCCATGGAACCTGGAGAAGCACGAGGGAAGCCATCGGGTCAGCGATCGGCATCCCGAGAAATGGAGGGGGGAAGTGGGAGGAGGAGAGCTATGAGTTTACCCTTGCGGGAGGGGGGACGCTTAGGACCGATTCCAACCATGATGACGGTGAATAGATATTAGATGGAGAAAGAGGTAGTAGAGAAGGATAGTTTGATCAAAAAGAAGAATGTAGAGAAGTCAAGGAGAAGATGGAGCAGAGAGAGTTAGAATTAGAAACCGGGATGAAAGAAGATCGAGGGGGAGTGACGTGGGGCAGCAGCAGAATCATAAGCGTGGAAGCAAACAATAATAATAATAATAATAGTTGAACTAAAGTTGGGCCCCGCAGTGGAGGGGAGGGATCGCCTTCACCGGTTGTTGCTTTGGGTGTCTCGCCGCTTCATGTCTTGTCCTCTTGCATCAAAGTATCTCGAGAGTTTAAGTACTTTGTAGTCCAGGCTCTACGTGTCAGTGTCTAGATAAGTATAGCATGAAGCTAAGAGCTGTCATGTCGTTTGCGGGAGACAATTTTGCTGCGGAAGAATGTCATGTATGCACTCTGTACTGCTTGCTTCCTCATCCCGCATTCTTTACTCTTTCTTTCATTGATTAATTGATTCATCCATCACTATTTAACCTCCTCTCTTCTTTTGTTTATTATCATCAATCAACAACAAGTTTGACTACAAACATCATGTGTATCATTATCCTATATCCATCCCAATTATTTTCTTCCCATCATCTAGACTCCCGTCGAAATCCCAAGAAGCTCCAGGAACCGACTATCTCCCTGGTCTTTCGTCCACTCAGAATCCCCTCCGTTCCAGCCACCCAACGCCATCTCGCCCGGACCTTTCCCATCCATTCCATCCTCATCTCGTCCATGTGATCGCTCTTACTTTTTTTTCTTCACCTCCCTTCCTGCATTCGCGCCAGATGCGGGAAGACATGAGCCAATCCCCCAATCCGGTCGTTCTCCTCCTCGGCTTGCTTCTCCTTCCTACCCGCTGCATCCGCGTGCGTGCCCGACTGTCGCTCCAGATGCTGCCGCACTCGCTGCTGGTACGCCTGCGAGATTCCCAGCGTGCGATCAACCTCCTCCGTGAGCCGGTCCACTTCATCTTGCAGCCGCTCCTCCCGGGTTTGTGGGGATGCATTCTCCGCCGCCCGTGCGGCCGGGTCCGGGTTCGTCCTCTCCCACAGCTCCTCTAACTCCTCCCCCCAGCCCAGCGCCCGTGCCAATCGCCTCACCCCAGTGTCGCAATCACCCAGCACCAGTACATCGTCCGGGCGGGATCCCAGCCCGCCCACCCGCTCCATGTTGATCAGCACGCGGGGTACTCCATCACTAACGAATGCGGGCAGACTGGCAAACGGCTGCACTTGTAGACTGGTTCCCATAACAATGCACAAGTCCGCCTGCTCGGGAAGGTCCCGGTTGTCGAAAAAGTCAGCCGGCAGCGACTCTCCGAAGAAGACAATGTCGGGCTTCACCAGCCCCTTGCACTGAGTACAGTACGGGACCTTTCCCTTAGTGATAGCCTTTTTCATCAAGTCCTCGGGGTATTCCGCCTTGCAGTCGATGCAATGCTGTGTCGCGAAGCTTCCATGGGCCTCGACGATCTTATCACCCGGTACCCCAGCCAGCCGCTCCAGACAGTCAATGTTCTGTGAGAAATGCTTCAGTAGCATTCCCTTGTCGTAGAGCAGCTTGATGAACGAGTGTGCGATGGTGGGTCGGAACTGACCCGGGGCCAATTCCCGGGCCAGAGCGTAGAATGGGCGGGGATTCTGACGGAAGAAACTGATGTCGAAGACGGCTTCGGGATCGGGCAGGTCCAAATGGGCGAGATTCGAGTAGATGCCGGTATCTGGCGACCGGAAATCGGGAATTCCGGCCGAGGTACTAATACCAGCTCCGACCTATACATATAATTGTCTGTTAGCTATATCCCCATCTATGTCAATCTTTGAGGATGTAGAATTCGATCTGACACGGTGCGGGGGAGGGGTAATCGGAGGGAAATGTCCATACCATCACCACCACGCGTTTCACCGGTTTTTGCTTGACATATTTGGCAATCGCCTCGATGGTACGGGCCTCCAGCACCGACGGGGGGGTTTTCTCGTCTATCAGGGTCGAAGATTCGTTGCCCATGGTGCGTGGCCGGCGACCTGTTCGGGGTCGGGCGTGCTGGTGTCGGGGTTTGCGGCGGCGACCTATGATGGCGGTATATGACCAGTCCCTGTCACCAAGAAGAAGGTGCTGGAAGTAAGGCGGTTCAACAGCTAGACAGAGGGTGAATCCGTCGAAATCGTGGAGAGAAAAGTGCGACTGGAAATCTGAAGATGACGTCGAATGCAGCAATCGGCAGAATTGCCTGCCCCCGTGGCGGCCTGAGGTATCTATATCTTATGTCCCGTGATTTCTATCCGTCTGAATCCATCTATCCCTTGCCATGTCAATTCTATAGTCAATGGTAAGAAAATGTCGTGAATATCAAGCAGCTCTCCAGCCTGTTGCTCTCTTCCTCACACTTCATCTTCGTGGCCATCATTCTGAGGCACCTGCAGCAGCACCTCAGGCAGCTCCCCGGCTGCTCACCGCCTGCGGGCCGAGTGCCAGATGGCCTTCCTTTTCCCTTCATTATTATTATATCCCTCTATCTCACTGATTGATCAAACTGGGTATATATCGCCGGCCCATCTCGCCCTTGTCTGATCTTCTCAGACAATGTCCAATTCCTCGGCCGGCGTGGCCAATGGCCATGCGGTGCCTCCCTCGCATCCCGCCCCCGACATCTTCAATGCCAGCTCCGTTGCCGAGATCAAGGCCACCTTGTCGCACCTGCACCACCAGGAGGCCTCCGTTACAGCTCGTCTGGACGCCCTTGTGGCCTCCCAGAAGGATTTCTCTCGCGAATTGGGAAGACTCGACTTACTCCGCGCCCATCTCGGCTCCCAGACCAGCACCACCCGCGCCATCAGCCATGGCATGCTGGCCGATGCCGCAACCACCGCCGATCGCATATCCAGCGCCGTCCGCCGCCTCGATCTAGAACAATCCCGCGTCAAGGCAACCCTGGAAGTGGTGGAACAGGTTTCGGAACTCAAAGCCTGTGTGCTGGGCGTCGCAGGCTCCATGGGTGCGCCGCAGGACTGGGAGACTGCTGCCAGCTATCTGAACCGAGCCTCCAAGATCCCCCCGGAGGTCGCGCAGGGGGCCTTTGCCGCGGAAATGGTGCCGACGGCCGAGGTGCCCGATCCACCGAATGTTACGCTTGATAACGCTGCTGAATCGCTCTGTGGCTTGTTCCTGCGCGAATTCGACAAGGCTGTTAAAGAGAACAACGGTGCCCGCATCACCCGCTTCTTCAAGCTCTTCCCCCTCATCGGTCGCTCCGAGGTGGGTCTGGATGTCTACGGCCGCTATGTCTGTCAAGGCGTGGCGGCGCGAGCTCGATCCAACCTCAATGCCGGCACAGGGGCTTCGCCAAGCAAGGACGGCTTCTTCTACGCCAATGCGCTGACCAAGCTGTTCGAACATATCGCCCAGATCATCGATGGTCACGGCGGCCTGGTGGAGCGTCACTACGGCCCGCGCAAGATGAATCGCGTTATTGAGCGTCTGCAGCTGGAGGCCGATGTTCAAGGTGGCATCATCCTGGACACTTGGAGCGACGAGCGGCATGTCGACCGAAAGCTGACCGACACCAAGTCCTACGCTTTCACTTTCCTCGTGCAGAGCTTCCTCCCTCCGCAGCGCAGCGGAACGCCCCGGTCCAACTCGCCTGCCGTACGGGATGCCGCTGCGGCCGATGATGAGGGCGTGGATATGAAGGAGATTGACGGGCTTCTCAACGAGATGGCCGTCATGCTTGGTCGCTGGTCCCTGTACTGCCGGTTCTTGGCCGACACCTGCAATGTAAGTTCTTACCAACACCATTCTGATCGTCCTGACTGACCCAGTCCCAGCCCCCGGAAGAGGGTGACAACCAGAAATTCGCCCTGCCGCAGTTCCTCCGGGAATCCACTCTAGCGAAGAAAATCAATGACCGCCTGGCCTCTCCGTTCAACACCATGACCACATTCTTCTTCCGCCGGTCGGTCGAGAAGGCGTTCCAGCTGGACGAACAGCCCTCTGGCCTGACCCTGAACCCGCAGAGACCGCTCAAATCCGAGCCGCCGCACATCACATCCGCCGTCGACGACATCATGTACATCGTCAACAAGGTCCTGCAGCAGTCTCTCGTCACATCGCAAATCTCCGTCGTCACCAGCGTTGTGCCCACGCTCTCGCGCGTCCTCGGCTCCGACTTCATCGGCATGACGCAGCGCAAGATGCGTGACGAATGCTACCCCCGCGCCGCCGTCCAGGGCGGCCAACCCCCCGAGCAACTCGTCATCTCCTTCCTCGTCCTCATCAACAACCTTGACGTCGCCGTCGATTACGTCCGCCGCATCCTACAGAACCATACCGAGCCCAAAAAGTCCATCGGCCCTGATGGCCAGCCCGAGGAAACCGACCCTCTGCGCTCGCTCTTCCCCGTCCCCGAGGAAGCCCGCCTCGCCACACAAACCCTCCAATCCCTCTCCGCCTCCTTCGAGTCCAAGGTCACCGACCTCCTGGCAGACGGCATCCAAGTCGTCTTCAATAACGTCATTAAACACCGTCTCCGCCCCATCCTCTCCGACGCCTTCCGCGACATCGAGTATCAACCCCGCGAAGACACCGACCCCACCCGCACCATCTACCACGACTACGACTCCGACGATCCGGACTACATGGCGGATGGCACCGTCCCAGATGACGACGACCCTACCAGCCGCGCAGAACTCGTCCGTCCGCGCTTCGCCGCCGCCTGGACCGAGCTGCTCCTGCCCCTCAGCCGCATCCTCACCGCATCCGCCTTTGACCGTCTCCTCACCGTCACCATCGCCTACCTCTCTCGACTCCTGGAGAAGCGTCTCTGGTCTTACCACGGCCGTGTCAATGCCCTGGGCGCCACCCGCCTCGAACGCGATGTATCCGGGGTGGTCAGCGCCGCTGTCGACGTGGGCGGCACGCAAGCGGCACCAGGTCGGTACCGGCACCGGGAAGCGTTCACGCGGTGTCTGCAGATGGTCCTGGTCATGGGCATGGACGAAGATGAGTGGGAAGATGTACTCCGTGGTGGAGAGACAGCTGAAGTGGTGGACAAATTGAGTCGCGAAGAGAGGATGAGAGTGAGAGGAATGGTGAGACGGGTGTAATCCCTCACGTTTCACTTTTTTCCATACTCCCTGTCTATCTGACTATCTATCTACTACTTTCTTCTCGGCAGAGATTTAACTTTTCCCGTATTACTTTTCTACATCAGCAATAACATTAGCCCCCCTCCCCCAACTGACAGCGTCTTGTTAAAAAAAATTACATACGCATTCTTTTCTTTGTATATAGTATACATGCATACTACACATACCAAGCTATGTTCCATCAGTTTTTTTTCACCGCTAAATTGCATGAGTATTTTGTTTGTTCATTCTCACAAAAATCGCGCCATGGACTGTCGAGGTTACGGATTTCTCGGGTGGGGTACTTAGGGCTAGATTATACATACTACACGCCACCCATATGGTTAATCTAAGAGCCATGCGAACCATAAGTACATGATACAGTCGTGGAAACATATCCTTATTTACTCTACCTATTCATGTATTCCAGGATATAAGTGTGGTATCAATGTGCACGCTGCTCGGGGGTAAGATTTATTTTTTCCTGATCACGAATTTGTATGTATGTATGTATAAGACAACTTATTGTTGCAAGGGCTTGCTTGTCTTTGGAGAGGTCCAGCACATGCATGCCGGGTGGTAACTAGGTAGTCTGTCTGTTTACTGCTGTGGGGTATGGGGTAGGATTTCCGGGGTAGGACCCTCGGGACGCGCAGTTAGCTGTCATTTACGTCAAATTGACTGATTCTCTAGGCATGTATATGTCCCTATAGTGCAGTTGTTATATGTTATGGATGAATCAATTGACTATCTATGCATGTGCTGGTATCAGTCCATAAGCAAGATCTAGACACGTAAATAGTGAAGAAAAACAATAACCCCCCGCTTATAACCTAATATATACAATCCACCCAACAGGTAGATATACATAACCCGCGGGCTTTGTCCCTGAAAACGCCAAACCAAATCGCCGCCAAAATAATACATGTACAAAACAAGAAATGGCTCAGCCGGGCTAATAAGAAAGGCATCGCTGGATATCACAGGATTGAAGAAAAGCACACAAAGACATTAAGAAGTTAGAAAAGATGAGGAGGTCCGGCTCAAGTCGTCACCTTCTCGTTGATTTGAGTCGTCGGGATAGGCTCTTCGACCGGCTCGGGTTCATGCGGCGCGTGGTGTTCTGCTACCTGTCGCGGCGCAGGTTGCATCTTCAGCTCCTGGATGCCCGAGTCACCCTCGCTGCAGCCACGGCTGTCCACACCAACCGGGGCGTGGCCGTCCAGCATCATCTCACTGTGCTCGCCAATTCCGTACCGCGCCGCAGCGGGAATCTGGTGGCCGTCTTCAAGCTGGTTGTGCTGCTGAGGGGTCCAGGCGAGGTAGTCACGGCGGACTTCGACGTAGTCGTAGGCGAATTCACCCAGCTGGTCATCGTCCATACCCAGCAGTTCGGCTTCTTCCGAGGCACGCAGTTTCAGACCGGGAATGGCGTTGATGGCATAGGCAATGATGGCGGACATGACGAATGAGTAGGCGCAGGTAGCGACGACATAGGCGATTTGAATATAGAGTTGCTTGTAGTTGTGGATCAGCCAGCCTCCCTGTCCCGATCCAGTGTTGACACCGTCCAGTCCAACAATCGAATCGTCCGCAAAGAGGGCGTTGAAGATAAGACCGACAATTCCCGCAACACCGTGTTCCGCGAACACATCCATCGAGTCGTCGATACGGATCCAGTATTTCACTGTAAACTCAGTCAGTGTTTGAACGGGATCACTGGCCAGCAAAAGCGTGACTTACCCTTGGTGGAGTAGTTGCAAACAATACCAGTCACAACGCCCAGGATCACACTAGCCCAGGGAGGAACGAAACCAGAAGCCGGAGTAGCCGCAACGAGGCCCGAGATGGTACCAGAGCACCAGCCGACCATGGACCACTTGCGAGCCAAGCGCCAATCGAGAAGAACCCAGGTCATGCCGGCGAAGGCAGCGGTCAAGTTAGAGTTCCAGCAAGCCATGGTGGCACGAAGGTTCGCTCCAAAAGCCGAGCCACCGTTGAATCCCAGCCATCCGAACCAAAGGAAGACAGTTCCCAGGAGAATGAGAGAGACGTTGTGCGGGCGGAAGTTCAACATCATCCGCTCCTGGCGACGGCCCAAAACCATGGAGTAGGCAAGTGCCGACAGACCAGACCCGATCTCGACGGGACCGCCACCAGCGTAATCCAGGACTCCATACTTGTAGGCCCAACCGTTCGAGTTCCATGCCCAGCACGCCAGAGGACAGTACACAATCGTGGCCCAAATGAAGACGAACACCATTGCGGGGAGCATGCGTCCACGTTCCGCCACAGCTCCCATGATAATCGCTGCCGTAACTCCGCAGAATTGCATCTATTCCGGTCCTGTCAGCTATTGATTACAAAGGTCTCGATTGTCGGTCGTAACATACCTCATAGAAAGCAAAGAGAAGGTTCGAAATCAGTGGAGAGCCCGGACTAGGATCGGCCAAGGTCTTCATCAAACCGAAGTTGCGCAGGTTGCCGATGTAGCCGTTGGTTGCAGTCGGAGAAAAGGCGAGAGAATAACCCCAGAAATACCATTGGAAGGTGACGACGGAGAACGAGGCCATACAGGCCCAGATCATACTCAGAGCTGACTTGCGGCGCGCGAGACCGGAGTAAAGGAAGGCCAGACCAGGAATCATGACCATCACCATGGCCGAGGACACGATGATGAATGCTTGGTCACCGGGTTGAAACCATTTGTTCAGATTTTCCGTTCCTAGCCAGCAGGTAAGTCATGGGGAAGCCAAAACGACCAACAAAAGCAGGGTAACTAACTGGAATCGCCACCGATTTCGTTGGTCGTGAGAGCCTCATAGTCGGAGGGAGCGCCCGTCCAGTTGTAGGACGCATATTGCGGGATAAAGACGCCTGCTTTGTCCGACATGGTGGAAAAACAAAGACTATCGAAGGTAACACGAGGGATTGACGGGTCGAACTGTTCTTCTAACGGGCGTTTATGGAGTCACCACCGCCGAGGAATGTTCTCAAGCCGAGAACAGGCGGGTGGTGGATGTGGATGGTGTAGTTGGTGTGGGTGGCGGCGAGAACTGCAGAAGCGAGATCGGGATCGAGAATCGAAGACGGGGACTGGCGAAATAGAGTATCTGCAAGGGCGGAGAGGAGAAAGAGAGAAAGGGAGGTGACACAGAGTAGGAGGATTTGGGATAACTGGAATGGAGGAGAAGCGTGAATTAGGAGGAGAGAGAGAGGGAGAGAGAGACCGGCAGCGGGAATGTAAGACGGAATGCCGTGAGGGAGAGAAAGAGAGGGAAAGGATGCTCTGCAGACTGTCGACTCCGCCGGATGTGGAGAAGGGAAAACCGCCACGGGGGGCGCGGAGGGCGTCGACTATATAAATAAGAGTGCGCTGACTTGAGGAATGAAGCAGGAAGAAGGCCGATGAGTGGAGCGGCCGGGCAGACAAGATTCTGGAAAGGCACCGGAGTGGGACCTCAAACCTGCGACGAGGTTGCGCTTTTACCAATTCGTCCCGATAGCAGCGATAATAGGTTGGTGTCAATGCCCAGGCAAGAAGCAGAAGAGAAAAAGTCCCTAAACTTTGCTCAAACGTTGGGCGCGGGTGGAGCACCTCGACCGACGATAATATCTATTAGTGATGACTTTGGGCGGGTGGATGATAAGTTGATATGCCCTCGAAACTCTTTTCAATTCATTCCAGATTAGCCTCGTGTGGGTGAGAATCTGAAGACAGAGAAATTAAAAGGGAAACAAAAAGTCTAAAATTCAAATCTCCAGTAAATAGTCATAAAAAAAAAGGAAAAAGAAAAAAAGAATAATGAGAAAATAATTTATCCTCTTTCCACCACGCGAGGGAGGCGCCAGAAAATAATCAAATCAAATAAAATAAAGATAAGTGAGGAAAAAAAGAAAAAGACCCAAATGGGAGGCCGCCGAGTCGGGCGAGAGATAAGGTGAAAAATCAAATGGCATAAAATAAACTCGGGCCCGACGATCATCCACCAGAACCCATTCAAAACCCACTGGTTGCGTTTCCTGGCGAACGGCGGAGGAATGGATGCTGCTGCTGCTGTTGGTGATGGGAGGAGGATAGACTTTTTCCTTGCTGCGTGTGCTTCACTTGTCAAAGTCGATAGATCGTGGGAAGCTCTTCACAACCATACACACATAGGCATCAATTGTATTTCCCAGTTTCCTGACAATCATTTTCTTCTGCAGTGATTGCAAAAGTGAGTTGCCTGTCTGGGCCCTTGATTGGGTCCGTGGCAAAACTGCCGCCCTCGGCCAAGACCGCCGCCGATTGAGGAGGGACTGCAAGAAATTCCCAAATAAGTTCGGTGGCGAAACCTCCCGTCATATTTCCACTCTGATCCCGGTTGGGTCCTGGTATACTATCCTCGGTTAAGCCAGTTGGAATGATCTGTTTCATCATCATAAGCAGCAGTAGCAACAGCAGCAGCAACATTAGCATCAGCATCAGCATCATCATCTACACTCAATTCATATCGGGTGTTCATTCAACACAGGTTTCGTCATGTTCAAGTTCCAATGGACAGGGAAGGGCGTCGGTCCAGGCCCCGACCCATTGAATCTGCAAACTCGTCCCAGGGGAGAGTGTTCGTATAGCCTCCCGGTTAGGTTCCATGCTGTTTCCCTGCTTGTATAGTAAGCTGTAATCCGCAGTATACGGTATGGTATATGGTATCATATGTGGTCGATGATGCCCACGCGACAGACGGTAAGTGGACTGTAGGACCGCATAGACCAGCTCAGCCCACCGCAGTATCTGCTGCGTTCTGGATCATCATCTCTCCGCATGCAGAGAGGGAAAAAAGGCAAAAAGAGTGAAGAAGCACCAGCAATCCTGGGGGCGCGGGCTTGGGGCTTCTGTTTACTTTATGTATCTACTCGATATGCGCGCACGCGGAACTCCGACAGCTGGCTGTTTATCTATCACGCATACCTTCAAGCCCAATGATAACAGACTGAACACGTTCCAGAGCTACAGAGCGCATACTCGCGGCCTGGAGCCCTATCTGCTGCCGAGTTGGGCCGGCAAAGGAATGGGCAACCGGGTCCAGATTAGTAGATAGATAGGGATCATTGACCGTGTGTTTGATCTGGGCTCGAATTTGAGGCAGACAGGCAGAAAAGCAGGCAGGCAGGCACATGCTTGCAACCCTGCTTCGTCTCACATGCAGAAATGCCTCTTTCATGTAAGGAAGAGTACGATCAACCACGGAAAGGATAAAACCAGTCTGATACATCCAATCCAAAAACAGAAATGAAAGGGATATCCTAGTTGACTCCCCATCTATCTATCTTGACTCGGTATAGATGTAAGTACTAAACTGCCAATTTGGAGCCAAGACGCAAACCACAAGATCTTCACGTTTCATGCTCAATCCATCCATCATCCATCCATCCGTATTTCCCACGACCAAGAAGCCCATTCCGTGGAAAACGGAAAACTCAAGGGAACCCACGAACCTGAGAGTTGAACCTTTCTTATCAGTTCCATTTTCTCTCAGCTCATCACCACTCCGAATCGATTGGACAGGAGGTCACGATAAGGGCAGCTGCACGCCACCTGCATCCGGGGTGGGTCCCGCTGGACCCCGATCCGGCCTAGCTCAGCCTCGAAAGGCTCCACCGCGCTGATAACGACGAAGCTTGGCCAATGATAGTCCGCTTGTCATTCCTGTTTCTCCCGATGTCCGCTCGGGAGTTTCAGGAATTGGGTAGGCCTGAAGCGGGCGGGCGGGCGTCGAGGTTGGGTCGCGCAGTCGCCGGTTCGGAGGTTTGCTGGGTCTAGTCTAGTAGCAGTTAGATAGACAGGAGATACGGGGACGGGATGAATGACTGGCGAGTCGGGGCTGCGTTTGCTTGGCTCTTGGCTCGGAGGATTCCGATGGTGAGGATGCCGCGGTGCGGTGTGTTGGTGCTTACCTCGCATTCTTAGAGATGAGTGAGTGTGGGGGAAAATACTAAAATACTTGGTGGTGTATAGTCTACTGCTTCTACTGGCTATTCAGATCGGAGGGTATGTCACTCTGCTTGCTTTCCCATACGATGATATCGTACTTACGTCTGACAGTCCCAGCCCCGGGCGGACAAATGGCACGCAAAAGCATGGATGGGTACCGAGTAGACTAGCAGTCGCGTGGGGTGGGACTACACTAGGCAACCCGAATTGCCTATCAGCACACCCGACAGAAGTCCCGAGTGATTCTACGGGAGATGATAGTAGATAGATCATCCTACATCGGACCTGTGCTCCCCCGGTGCTGATAACACCGTTACCCAATCCGGTCTAGCAGGAGTTCATAAGTAGATGTTATCCCCAGTGCCCAGTTCAGGGGGGAAGTAGAACGAGATAAGAGACACTGTAGATAGGGACTACACTAGTACCTGGTACCTATCTTTAGTTTCTTTTAGAATAAGGATTCCTTCCATGTGCTCGATCTGATGTCCCCATATAACTAACCTAACCCCGTCTCCGCTGCACTAGCTCCCTTATCTCTGGGGTTTCTTGTCGAGTAAGGTGATAGTATTCTCTATCAGGTGGGTTGGATGTTACTGCATATTGTGTGACTAAACTGGTTGCTGATCGTTGACTCCTTACTAGTTCCTGCGTCTTAGTCTTAATGATGCTTATTTGGACTACTCCTTTTGTGGGGGCTCTATACTCACTACGTGTGTGGCCATGTATGACCTTATCCATCACAGACGTCACAGACATGCCATAAACATGACACAATAAACCGTGTGTATGCCACGAGTGAAAGACCGAGTGCTACAATGACATGAAAATAAACTACACATCCATGTCGACCACGTGCCCTCACAGACCCTTGGGGGAACCACAGCATCGGGTCCCGGTCCATGCCACGGGGCAAGCTACAACGATGATCGACTGAGGGGACCAGAGAGGGGACTGTGGACGATGAGCCCATCACTGGAGCTAAAAATTGTCAACGGTCACGGGCGTGCACCAATCATGGGTTTGCCTGTCGCCTGTTTGTTGCAGGGACCAATGGCCAGGCGCCATTACCTAACATTTATTGTCCAGACAGCCCTAATTCGACGTCCGCTGCAGATGCACGGTCATGAGTCCGTCCCAGATCATTCTTTCGATCCGGAGAATGTACTGCTTCCGGAGATCCATTAGACATGGGGGATCACGGGCCGGGCCAATCGCCCCTTGCGGATTAATTCTGCGATCTGGGCTCGGGTTGAGCATACCGAGGCGACGGGAACGGATGTTGTTGCCGCTGGTATGCTGTTCCGGTTGGTGATGGGCCGTAATGGGAGTGACCACCCTTTCTTAAGTACTTGCCACGGCTTCTTTCAGCTGGATTGCAGTGCTTGTTGAGAAGCGGCTTCGCTTTGACATGCTGTGCACTTGAGCCTTATTGAATGTCGGCGTCGAAACCAGGCCTATTCCTACTTCGGCCCCGACCTTTCGGGATCCCGGTGTTTCATGCGCCCGTTCTTCGAGAAGCCTACATGATTTCGGTTCTTCGTAATATTTTCTTGGTTCTAAACCGACATATCGTATCCTTGGATATGATACCTCAGTTGGTGTGCTTCTCTCTGCAGTTGACCGCTGCAAGCTGACGAGGAATCCGGGGGCTAAATCACGTCAGCCACCTGACCTATATGAGCTCGACTTTTGGAGCTTCTTGTTCACTGTATCCGAGTAGGTCTCTGTTTTGGTTCACTGGTACCTGAATTACTTATCTAGGACATATCGGTGCCACGGTGTCGGGCCTCTCAACCCCCTGCCACCCGGTTTATCCTACTCGGCGGCCGGCAAAGTTTCCATATATATATGTAGTCGTAGTGTCAGTCGAAAACCACCCAATGACATTCATGGTTTTATCGATGTATGATCGTACGCAGTTGAATATCTAGTAATTTGAATTGACCGAGTCTCGATTTCTATATTGTTCGCTAGGACACAAGCTATGAAATGCATATGGTGTATTGTTGACTTGGATTTAGACCTGTGATTGTATACAGTAGACTAGTGGAAGCGAAGGGGGTATTGCTGCATTATCATAGCCTTATAAATTGTAATACTAACCAGTAATTCAACAGTTGGCCTGCTGGCCCAATGGTAAGGCGCTTGACTACGGATCAAGAGATTGCAGGTTCGAGTCCTGCGTAGGTCATTCTTTTTTTGCATCTCTTTTCCCCTCTCATACAAGCCGGACGGACACTAACCAGGTTGGCCTTACCTTATGTTTTGTTTATCGCCCAACTGAAACGCCGATACTGGTATCAAAGTATAAGGAAAAGCATCTATACATATAGCCTATAACCTAATCTATTAAACATTGACACTGTATCCTACCCCCACCGTGCCCCGTCGTTTCAACGCCATATAATACTTGCGGGCCTCATCAACCCAAAATACGGTACTCGAAATACACACCAGCCGGAACAAATGTCCAAAGCCCAGGGGCTCCGTCTGGAAGATGCGCTGCAAGAAGGGAAGGTAAATCACACACGCCTGTCCCGCGAGCGAGCCCAGAACGGCGTAGTTGAACATCTTGTTTCCAAAGAGAGAGATCTCGCCACGGAGCACCGACTTGCCCTCGCTGCGGCACGTCAATGCGTTGAACATGTCGAACAGTACGAAGCATGTAAAGGTCATCGTGGTGTCGTGGGCGGTCACCACGCGGGAGTGCACGCCGGGGTTGGCGGTGTCGTCGGCGTCGCCCATTTCGTGGATGTAGATGGCCAGAGTGCCGAGCATGATCATCATCGCGGAGGTGAGCACCCGCTGAACGAGCGGCCTTGTGAGAACGCGGGCATTCCGGGGTCGGGGTGGCCGGTTCATGATGGACGGATCAACAGGTTCCACTCCTAGCGACTGCGCAGGGGGGCCATCCATGAGGATATCTAAATTTCGAAATTAGCAGTGCTCCAGACATGCAAGGCGACATAAACTCACTGATCCATAGGATTTGCATGGCGTTCAACGGGTTCTTGAAGCCCAAGGTGGTGCTCAGCAATACGAGACTCAGTGCAGCAACACTGGTACTGAGCTGAAAGGTAATGAAATTCTGGATGTTGTAGAAGATGCCCTTGCCCTGCTCAATGGCACGCAAGATGGTCGAGAAGTCGTCGTCTGTCAAAATCATATCCGCGGCCTCCTTGGCGACATCTGTGCCCAGCTTGCCCATCGAGATACCAATGTCCGCCTTCTTGAGTGCCGGGGCGTCGTTCACGCCATCGCCGGTCATAGCCACTACATCGCCACGGGATTGCAAGGCACGCACAATCTTCATTTTATGGTCCGGACTGGTGCGCGCAAAGACCGAGGTCGAGGATATGGCTTGCGCGAGCTCCTGGGTGCTCATCCGATCGATCTCATGCCCATTCATGACAGGCCGTGATCCGGGAGCGTCACTGACCGGCATTCCTAGTTTCTTCGCGATGGCCACAGCGGTCGTCTCCGCATCTCCCGTGATCATGATGACCCGCACTCCTCCAGCCATGAGACGCCGGATGGACTTGTGGACATCCTTGCGCGGAGGGTCGTTCATGCCCACCAAGCCCGCAAAGACTAGTCCATTGTACCGGTCATCGTCATCACTCTGGCTGCTGGACTTTGACACGGGCGTACCCGATCTGCTGCCAAACGCTCTTCCTCTCGAAGTGTCCCTAACTGCTCCACTGGCGAAAGCCAAGACCCGCAAGCCCTCTGCCGCCATATGTTCGGCTGCGTGCCTTATCGACTGGCGCCGTGGTTCATCCAGGATAACCTCACGGCCATCCTTGGTCAAGTAAGTATCGCACCGGGTCAATACCTGCTCGAGGGCTCCCTTGATATAGGCCACATTGTCACCGGAGGTGCCGTTGCCAATGATTACACCCATCCATTTGCGCTCAGAACTGAATGGAGTTTCCGCGACACGGGCGCTGATACGCTCACGCACATCGTCCTCGCCGAATGTATCCAGCAAATCCAGAATAGCCACGTCAGTAGGCTGGCCAACCCATCTGCTACGGATACTTCCAGAAGCCCTGTCGTCCGTGGAGGACAAGACCGCGGCAGAGGAGGCGCTAGCTGGAGAGTTAGCATGCACGCGAGATAGTCTGGCATTGTTGGCAATGTTGCCGATTCGCAGAACGGTCCGCGCTGCAGGCCCGGGCGTCAAGGAGGAAATATCATTATGGACCTCAAAAGGCTCGGGGCAGTCAAAGTGCCACATTTTGGTAACCGTCATGTGGTTCAGAGTCAGAGTACCGGTCTTGTCACTGCAAACGACGTTTACAGAGCCTAGCGTCTCGACACTCGGCAGCCGTCGCATGATAGCTCCTCGCTTGGCCATGCGCAGCACTCCCAAAGCCAGCGTCACGGTGACAATGATAGGGAGACCTTCCGGAATCGCAGCCACCGCGAGCGAAACACCGATGGTGAACATCTCGAGGAGCTTGCGACCCTGGATCAAACCAATGAGAACGATCAGTCCGATGACACCGAACGAGATGTAACTCAATTCCTGGCCCAAACGGTCCATTGACAGCTGGAGAGGCGTCCGCGGGCTTTCAATTTCCTGGAGGGAGGCGGAAATGCTCCCAAACTCCGTCTTCGCACCTGTTCCGATCACAATTCCCTGTCCGTATCCCGACCGAACCAGCGTACCCATAAAAGCGATGTTGTGTTGTTCATTCAAGCGGATGTCGGCTCCCACGGCGCCACTGGCCGGGGCATCGTAAAATGGCGATCGAGGCGGGCTCACAATCTTAGGGGAGTGCGACGGAAGGTGCTTGGGGCTGCGAATGGCATCGGGGTACTTGACAACCGGTTCGTTTTCGCCTGTCAAGTTGGACTCATCGATGGAGAGATATGTGGCGGCAGTGATCCTTATGTCTGCCGGAATGCGGTCTCCGACGGTGAAGAGGACCAAGTCGCCTGGCACGAGTTCCGTGGCGGGCACGGTAGTCGAGGCCTTGACGGCGGTGGAAATGGATGCGCTCTTGCTTCGCAGCTCCTGCAACTCCATCTCCGCACCAGGAGCCGGGGGAATGGTGCCGGCCACTGGAGGGCCATTCAAAGGAACATCGCGAATTAGATGCGCATGGTGCGGCACCAGACGACTCAGTGCCTCCAGAGACTTTTCCGACCGATATTCCTGAACGAATCCGACGGTGACCACGATTGTGACGGCGAGGGTAATGCTGACTGCATCGTCATAGTTTCCCATGAAAAAGGAGATCGCAGCGGAGGCCAAAAGGAGGAGGATCAAGGTCTCCTTAAACTGCTTGAGAAAGCGGAGCCAGATGGGCTCTGGTTCTTCGTGCGGGAGTTCGTTGGGTCCCTCTTGTGCCAGGCGCACCTCGGCCTCGGCGGGATTAAGGCCATGGACGAGGGAGGTCTGTAAGCGCTCCGCGGTCTCTTGCGGATCTAAGAGCGAATATGTCGAGGTAGACGTCTATCCGCGCAAGGCGCTCCGGTTAGCTGCGCCGACGGGAGGTACGTAGACGGCAGAGGGGACAGATTGCAAGAGAGACAACGAGTTGGACAGGGCAAGCCACTTACAGAAGGGGAAGGACTGGAGCGCACGTCCGCCGGGGTTGTCGACCTCGGTCTCGAATCGGGGATCTGGGCATTATGGAAAGGGAGCGCGGGCGTTGCGGACCTTGACATCTCTCATGCTTTGTCGAAACGGAAAATAAGCCCAGGTATATCAGACACCAATTGCTAGCATCCCGTCGGGAACAGTAAGGAAGGAATAATAAAAATCGAAGAGAGCGAGGTGTTCTTTTTCCAGGGGGGAGAGGAAATGAGATGTGAGAGTAATTGCTTTGGGGGGAAAAGCGACAAGGCCGGCGAAAAGGCAAAGCCACAGTCTCTCCTGGTGGTTTGACGCGAGCTGGCCGTAACTGCATCAATAATCGTCAATTGGTTAGCCCAGATGGGGGGGAAAGTCGCTAAGTGGACACGGCGCGACCAGACCAGGGAAGGGAGAGGAGGATTGGGCCAGACTTCGGGGCAGAGTAGAAGAGAGGGAAGAGAATAAAACCTACCCGGTCAGCAGTTAGTACTTTTGTCGATAAGAATACAAAGAAACCTTGTCTTATTGAGAAACCCTGATCATGACTCGGAGCAGGTAACCTTCAATCGACTCCTCTCCTTCATACATACATTGGATTTCGCCTTGGATTTCTTTGCTTCTTTCTATTGACGGCTTCATCCTTGGGCGGTGCGGCTGATGATGCCTTGCCCGATGCGGCCTAGCCTTACCGGATGACGTGTTGTTCCGAGCTGTCCATATCGGGACTAGTTCGCGTGAGCTTGATACACATGCTGAGTCAGCTCATCTCAGGTGATCCGAAAATGACATAAGCGAGACTGCTCCACGTGACCCCAGCCACAACAATACGCACCAATCAGAGGCAGGCAGAAGAAGGAGGAGGCTGGGCAACAAAACCTCCTCCCAGCCTGAGTAACCTGGCAGTCAATCACTGTTGCTGGCCGGTCGACGCGCCTTTCTTGTCTCTGCCTCTCGCTCTTCTGTCTTTCCCTTCCCAAAGTTCCCACTTCTTGTTTCCCTCCCACCTTTTGCGACTTCGAACCTTCCCCAACCCCCTCTCTTTTTCTCTTCTTCCCTATCCCTCACCCCCCCCATTTTCGCATCCCACTATCGCCAATCCCTTTTTGGCTTCCTTCTTGTTTCCCCTCCAACCATCCGTTGTAGGGCGTGTTTGTCTCTTCACGGTCGCATCTTGCGCGATCCTTTATTCCTCAACCAAGCTACCCGTCATCGGATTGTCGGGAACCATACTGTGGACTCCTCCCTCGCTCACTGCCCGTAGGGGGCCGAGCACCCGTCGCTGATCCTTTTTGTTTTCTGGATACGGCGCGCGTCCCCAGGCGTTTTGGTTGCCCGGGACTTCCACCACCACCAAACAGCCACCGTTCTGGGTGGGGTATTCGTCTTACTGCACTGTCTCTTGTCTTCTTGGATCTGTTTCTTGCGACACTTAGCTCTTGGTTTGATTTATCTCCCCTGCTCTCCCCGCCACCATGTTCTACTCGGAGACCCTGTTGTCGAAGACCGGGCCACTGGCCCGCGTCTGGTTGTCGGCCAACCTGGAGCGCAAGCTTTCCAAGTCGCACATCTTACAATCCGACATTGAAAGTAGTGTCAGTGCGATCGTGGACCAAGGCCAAGCCCCCATGGCTTTGCGATTGAGCGGTCAACTGCTCCTGGGTGTGGTTCGCATCTACAGCCGCAAAGCGCGCTATCTGCTGGATGACTGCAATGAGGCCCTGATGAAGATCAAAATGGTCGGTGCTACTTGGTTCCCCCTCTCTTGCATATTCCGGCCCCTCCGTCGCTGACTACTCTTCCTCACATAGGCCTTTCGTTTGACGAACAACAATGACTTGACCACTACGGTCGTTGCCCCTGGCGGCATCACTTTGCCCGATGTACTGACGGAATCCGACTTGTTTATGAATCTGGATTCCTCCCTTCTGTTGCCGCAAACCCTCAACCTCGAGCCCGAGGGTAAGCGGCCTGGTTCTTCGATGGATTTCGGTAGTCAGCTGCTCCCCGATACTGGCTTGCGCCGCTCCGCATCGCAAGAACCTGCGCGCCTCGAGGATCACACCCTGGTCGACTTGGATTTGGGAGAAGATGAAACACCTCTCGGCCATGACTTCAGCATGGAAGTCGGTCGAGATGCCCCGGCTCCCCGCCCCGTGGAGGAAGATCTTTTCAGCGATGGGGGCAAATTCAACGATGTCGACAACCTGCAACTGGACCTTGGTGAAGATGATGCTCCCCTGGATAAGATGGATCTGGGCGACGACGCTCTACCCGATAACCTTCTGCAAACGGATGACGCCATGGACCTCGGCGATGATCATGACGAGCCTGCCCCCAATGCCGACGATGAGCTGGAACGCGAGAGTGCCCTGAGCTCCATGGCGGACGATGATCTAGACGACCTTGAAAAGTCTCAAGCGTTCGAATTAGACGTGAATGACGTGAATGACGAAGATGATGAGGTTACTGCCAAGCATGCTCAACCGCCAAAGCGCCGCAAGGTCGTTCTCATGGCACTGGACAAGGAGACCGACCAAAAGGTCAAGGATGTCAGAGAACAATACTTGACGCGCGAGGAGATCATGAAGCCCTCTTCATGGCTGCCCCGGGACCCCGTGCTGCTGACCCTGATGAACATGCAGAAGAACGGAGACTTTGTATCGAATGTGCTCGGTGCGGGCCGAGGACGTGGCTGGGCTCCCGAATTGCGTGACTTGCTTTCCTTCGATACCATCCGGAAGGCGGGCGAGCTGAAGCGGAAGCGCGACAGTGGAATCGCCGATATGGATGTGGATGCGGCCACTGCGCCGGCCCTGGAGCTAGGCGAAGAAGAGGCCATTGTGCCGGTCGATGAGGGAGTTGGTCTTGACTCGACTCTGCTCCAACGCTCCGAAATCGAGTTCCCCGGTGACGAGGAGGACCAGGCTCTGCGTCTGAGTGACGACGAAGGAATGAACCAACCATTGGAGGATGCCGACGACACGATCGTGGCCGACAGTGGTCCCGTGTCGATCGGTACGAAGCACGCCGTCCACATCCTTCGGGAGCGCCTGGGTGAATCTGCGGCCGAGCAGAAGAAGAGCGTGAAGTTCCAGGATTTGCTTCCGGAGAAGAAGGCATCCAAGGCGGACGCCACCAAGATGTTCTTCGAGGTCCTCGTGCTGGCCACCAAGGACGCTGTACAAGTTGAACAACGACCGGAGACCGTGGGTGGACCTCTCAAGATCCGTGGCAAACGAGCCCTCTGGGGCTCGTGGGCTGAGGAAGGGGCCAGCGGGGAGGCAGAGCAGCAGCCCGTTGAGGCCACCGCCTAAAGGACCTGATGACTCCGGCGTCGTGTTTATGTACAGTTGCGTTCTCTATGAAATTTTGTTTTCGTGTGGGCAGGGTTGCCCCGGGAATCTCTTGGCTTTTGTACGGGGCGATTATCCTGTGTGTATTCTTTGGAGTTTTAGGGGTCTGGCTTTTAACTTTCTCTTAACTCTCTTCTTCTTCTTCTTTTTCTTATTCTTCTTCAATTGTTGGAACTTGAATCTTTTCTTCCGGGACTGAAAAGGCGGCTATTATGATTCTGCTGGAGGGCTGGGATTGATGCCCTGTTGATCGTTGGGCGAATTGGACCATAGGTAGCTTAGTGTAATAGAAGAACTCGAATAAACCAGCCCAGCGATGCGCATGGGATGTATCCCTCAGATTGTGCTTCAATCAGACAGAATCAAAAATTGATACTATCAATATCAACTTATTATCATGTAGCAAGCACGCAATCCTCCGCAGTATTCGGACAGTACTACTATTCAGGTGCAGGGACTCAGGGAGAGCTTTCGGGTGGCGGCGGTCCCACGTGGGGAAAGCTTTCCGCAACCGTTGCGGAGAAACACAAGACAGACCTGGGGGTGGTTTCCACATAGATCAGTTATACTCTTGGAGATATGATAATAGATAGATAGTACCTCAGTAGCAGTCCTAGTCAAATCCCTCTCACCGGCGCTGGTTCTTCCTCCATTTCCAGAACACTGACGCCTCAATTTATGCCCACTGATACCGAAGACGCTAGCAGAGCAGCATCTGGGAGTTGATAGTAGTAGTAGCTCGCAAGCTCGGGGTGTTCTTCCCTCAGTTGGAGCCCACTCGGCTCTCCCCCGAGGCCGAGGGGCGAGACAAACTCCCCCAAGCAATCAGCAACACCTGAACTAATTTTCTTAGCTCGACCGACTTTACCTCTCTATCGCCAGTCTTTTAACCCACTCATCCTCCTGCCGTGACTCTGGAACGATCCATATTCTGATCGCCGTCCCGGATCATAGGTACTGGTCCCTGCCGTTGGATTGGCCGTGAAGATCGTACTGTTTTGAAGGTGGCTTGAGGTTTTCTTTTCACTGCCTTCGCTCCAACGCGCAAGTACACTCAAGTGTGGTGTCCTGGGCTTGTCTTGTCTTTTCTCCTCCTTATATTCTTCTTGTCACAGCCAAGCTTTAACAAGCTTTGTGCCAAACTCTCTGACCGGTGAACGGCTTAATTCTCCGGCTGCAGATCGGTTGGCCTCTGGTTAAATTCTCCGGTCGGTCTTGGTGATCCTTAGTATCCAGCCTGTGATTGCTCACTTTCCAGTAGTCTGACAGCAAGAGCAGGGACAGTTATAGGAACCTCGCTGATTTAATGACGGCCATGTCTGCAACGGAGCGGGCGGCAAGCTTACAAGAAAGCACCGACGTGTGCACGGGTGAACGCTCTTCAAGCGCAGAGCCAACTGACAGAGAAGACTTAGACGAAGAGAAGGTAGAAGACAATGTTGATGGCATGTTCGCTCCCATCACTGCCCGAACCTCCTCTTATGAAGAACGGCTGCGCAGACACCAGTCTGCTTCATCACATCCCCTCGAACGCAATTGGAGCTTAAACGACGGGTACAGCCATCAAACTGCCGATGAAGAAGCTGTTGCGGAGAGGGTCCTGAGCAGCAAAGATGAAGAAGCTTCTGATGCTTCAGAAAGCTTCGTTGTCGGTTGGGACGACAATGACCCCAGCAACCCGCGCAATTTTAACACGGTGAGACGCTGGCTTATCGTGATCATATGCTCAGCAGGCTCCTTATGCGTGTAAGTCGGACCCTGAAGCCACGGCTATTGGTCTGGTGCTGATTGATGGCTGTAGGACTTGCACTTCTTCAATGTACACTGTCACCTATGACCAGATAATGGTGGAGTTCGACTGCTCGCGGGAGATAGCAACCTTGGGTCTATCATTCTTTATTTGGGGTCTTGGTGTGTTAGAACCATACTGTCAGAACTTTGGAATAGGAGACACTAACATGACTGCAAAGCTGTCGGGCCACTGTTCTTAGGGCCACTGTCGGAGGTTTGTACATTATCCAAGCACCACGCCCACGATGATTGCTAACTCGCCGGCCCTTGTCAGTTCTATGGCCGAAGACGAATCTATCTTTGCTCCTTTACCTTTTTCTTGATATGGCTGATACCATGCGCCGTGGCCAAAAACATCCAGACCATGATTGTATGCCGCTTTCTCAATGGCATTGCTGGGAGCGCATTTCTTAGTGTCGCTGGTGGCACAGTGGGTGACCTATTTGCCCGTCATGAGCTAAGTGCACCAATGATGCTTTACACGAGTTCTCCATTTATTGGTCCTGAGGTGGGCCCATTGTAGGTTTTCGACAACACCCAAACACTGTTGTATCCGCTGACAGAGCCTTGCAGGGTTGGCGGGTTCATCAATCAGTTCACCACATGGTATGCTTCCTGATACTGCAGGCTTGAATAAGGCTGATCACCTATTCTCAACAGGAGGTGGACTTTTTATGTGCTTCTCATCTGGACGGGAGTCTTATTAGTTCTCATCTGCTTCTTTGTACCAGAGACTTATCATCCAGTGTAAGGGCCGAAAAACACATTGGAATCTAGACCTCTGACTTATTCCTTAGGCTTTTGAGACGAAAGGCACAGCAGCTCCGCAAAGAAACCGGGGATGATAGATGGATAGCACCTATAGAGATGCTGAATCGCTCAGTTGCGCAGACCGTCTTGCGGTCAATCTACAGGCCGTTGCTGCTTTTGACGCTAGAACCGATGTGCCTCAACCTCTGCATCTTCTCCGCCATCCTGTTGGGTATACTCTATCTTTTCTTCGGTGCGTTTCAGTTGGTCTTCGAAACTGTATATGGGTTTGAGCTGTGGCAGCGTGGTCTTTGCTTCCTGGGCCTGTTCGTCGGAATGCTCTTTGCTATATTCTCCGATCCGTTCTGGCGTCGCAACTATACCCGCCTGGAACTGAAACATCAAGAAGCTGTGGGAAGGTCTGATGATTTCCAACCGGAGTGGCGGCTTCCGCCAGGTATGTCATATGTCATTCTGTCTGCAGCCCGACTCGCTTGCTCTGACGGTCAGTATACAGCTATCGCTGGAGGTCCACTTGTCACCATCGGGCTATTCATCTTTGCTTGGACCATTTACCCTCATGTACACTGGATTGCCCCACTCATTGGAAGTGCGTTATTTGGAGCTGGGTATGTATTTCCACGCCTTGAATCAGTGGCCATTGTAGCGCTCCTGTTACTTACAAGGGTTCCTCATCCTTTAGGACGATTCTTGTATACTCGGGGATCTTCACATTCTTGGTTGATGCATATCCGACCTATGCAGCAAGCGCTTTAGCGGCGAACAGCTTTGCTCGCTCCATATTTGGTGGAGTGTTTCCACTGTTCGGAATACAGAGTAAGTTAACAACTTGTGATATATGGCTTTCGTCGTGTTACTGCCACTGAAGTGGACTCGTTCACTGAACTTTACTCACTTTTACTACGATTCACCCACGAGCTATATATAATTATTATAAATACTTCCGTCCAATGACACAGCATAACCTGGCCGCCACATGCTAACTGCTGGCTCTAGTGTACAACAACCTGGGTTATCACTGGGCAACCTCGCTGCTTGCTTTTCTGACGCTTGTCATGGCGCCGTTTCCGTAAGTGCACAATTTGTGTCCTTGTCAATACCAACCCCTATGCGCTGTTGGACTGCGTTGTTCTTGCACTTCTGTTCTACAGTAGTCACAACAGCACTCTTTGCGCCCCTCACCTCCAGAATCTTATGCATGATAGTTTGTGGTGTATAGGTGACCATCCTCATTGACATGATTTGACGGACAGGTATATCTTTTTCCGCTACGGGAATCGGATTCGGCAGAAGAGCCGATTTGCTGCACGGTAGATACCCACCTAAGGGACGGCAGGAGCTCATAGCTGTGGGTTCCATACGATGTGATGCAGCGCAAACTTCTCATTTTCACGCGCCTGGAGCTCTTTCTAGGCACGTTCTCAAAAGTCGGTCAGTGATAGACAGCAACTTTCGGTTGGGTGGATATGCGTACGCGGGCTTACTAGTGGACCGATAGGCATGGTGACAGCGGACAAAGCCTGAGGGTTCTTTCAAGGTAGACCATAATGTTATAGAGTAATTAGTTGATTAGAAGCATGAATACCGACAATTCTACGGGCATGGTTATACGCATGCAAAACAGCGTCCCGGCTACGTAAGATATGCTGCAGCTCACGAGCACCCATTGTAATTCCTGCAAAGCTAGTATCCTCCCCTACCCATGACACCCAACCCAACTTGTGTTGATTGTGTGATAATACAACCTGTTCCACAACCCCATTAAAACAAATAATATAGTTGGTCAACTAACCTCGGCAACCTCGATCACAGCCACCACACACCACATACACTTTGCACAGACAATACGAAGTACACGAAGAGTTCTTCATACAAACCCCTCGGGAATTCTCGGGCGACTAATCGGGCCCGCCCGGAACAGCAAAGGCAAGAAATGGCTCATTTCAAAGCACGCAATGAAAATCCATTGGAGGATTTGATTTTATGACTTTTAGATTGTTTCGATTTGGAAGAGGCTGGAAGACAAAAGCTGTGATTGGTGAGTCGGGTGATAGTTGAGGGATTTGTTTGTGTTTGAAGCAAGTCTAGATTACGAGTATTAGTAGTAGTAGTAAATGGGCGTAGTGACCGTATTGTAATGACCCTGTGGGTTTTCAGTTTCGTGTTTGATTTTCTTTACTGCTTGTTACTTGCAATGGGGTGTGAGGGGATGTAGTTGACTACATAGTATGTAAAGTCATGGTGTGGGTTTGGGTAATACTAAATTAGACCTGCATTGACTATTTGCGAGCGATACTTTGGGCTAGACATGCTGTCATGGTTCGTGCTCTGTCTAACTACCATAGTACATACATGATTAAGGTGGTCGCTCGGTGTCTCTAAGTAGTCTAGTAGGTCGTGAACCTCGCGTGGCCAGTGGATTCCTGTCAAGTATCTAGGCTCTTCTACTCCGAATTCTGGAATCTACATCAATCAGACTGACTGCATGTCCCCGAGATTACTATCGACAATTGCTTTTTTGTTATCGGCACGGGCCGAACACCAGTCAGTAGGTATGCCGATGTGCATAATGGTCGCCATCGTCCTCGCCGATGCTTTAGTATGTATGTATGTACCCAACGGGTATAGACTGTTAAGAGGCAGAAGGCAAGTCTGTCGGGTCTGGGGGGATTTGTCAATTATTTGAGTTGCTGCTAGTATTCGTTTTGTTTGAATAATGACTCAATTACGCTAAGACTACTAATTATGACCAGCGAACCGTCTCTGAGGAGGTAGATAGATAGACTTCTTGACCTGAGATATACTCGGGTCAAGTGAAACCGATGCAATGTTTCTCTGCCATCACATGCGGAGAGGCCGTGGAAGCACATGTAAGCTCAGCTCATGTATGGTATCCGTGGTTATTTCCAGTACCGAAGTGCCTTGGATTTGAGGACTCCAAATTTGGTTCTAGCCTCGGAAGTAAGAACATCAGAGCAGCTCGCTGTTGCTGATTCTGTTATATAGTAACCATTAGATGGAACATGGCTATAGATATAGACAGGTATTTGTTTGACTAGCAGCTTGATGCGCGGGGAGTCAGCTCCCAGTCATTGCGAACAGACAGACACGCGACTCACTCACTCACTCGGTATGGTAACGTACTGGGCTCAACCGGGACGATACCTGACAAGACATGCAAGAAGAAGCAGCTCGTGTTGAAACTCTTGAATTGGCTGCGAGTTCGTTCGCTCGTCATGAATTTTTTTCTGCCTCGTCCTTTAGTCCGTCGGTCGCACTCTCTCACTTTCTGACTACGATACTGAAGTGACTCTTCTCTCCTCCTTCTCTCTCGTCTCTCCTCTCCTCCAATCCTTCCCCGCGTTTTCCTAACCACTTACATTCGATTTTCCCTCCTCTCCCCTCCTCTTCTCATACCCCTCCTGTTAGTCTCTCCCCTCTTTCGTATATATCATCTCCCCTCCTCTTGACAGCGTCACTCGCATTGCGCCGCTGCTCATCGGATCCGCTCCATCTCGACCCTTTGGATACAACAGGTTTTCCCCGCAGCCCCGGCAAGTCGTTCGCTCCACCGACGCTACTCATTGCCACTACCTGCCGCGTGACATAGAATTTCGGGAAAAAGAAAAAGAAAAAAAAAAGGGAAGAAAAAGAAAGGATACAAGGAAGAGACTAAAAAAAAGTAAAAGGGAATCTTACTTTACCATTGTTCTCCTGAACACTTTTCACTACACCCCATAGGAAAACACTTCGGCGCATTGCAACAGTCAGTCTCACTTTCTGACTGCTGCTGACTGAGCACACGCAAGGTCCTTCGTGGTCGCCGACCCTCCTACTATCTATCTACCACCACCACTACGCCAGCCGATTCCTAGCCGTCGTCGTGTGGATTCTATGCGCCCGACCGGCCAACGCCCGATTTCTTTGCGACTCCCAGAGTAAGGCCTGGTGAGGTTGATCAGTGGACTCTCGACAAAGATCTCCTTCTGTTGTGCGCTGGTTCGCAACGCGACAAAAGGCAGTCAGTCTTGCTCAAAATTTACGGTGGCAACCCCACGCGCTCGCCCGCCTTGCAGCTGCTTCACTCACCCTGTCGCTGATCGCCTCGATTCACGACGCGGAGTACTACCCGGTTAGACGGATTGATAACGGCCGTATCGCACACACATACACCTCGGTTACAATTGTTTGCCGATATGAACGCGGAACCGAAGGAGCAAGATTCCCCAGCTCCGTCGGCTGAGCGCACGGAAGCCAGTCAGGAGATTAGTGCTGCCGGAGCACAGGCCGACAAGCCGAAGACCGAGGCCAACGGCGACGGGACTGCAAATGGTGCCTCCGCGAACGGCCAGAAGCCTAACCCGAAAGACCCGTCGAGACCCCGGAGGAAGAAGGCGAGACGGGCGTGTTTTGCTTGCCAGCGCGCACACTTGACTTGCGGTACGACTGACCTTACTTCCAGCGTTGCTTACATTCAACCTTTTACTCTCCAATTACACATGCGTTTAGCGCCCATACATGCGCACTCTAGCGGCGCATGTCTTCTGCGCGTCTGACTGAACTTGCAAACTAATCGAGGTTTCGCATAGGTGATGAGCGACCGTGTCAGCGGTGCATTAAGCGCGGGCTCCAGGATGCGTGTCACGACGGGGTCCGGAAGAAGGCCAAGTACCTCCACGACGCGCCGGATGGAGCGTTGATGCCGGGGATTGGCGGGACGTTTTACAACAACCCCATGCGCAACAGCTTGCCCCTCTCTCGGAATGGCGCCAATGCCGTGAACGCGACCGGTCAGCAGAGCGCTGGCGCAAACTTCTATCCTACTCCCCAGTCGACTACCTATGTCTACCAAGAGAATACCATCAACCAGGGCTCATTTCCTTCGCAATCGCCTGTGTCGCCGACATTCAACCTCAAGGCCACGCCTACGGCTCGAACCAACAGCCTCTCCTCCGTCAACCCGCAACCACCGTCCACGAGCGTCTCCGGACCCCCAGGCCAGGGTCAAAACCCGTTCGCCGGTCCCTTCTTTGACCCCAGCGACCCCGCTCTCTTCAACTTTGACCTTTCCAGCATGAACTTTGAGAACCGATACGGTGCGTTAGAGTTTGGCATGCTGGGACATATGGCGACGGGCGCGGGCGATTCACCGAGTGATTCGGCCACGCAGCGCGGGTCTATGGGGCGCAGTGGCTCGGCACAATATGCTTCAACTCCCATCACTGGGGCACCAGGCTTTGGGGAAAGCCCGGGCAACCAGCAGCCATTTATGTTCGGGGACCCGCTTCTCAACGAATGGCCCAGCGGGCAGGCCCCGGGACAACCGCATCTGCCGGGGGTTTATCCGCAGTCCGGGCAAGGCAGCGCGATTCCTGGTCATCTGAGCAAAGCGGATGCGCCGCATGCATTTGCCATCGAAAGCGGACCGGCCAGTTTCAATAGCCCCGGTGCGACGACTAGTCCGCAGATGACGACTGGACTCGAAGAGACCCCGTTTCACAGTGCGGTGGCAAGCAAGTCGAACGGGTTAGCCCCGCACGGACAACGACCGATGATTACAACACCGAGCTTGAAGCATCAGAACCTGCAGGTCGGCGTGCGGCGACGACAACGTAACCCGTCGGCCATCTACGACAGCGTCAAGGAGCCGTACGCATACACCAGCCGCTTCCATGGCCTCACGGCATTCATCCAACGACGGTTCCCGCCGCAGAAGACGCTTCAGATCGCCAAGGCGCTGGCGTCGATCCGGCCGTCGTTCATCGCGACGACTAAGACGCTCAATCGGGACGACCTGATCTTCATGGAGAAGTGCTTCCAGCGGACGTTGTGGGAATACGAGGACTTTATCAACGCGTGCGGCACGCCGACCATCGTGTGCCGTCGGACGGGTGAGATTGCTGCTGTGGGCAAGGAGTTCAGTATCTTGACGGGATGGAAGAAGGATGTACTGCTCGGCAAAGAGCCGAATCTCAATGTCAACACGGGTGGCTCGTCAATGCCGAACTCCGGGGCGTCATCACGCAGCTTCACCCCCCGGTCGACAGTGGACAACACGCCCGGGCGCCCGCAGCCGGTGTTCCTGGCAGAGTTGTTGGACGATGACAGCGTGGTGCAGTTCTACGAGGATTTTGCACGGCTGGCGTTTGGCGACTCGCGCGGTAGCGTGATGACAACGTGCAAGCTGTTGAAGTACAAGACGAAGGAGGACATGGAGGGCGCAGCAGCGGAGGATAGCCAGCGCTGGAACAACCACCTGCGCAAGGGAGGGATTGCCAGCGAGGCGGGGATGAACCAGCTAGGGTTCAAGGACGGCAAGGTCGAATGTGCGTACTGCTGGACAGTGAAGCGAGATGTATTCGACATACCGATGTTGATTGTGATGAATGTGAGTAATACCAGCGTTCCCGTGCTGTGATGATGATGCTAATGAGGGTATAGTTCTTACCGTGCATTTGATTTATGATCATAATTGTTTCATGTTCATACCCGGGCCGGATATCAAAAAGGATGATTTCTGATTATTTTTACTGTTAGTTTTTGGCACTGACCAGATGCATCTGGTCTTGTATTGGTACATATTGCTACTGTGTATGATTCCCAGGCTGACATAGAGGCGTTGTACATATTGGAAGTGGCTATGGTAGCTAGCCATGTAGTTGCAACTGAGCATGATGAGCAACCATATAAGCATAGATGAACGTAATAACCAGATAAACATTATATCCTCCAACAAGATCCTCCCTCACATCTCCCCTTGCAATCAATCAATCAAATCAATCATAATTACGCATCATATAATCTACAACATCCCCAATCCAGCGACAGCCACACCCACAGCCAAGGCCCCAGCCCCGACAACATTCCGTCCAGCCATGCCCGTCTCCGTACTTCCACTTCCACTAGCAGTCGCAGTAGAAGTTCCAGTAGCACCACTCAACTTATCAGCACCCGCCGTAACACTAAGAGTCTCATACCCGATCTCCGCACTGGCGACACTAATCTCCGTATTGACCTCCGTACTCGTACTAACCCCCTTATACGTCGCCTCGATCCCATAGCTCACACTGCAGGACGCGCCCTGCGTCACGCCCGTGATCTTGCAGTCCTCGACCATGGTGAGCACCTCCTGCACGCCCTCCACGCTGGTGCTGTACACGGCCGAGAGGGTGTATGTGGAGGGTCCTGCGGTGACGGTGATGGGGCTGGGCAGGATGCAGTTATCGTCGTTGAGGCATGAGACGGCCATGGTGGTGGCTGTCGGGTTGGCGGAGATGATGGACGCGCCGAGAGGGATGCTGGTGAATTGAGGAATACCGGCCGCGGCGGTGGTCGTTGCGTGGTAAGTGAAGAGGGAGACGGTTGATACATCGGAGGCGGTAGTGAGGGAGAGGAGTGGGAGGAGGGTGAGGAGGGTGCTGGTGGTGAAATGCATTTTGATGGTTGCTTTCTGTTTCTTTTCTTTTGAATTATTTGTGTATCTGTATATGGTAGAGATGTAGAGACAGTAAGAGGAAGAAGAAGAGAAGAAGTTATCAGGAGTAGGAGTAAAGACTGTATAGGAGGAAAGAAAAGATAATAGATAGGATGCAGAGAGATGTATGATACCACCAAGAAAGAATCAGACAGGAACAGCCCAATTTGTACTACTTCTGTCTCACAATCATTCTACACTTTGACCCCTGACGACCAGAACCCTTCCATTCCGTGTTTACGAGACCCTCATTTCTCAAGGTTCTTAGCGTAGCCTCGTCCTCTAATCACCCTTCTCAGCAAATAGAGTGTCGTAGTGCCCTCCCCGTTTAGACTCGGCGCAGAAAAGTCCCCCGAAGCACAAGACCCTTCTACCTAAAATAGGCGGCAGAGTCCGCCGCTAAACCAAACTCAGGGTGGAAATCTCTTGTCCTGCTCGTATTTGGGATGCAGGAGCCGCAGCTTTAGTGTATATCGGGCTTAGTGGGGTTCTTTCGGTTGCTCTTAGTTTTTCAGAGTTCCTTGGGAGTAATTCTAGCGAGGATGGGAACTCTGAGCATGTTGGTGGGGGATACGAGTGATCTACGTTTTCATTAATCACATACTCTCGAGTTGTTTCAAATGCTGGGCTCGTCGAGGATGTTGCCAGTTTTGTTTGTCCGTCCTGTGTTTACTGTTTAGGGCTGGCATGCATATACAGCTAGTTATATGTTAACGTAATCAACGGTCGGACGGGCCACACGGTCAGGCGGGCCATCTGGTAATACTATACAAAAGATATCTTTTTAAACATAATATATCTCTACCATCCAGGTCTAGAAGAATTAGATTTCTTCTATATAGATTTTAAATAATATAAATAATATCTATATACCTTCTAAAAATGAATATACTTTTACTTATGGACTTATCATATTACAATATCTGTATTTATATGTATTATATAAGAATCTGGTTTCATTATCAAAGTAAAAATTCTAAAAATCTGAAAAATTCATGGAATACTTATTCTTATATATATAAACTATCTACAAAGTTAGAGCTTCATAGAAGTAGTACTGGTTGATATATAATAGAATCAAAAAGACATCTTTTATATGGGATTTCAGGATGGCCCGCCTGACCGTGTGGCCCGTTCGACCGTTGATTACGTTAGTTATCTTATGTATATTATGTAATTAACACGTGACTGATAACCTTAGTAGCTTGTTATCAATTTGACCGCCTTCGCTTGATGTCTTCCTATTGGATGGTATTATCACCTCCGCATTTGGTGCTCACCGCCCGGGAGGGAAAAAAAAAATTCTCGAGCGGCAAAGAAAGATGGGACGATCTTCTTCTTGTCGGGTTCAGCTGCAAGTCGAAAGTTCATCAATTGGTCTGATAGACTGCCCACCGTCACAATGGCCGACCAGGAGGTTCCCCATGCCACCTTTGACACCATCCTCATCCTTGACTTTGGTTCTCAATACGTACGCTCTCCCCTGATGCCACACACTCTCGGCCGCACCCAGTGCATCAATTACCCCGCCATCCCCATGACTCACATACTAATCCTCCCCCCTAGACGCATCTCCTGACCAGGAGACTGCGCGAGATCAATGTCTACAGTGAGATGCTGCCATGCACTCAGAAGATCGCCGATCTGCCCTTCAAGCCCAAGGGTATCATCCTGTCCGGTGGTCCCTACAGTGTCTACGAGGACGGCGGTAAGCGGAACCCTCCCCGCGGAACCACTTTCAAGAGTCATCCATGATACTCATCTATCTGAACTGCAGCCCCCCACGCTGACCCCGCCGTCTTCGACCTCGGTGTCCCCATTCTCGGTATCTGCTACGGTCTGCAGGAAATCGCCTACCGTCTGGACAAGGAGAACGTCGACGCCGGTACCGAGCGTGAGTATGGCCACGCCGACCTCCACGCCAAGCGCCTCGACGACCAGGGCCACGTCGACAAGCTGTTCGCCGGCCTCGAGGGCCAGATCAAGGTCTGGATGAGCCACGGTGACAAGCTCGTCAAGCTCCCCACCGGCTTCCACACCATTGCCACCACCTCCAACTCTCCTTATGCCGGTATTGCCCACCAGACCAAGCCCCTCTACGGCGTGCAGTTCCACCCCGAGGTCACCCACACCCCTCTGGGTGCTACTATCCTGAAGAACTTTGCCGTCGATATCTGCGGTGCTCAACAGAACTGGACCATGTCACGCTTCGTCGACCAGGAGATTGCCCGCATTCGCAAGCTGGTCGGTGAGACTGACCACGTTCTGGGTGCTGTCAGCGGTGGTGTCGACTCCACTGTGTAAGTCAATCACTGCATTCGCTTGAATGGCTAGACAATTGTTCTAATTAGAGTAGTGCTGCCAAGCTCATGAAGGAGGCCATCGGCGACCGCTTCCACGCCGTGCTCGTCAACAACGGCTGCATGCGTCTGAACGAGTGCGACATTGTCGAGGAGACCCTGAACAAGCACCTCGGTATCAACCTGACTGTCGTTGACGCCTCCAAGCGCTTCTTGGACGGTCTCAAGGGCGTCACTGAACCCGAGAAGAAGCGCAAGTTCATTGGCAACACCTTCATCGACGTCTTCGAGGAGGAGGCCCAGAAGATCGAGGCCGAGGCCGAGCACCAGGGTGCCAAGGTCAAGTGGTTCCTCCAGGGTACTCTGTACCCCGATGTCATCGAGAGTATCTCCTTCAAGGGTCCCTCGGCGACCATCAAGACCCACCACAACGTTGGTGGTCTGCCCCGTGAGTATTTTTCAGATGTGGAGGAGTTTTGGCAATTCGCTAATTTATCACAGAGCGCATGATTGACGGCCAGGGTATGAGGCTCATCGAGCCGCTCCGTGAGCTGTTCAAGGATGAGGTTCGCGCTCTGGGTCGCCAGCTGGGCATTGCTCACGAGCTGGTCATGCGCCACCCCTTCCCCGGCCCCGGTATTGCCATCCGTGTTCTCGGCGAGGTTACCCCCGAGCGCGTGGAGATTGCCCGCCGGGCCGACCACATCTTCATCTCGATGATCCGCGAGGCTGGTCTGTACGACCAGATTGCGCAGGCCTACGCTGCCCTGGACCCCAGCAAGGCGGTGGGTGTCATGGGTGATAAGCGTGTGTACGCCGAGATCATCATCCTGCGTGCTGTTGAGACGACCGACTGTAAGTTGAGCGGATTATGTTTTTGGTGATGATGGACTAACAGATAGCAGTCATGACTGCGCGCGCATTCCCCTTCGACAACGAGTTCCTGAGCCAGTGCTCGACCCGGATCATCAACGAGGTTCACGGCGGTAGGTTACACCCTCTTCTGGCTCTAGGAATATCTGCTAACTCGTGTAGTGTCCCGTGTTCTGTATGACATCTCCAGCAAGCCTCCGGCGACGATTGAGATGGAGTAAAGCAGTTACGACCAAACTGATAGTACGAGTTATATCATCCATTAGAGGAACGGAGTTACGGCAAAACGGGATGAACGTAGATAATCCTGAAATATACCATTTATCTATCTGCGAATAAGAGTGAACTCTGTAAGCTGTAAAGTGTAAAGCGGAGTAGACAATTGGCCAGTTGGTGGGTGACATGAGGCCGAACTCCACAATCGCGTCGTTTTGATAGTCCATAGCCCCACCTGTCTTATCGCCGATCTCTCTTCCATCTTATTCTCTCGCTCTCTCTATCTTCTTTCAACCTACCACTGCTTCAACATCATCTACACATCTCAGCTGCTAAAATGCGCCCCGACCGGCCTCGCGACCCCGTCACCGGCCCCGACGAGGGCCCCGAGTCCCCGTATCCCATCCGCATGAGCGGTCCTGTCATCAAAGGCTTCGGGCGGGGCAGCAAAGAGGTACCTCTCTCACCTTCCAACCCGGAAAGCAAAGCAGCTCCAGCTGACGAAAAGAATCACAGCTGGGCATCCCAACAGCAAACATCCCCGCCGATGAGCTCTCCCAGCATCCTGAGCTATCCGTGGGCGTCTACTACGGCGTCGTGGCACTAGATCCAGCGCGATTCTCAACAGGAGAGACCGTCCTCCCCGCCGTGCTGAGCATCGGCTACAATCCTTTCTACAAGAACGAATCCAAGTCAATTGTACATTCTATCCCTCCTCTCCCTTTTTCATATTAATCATTACATGCAATATAATAATGATAATAAATTATCTGCAATGCAGGAAATCCACATCATGCCGCCCCTCTCCGCCCCCTCGCCGACCGCCACTACCTCCACCGACGGACAGGTCACTTTCCACAAACTACCCGACTTTTATGGCACACCACTCAACTTGCTGATTCTGGGGTATATCCGTCCGGAATATGATTATATTTCGTCGGAGGCGTTGATTGAGGATATTCGCGTGGATTGTGAGGTCGCCAGGCGGAGTTTGCAGCGCCCGGCGTATCGGTGTTATCTCGATGCTAGGGCGGTGGAGGATCCGGCTTGCGGGGGAGATGTAAGGGAGGCGATTCGCTGGTTGACCAGTTTCTGAGTAGATGATGCTGCTGCTGCTGCTGCTGCTGCTGCTGTGCAGGATTGTGGTATAGTTGTTGACGCCATTGATGGTGGCGCTATGCGAGGGATGAGATTTTGTATATAGATCGACGTCACTGACTCACGATAGATACGATAATGCGATAGAATTGTCACGCATACATTGTATCATATATGTATGCAATGGATCGGGTAGATTTACAACCCAACTACTACTACTAACCTACGGTGTACACACACAAAGTTATTACTCAACCTGTCCCTGGCTGAATGGATCCACGTCGCCCTTGTGAGATGAGAACAACTACACGCTGGAATCGTCGACGTCACTCAGCATGTCCACCAAAAGCATAAGCAGCATCCAGTATATAAATCGGGATGCTCGGAGTCCGCACCATGGATACCCTGTGGTCTCTACTTAGTACATCTCTACCCCATAGATACCTTGAATACTCGAGAAAATATTAGAATGGACCGTCTCCGCCAACACCTCCGTCGTCGCCGAAGCAGCTCCGCCGGAACAACCCCTTCCAACAGTCACGGTACACCACTACAATCTCCCCCATCAGCCAATGACAAGCACAGTCGTCGTCGCGAAGCAGAAGCCTCTCCCCCGCGCAGACTTTACCTGACCTCCGATACTCCCGACTTCGACGCGGGGATCCTATCGCGCTACCGCGCTGAGGGATTCGACGTCGAGTATATCCCTTTCCGGGGATGTCAGAATGCAGATGGCTGTGGGGATGTAGATAAAGATCGCAAGGAATTGGAGAATCTGTTGCATGAGAGGGAAGATGATCTCGAGCCGGGGGAAAGATATGCTGTCGTTGGTACACCACCCTTCCCATTATCCATCTTACTCTGCATGTTCCGAGATATATATTATTGAATAGTAACTGATGTATGGTATATAAAAAGCATACAACAAACCCGCTCACCTCCTCCTCGAATCCCATCACCAACCACTAACAGCCACAAATCCATTCCCAAGGCTTTGTGCCCTGGTGGCTTATTACCCCGATGGACCCATCACCTCCACCACCAACACCAACAATAACCTCATCAGTACATCCCCAGACACTGCTCGTGGAACAGGAAGTACATCCTCAACAACGACACCTACAACCTACCCCCCCTCCATCCCTCTCCTCTGTATCCAGATCCACCTCGCCGGTCCTTCCACAACCACCTCTTCAATAGCAGATAACCTCCTCAACAACACCAACAACCACCCCCGAAAACGCCATCGCTGCCACGTCTTCACCTACCCCGAGTCCTCTCCCCGGTTTGCCGAGCCTTCTTCATCGAACTATGACAAGCTCTCCGCACGACTAGCATGGTCCCGCGCCCTCGAGACCCTAAAGCGCGGCTTCGGATGGCCCGCGACTAAATGGCGAGTCCCGGATGTGGAGAGCGTGTGGGAGGAGTATTGGCGATGCTTATCTGCTTCTGGAGAAGGGGGCGGCGGTGGTGGTGGTAGTAGTGAGAGAGATGAAGAAGACGAGCGCAGCCACCGCGCCGCAGAACTAGTAGGGTTAATGGTGGGGAGTGGAATGGGTGTGCAGTTGGAGAGTGTGCATAGTAGTAGTGGGAGTTCTTCATCCCCTATATATACCCGGGGTGCAGGGACGGAGACAGAGACATGCACGATTGAAGAGTCGCCGGTCGTGGTGTGTGTGCCTACTTGTGCTGGTGGTATGTATATATTCCCCCTCCCCCCACCCTCTTTGTCTCCCTATATCATACACCATATGAGTGAGGTAATTAATAAATACTGGACAGGAACAACACCATCCACCATAACAAAATTCTACACCAACAGCCACTTCCTCTCTCCCTCTCCCTCTAACCAAGCCATCCGTCTCCTCTCCCGTACTACAGGGCCTGATCGCATCGTTGATGAACTCCTCCTAACCTTCACGCATGATCGTGCCATTCCCTGGTTACTGCCGAATCTGCCCCCAACGGGGAAGGAGGTTAAAGTGGCGTTGGTGCTGGTGGCCAGTTTCACGGCGGGAAAGGTCGCCCGCGTGCATGCTTATTGGGATCAGGCTAGTGTGTTGGTGCAGGTGGGGGTGTTGAATCGAGATCATTTGCCGGTTGTTGGGGCCGAGGGGGTGGATATGGTTATTTCTTAGGTTAGATATATATTTCTTTCTTTGGTCTACAGTATGTGTAAGTATACTATCAGTATTAGTATGCTTGTTCGAATCATGGATCATGTATATAGTATGTGTTAGGCAGCACTATATACTTCTAGCCAGTCTGGCTATCTCTTTACTTACTCCCCCCTCCTGCTGCAATGTCAACACGCTCGCTTCTTGTGCCCGTGGAATCACCTCCTCCACCGCTCCTCCCCGCGCCAGTCCTGTGACTACTGCTCCTAGTAGCGTATCGCCCGCTCCGTTGACGCTCACAATGTCTTGCTCTTCTAGTTTTGCTGCTGCTGGGAACAGCCGCAGGTACACGCCCCCGATCAGCCCGTCCGACGTCAATGCCCGCGAGAGGATATACGGCGCCGAGTCCGGACTCGTCAGTCGTGTATCACCTGGCCGCAGCAGCTGCGTCAGGAGTACGCCTTCCCGTCCTAGCTTCGTGAGCATGCATGGAATGAACGGCAGCAGCTGAATGCTCTGCTGTGGAATCCCCTGATCGACCAGCGTTGCCGAAGTCATGGCCACTAGTCGCTCGCGCGACCCTGCTCCCGTCATGCCCATGGCGTCGATGATGCGCCACCACTCCTCTGAGTCCAGGTGTCCGCTCCGCCGCGCGGCCTGGTACATGGCTGCTAGCTCGAATTGGTTCGGCGCGGCCAGGCTGACGGTGTTGTTGGGAACGCAGTCAGACGGCTTGACGGCAGACCCGAATAGACGACGGCTTTTCGCCGTTGACACGGGCTCAAAGGCTACCCGTGCCTTGTGTTTCTTGGCTAGTGCTACCCATTTGCTCAGGACTTCGCCGTTCCAGTTGGCGTCAACTACTGCCCATTGAGGCTGTGCGCGGGACATCATCGGTTCCCAAAAGTTGTCAAAGTCCAGTGCCTGCTCTGGTAGTTCCATGATTGCCATGTCGGCCATGGCTACTACTAGGTCTTTCTTCGCGTCGTTGACGGCGATGTATTGGGCCGTGCGTGCTCCGGACGACGGAGGGAGCACCTTGATACCGGTTGTGGAGAGACCCTCCTGTCGGAGACTGGACAGCGCAGCTTGGCCGCTTAGATCGTCACCCACAACGCTGCAGAACAGCACCGAGCTGTCCAGATATCTTGCGGCAATGGCCACGTTGTGTCCGACTCCCCCTAGGCTCTGTCCGATGACAGCGCGGTTCGATGTCTGCAAAGCGGGTGTCGTGCTGTTTGCTTCGGCCGGGGCAAAGTCGCAGGAAAGATCGATAGCCAAGGAGCCGGCCACAAGGACATCCGCCTTCGTAACAGTCTCCAGTGGAGTCTTAGTCGCATGCTCCAGCTCTGTTTCAGTCGCTTGGTCAGCCCTACTGGTCCCGGAGATAGCTGGCATGTGTCTGCGCACACCATCTCAATTAGGATATCCCGAGTCTGAACGCACGAGTGGCAGCTCACCGTTCATTGAGCGACCCTCCAGACTGCTCCAGTTTTGAGAGTTCCACGGCCACCTTCGCTGCGCGCTTCACGTTCGCCTCCACCAGAGCTCGATTGGCGATCACGCTCTTCCCGCCGCTGAGTTCCTTAATCTTTGCCAACACAAATGGCGTGTTGTCACTTCCATGGTGACCCTCGACGTCTGCGAGGCGAAGAGCTTCGTCGATGATATGGTCCATATCACTCTTTGCAATAGAGTGCTCAAGTGGTACAGGGTTCGCGAGAAGGATGCCTGACGAGACGGGGATTTGCGACTGGGCATCTGCATTCATCAGTATCCAATATACGTCATTGAGCAATGCAGCAAGACTTACAGACAATAGCCGCGGCCTCGGCCTCGTTCTGAATGACCTTTGGACTCTTCAGCCCGCTGTCTCGGGTGTAGAATGCAGGAAAGTCCACAGAGCCTTGGCGACCATCTGCAAAAGTTCCTACACAGACGCCCTCCGTCTCGAGGTGTTCAAGCGTCCGCGGGATGTCCAGAAAGCTCTTGCACCCAGAGCTGACAACCGCCACCGGTGTGCGTCCCAGTTCAGTAAGATCGGCTGCTACAGTTAGCCAGAGTCTCGTCCTACCCCTATCTTCACGTACCAGAAATGTCCATGGAGTTTTCGCCGCCGCGATGCACACCACCGAGTCCACCAGTGCCAAATATCTTAATCCCGGCCAAGTGCGCAAGCACCATCGTGCCAGATACCGTTGTACCCCCATGAAGACGTCTCCCAGCCAGACCCTACTATTGTCAGACTTGTATCAAAGGACGGGGGCGTGCCACCTACCAAGCCACAGATGTAACCAAGGTCTCGCCGGGATACTTTCAACGCATTCTTCTTCTCCGCAGTCGATGCTAACTCGACGAGCTCGTCGGCGCTTAATCCGACGCGTGCTTCGCCACCGAGGATTCCAATTGTAGCAGGCACAGCGCCATTGGACCGGACAACCGACTCTAGTAACTTTGCCAGAGCAACGCTCTCAGGGTACGGGAAGCCTGCAACTGTCAGCTATACTCAACCAATAACCCAACCAGGTGAGAAATCATACCATGAGTATAGATGGTTGACTCAAGAGCCACCACAGGCTTCCCAGTAGCAACTGCATCTCGGACTTCCTCGGACACCTTGAAGAGCTTGCTCTGAGCGAGACCGTGATAGCGCCGGGCTGCTACCGCGGCTCGTGCCGGGGCTCTAGCTGACCGGCAGCATGAACGAGCAGCAGCTCGAGAAGCGAGCATGGAGGCCACGACGATTCGGACCGAAATGATACGGAAATAAGGAAAAAAGAGAGCTACTGTAGCTAGGCGGGGGGAATGGGGGTGCAATGAAGAATCGCGGTTATCGGCGATAAAAGCAGGAAGTTTTGGCCGCGGCGGTCGCCGTACGTAATTCGTAATCCCGCATCGGGACACCTCAGCATCTCCGCGCGTCTTTCTCCCCCTCGACTATCGCCAATTCTTCCACCTTCCGTCCATCCTCTCGCTCATTTCTTTCTCCTTGGGACTATCTCCTGGTGAGTGTATAGGTCCTAGGCGCGGTCGTTGAGAGACCGCCCATCTGCCCACTATGAGGCCGTTTACCGCACTTGCTGCGCTGTGCGGCTTGTTCCTGTCCAGCAACAGCTTGGTCTATGCCGACTCGGCTCCCTCGAGCTCCCCTGTAGCTCTCCCTCGCGATTTCAAGCCTCCCCAAGTGTTTAAGAACGCCAATCTTGTCCGCAACACCAATTTGGAGAAGGGATACCTACGTGAGACCGTCAATGTTGTCGTTGAGAATGTGGACAAGAAGCCGCAGTCCGACTACTACTTGTCCTTCCCATCCGACCTTTACGACAAGGTCGGTGCCCTAGAAGTCCGTGATAAATCGGCTCCTGAACAGGGACGCTTCGAAGTGGAAGCTACTGAGTTCGACTCAAGCAGGTAAGTCGACCACAATGGCGGCCAATGGCTGGTTGGTGGAGCACGAAGCCACGGTTGCTTGATCTATGCATGGTGGATGTATCCCGGGCGGTTTGCTGATCTCCTCTCTTTCTTTACACAGGGACTTCCAGTACTTCGTTGTTCACCTCCCCAAGCCTCTCGCCCCTTCGTCGCAGATCACTCTGGGCATCTCCTACTCCGCCCTCAACACCCTGAAGCCCCGTCCTGCGGCCATCAGCCAGAATGATCGCCAGTACCTCGCCTATGCCTTCTCTGCCTACGCTCCCTCGGCTTACACGACAACGACCCAGAAGACCAAGATCAAGTTCCCCAGCACCAATGTTCCCGACTACACCTCCACGGACCTGACGTCGGGCGCGGATCCAGAGCGCCAGGGTGCCACCTACACCTACGGACCCTACGCCGACGTCGCTCCCGAGACCACCTACCCGGCCAGTGTCCGGTACGAGTTCACCAAGCCCGTCATCACTGCCACTCTTCTGGAGCGTGACCTGGAAGTGTCCCACTGGGGCGGCAACCTGGCGACGGAAGAGCGCTACTGGCTGCGCAACAACGGCTCCAAGCTCACCGACAACTTCAACCGCGTGGAATGGACCATCAGCAGCTACCAGCAGCTGCCGTCCTCCGCTATCCGCGAGCTGAAGATCCCCCTCAAGCCCGGCTCCGTGGACCCCTACTTCACCGACGACATTGGCAACGTTTCCACGAGCCGCTACCGTCCCGGAAAGGTCCCGAACCGTGACGCCTCCCTGGAGCTTCGTCCCCGGTTCCCCATCTTCGGCGGATGGAACTACAGCTTCCGCATTGGCTGGAACAACGACCTCTCTGCCTTCCTTCGCAAGGCTGTCACCGGCGCTGATTCCTACGTCCTCAAGGTCCCCTTCATCGAGGGCCCCAAGGTTTCCGAGGGTATTCAGTATGAGAAGGCCGTCGTGCGCATCATCCTCCCCGAGGGTGCCCGGAACGTCCGCTACGAGCTCCTCGAGAAGGCGACTAGCAATGGTCTCCCCGGTGCGAACCAGATCCAGACTGAGCTCACCAGCCACAAGACTTTCATGGATACCCTAGGACGCACGGCGCTGACTTTGACCGTGGAGGAGTTGACTGATGAGGCCCGTGACTCGCAGATAGTGGTAAGTAACTACCTCCATACGCCGGATAGATATCGGGAATAGTCCAGCTCATTTTTGGATATAGGTCACTTACGACTACTCTCTGTGGGATGGATTGCGCAAGCCCGTGACCATCACGGCGGGGCTGTTCACCGTGTTTGTTGCCGCGTGGGCGATTGGAAATATTGACGTGAGTATTAAGAAGCGGTAGATGGAGGTTGTATCATATTGTTTCAGTTATACCAGCCAGACAGACAGACAGAATTCAATAGTAGCTGTTTGTAGACGACTAGAATTCTGATAGTGTGATTTCGAATGATTCCCTCCTTGAATAATATGGAGACAGTCTGATGCAGAGTGGTCTTTGCACCAGGTAGTAAGTGGGCTATCGGTTGTCAGCGTCACCTGACATACTAGGGATCTCTAGCCTGAAAGTTTGGCAATCCAAAGGGGATTAGTCTCTGTTGTATGTTAATCCAACGTTCTATATCTGGGTCTGCTAAGGATGGCCAAATCAGTGGGACCCGACGGTGCATGGATTGGACACTCATGTGTTTGTTTCTGGGTACCTTGCATTATAGAGGAGCCTGGAAGCGGCTTACAGAAATTTGAACAGCAAAGAAGACGAAGTGCAAAGTTGGTTGTGACGGATACCCACCATCAGCTTTCAGGATTCTCTACAACTCCATTTCAGTCCACTGCACCAGTTGCCTGTTCGATTGGCTATACCCATCGTAGAGCAGAATTTCACCGTATCAACTTCGGATACTTTCGAGACGACTATCATAGCAGGTGTAGACTAGTTCACCAAGCAGGGCGCTGAGCGCATTATGGATAGGTTCACCCGATGCAATATAGATAGCTGAACTGTATCCGGTCCAGTAGGATCTTATCGGAGCGCCTGATAATTGCTAGCTAAGACGACCATCAATTTCTGAAGCCGGCTGTTGCAGCTTACACCATGCAGGTGTGAGAGCAAACCAAGCAAAAGCTGATCAACGTGGTTTGCATGCAGATGCTGCAGAGTGTAATTGATAGATGTCTGCAGCTCATCAGCCATTATACTGCTCCCGAATCGTCTCCAGTGCACGAGGGCAATGGCAGCTTGTCCGCAGCCATTGACTGCATTCAACCTTTTGTCGAAACTCTGAAATGCAGGTGACAGAGTTGGCCTTGGTATGTGACCTGTCGGGATCGGACTTGCTGATGATATGTCGCCGGGATAAAATTCCTCCCAGCAGCAGCCGTGTCTTCATGCAAAGCTGTCCGAGAGCCTATTCAGCTGAGCATCTTTTGATACAAGTCTAACGGCCGAGCACCTATCGGCGACAAGTAGCAGAGCTCGAGCAATCAAGCTGCAAAGACGGTGAAAACACTCGGGAGTCACAAGATGCGGGATGCGCGACACCGCTTGTGCGTGCCTCTTCCCGTTGGATGTTGGCATGTCTAGATTAGTCTTGCGGTGCATGGCATGGCAGCAAAGGGCCGGTTGTACGTCATTGCATCAAGGAATCACGGCAACCGAACGAAGCAGCCGACAGCGAATGGGAGCCGCCGGGGATGGCGCATGGTCCGGAAGTATTCTTTTGTCTTCCAGTGCTGGAGTTCTCATTACTTCATATGGACCATTCGAGACGAGGAGTAAGTGGAGCCTCCGGTGGGTTAAAGCAAAACCACTCATGTTTGGAAGTCTGAACCCCATCCGTTCCACCGCCAAGAGGGGGCGAAAGAGAGAAGAAACAGTGTGAGAGAGAGAGAGGAATATCCACCCCCGCCTCTGGAAGAGGAGGGGAATGCTGGGAGTTTGGAACTTTGGGGAAAAGAGACATGGGGGAGGATACGCGGACGGACTTTCTATGGGGTAATAGCACGGGGTAGGCTTGAGCCATTTTAATAATGGGAATTCCGGCTGGGGGTTCCGAAGCATTTCATTTGACTGGGGGGAGTTGGACTGTTGGAGACTAGAGCAGAAATCTCAAGCCCTCCCCGCAAGTTGACTAGGAATGGATTGAGAATAGTACTTAGTAGCAGCCACGGGCCATCTTCCAGGTACCGATCGACCATCCCTCCCCGCAAGTCTAGATGCGTGAGGAAACTTCGACGGACAATATGACTTCACATCGAAAAAAATGGAAATTGCGTGCTAGTAACCAACTACTTAGTTACCCAATCTTAATTAAATCACTGACAGTGCACATCTCCCAAAAGTGGTATGTAATGGCGGTGTGTGTGTGTATGATCCATCCTTCCTCACTGCGGTCCGGTACTAAGTAGGTTTAGTTATCAGCCAGTTTATCAGGCTGGACAAGACCGAGCCCAATGAATCCGGGCCAAGTTGATAGATCTATCCCTGAACAAGATACTCTCTGTATCTAGTACTGCTCCTAGTAGTGGCATCAAAGAAACCCTCAACTGATCGCCATTATTCATGATAAAGTAGTCGAATTCTGGCTGCTATCTATCTGCCACAAAACCGATAAGAAACCCCGGTTGGTAATATGATAAGCCGAGGAGAGCAATCAAGTGCGGCATTTTCCCCTCCGTTGATGCTCGCCATTACGCAGAGAAACCTGCAAAAATCAGCATCGTCGGCGATGATTTGCAGCTCACTGGCCACCATGACACACCAAAACCCCCTTTCGAAACCTACAGCCCTACTAAGTGGAGTGTTGGCCCCCCTTCCAGCCGGTCCGGTCAGCTGACTAAACCGGGAATTTAGAGGCAACAGTAACAAAGTATGGATGTTGTAACGGAGTATCTTACGGTTCCTACTTCCTTACTATCTACTAAGAGTACGTACTGACCTCACTGCATGCAGGTGGTCCAAAGGCCTTACCGGCCATCTCAATCCATCACACTATCTATTCATAGTGAGCAATAGATCTCAATTTGGATCTATCCCGTCAAAGTCTCACGCGACAGTACTCACTTTTCTTTCTAAATTTGTGCCTGGACGCCGCCCCTGGACTCAACTCAGGTGACACTCCCTTTACTCCATACCTTGTTAGTCAGTGAACTGTGAACCGGCAAACCAGCCACAATGACTCCAGCTCCCGTTCCAAAGCATTTGAGGCAATTTTTCCAATTTTAGCCCTTGACCACCAATCACGTTGGTTTCATGCGGTATTTTTCACACTTGCCTCATTCGCACTAAGATGGTCCGCGATGCCGAAAAAGGAAACTGAGACCCACTCAACTTGGCATCGTGAATCGAGTCATCCGCCGTGGAGCCGTTGCACAGGCGGGCCAGTATCAATGAGGGAAAGGGAAAGGGAAAAAGAGGGAAAAGAAGGGAACATACATGGGAATAAGGCAAGGAGAAAATAGATTTTTCATGGATCAAAGGTAGCACTTTATATACACAGTTTGATTACCCCTCGTACAAGCCGCATCGAAGCTGTACTACGTAGTATCTAGCCACCGTGGTATCTTGTGTAGGAACAAAACATCAACTTGACAGTTGGAGACAACAACGGCAACGTGGAGACCCATGCACAAGGGCGGGCCATCCATGATCCTCAGGCAGAAACAGCCAGGCCGTCCAACGACTTGCCCCGGACCGGGCCCCGTTCCTGGCCGATCGCATAGCACCGGCTTTCTGGGTTTGGCTGGCTGGCCGATAGTATTTGGCTTCCCAAAGAAGTAGTATTGCAGGTATGACTTAATAATGGCTGTGCCATTCGGATTAATCTCATTTTGGGAAATTTCGATTTTTATTTTTCATTTTTTTTTTTTTCCCCTTCGATGTGATAATAAGAAATGTTTATTATTTAATTATTATTATTTGTTTTACCTTTGGGGAAATACGATTCCTCGTCTGGCTTCAGCTCCAGTTTGTATAAAGAGCCAGCATCTCCCGGGTGGATTTGCACCTGATTCCACTGCTTTGTTCGTGTCCATCACATTGAATATCCTCCCTGTGATTTAATTTGACCTGATCTGATTTGAATTCGCATCCTTCTTTCCTTCTTGGATAAATTGGGATTCTCTCCGCTATTTTTCCCTCTTCTTTCCCACCTTCCCCTCTTCATCTGTGTTTCTTCCATCTTTGAATCCCAAACTCTCCCAAACTAGCCTCTTTGTGCATTCCATTGGTGACGTGTCGGTTGATGGCTGGTACCGACAAGTGAACCCCGTTTCAGTCTGTTTGGCTCGTTTCTCTTGCTCTCCCCGATAAGCTTCGAGCTTTCGTCATTGCCCTGGCCCGTAGCAACGCCAGATCACCAATTTTCCTTTGCATCAATCGACGCTTCCATTGAGGTAGGTTTGTCGCTAGTGGTCTAGAATTCCCATACTTTCTTTTCTGGCTTCCTTCTATATCTCCCTGCGCCGGCGCCATCTCCTGCACATCTTCATGCAGCTGTGTGGCTGCCTTATCTTTCCCAGCTTCAGCTTCCCATCCTCTTCCCCCCTCCATTCTCGCGCACGAACCAGTTTCTTTTATTGCTAGCAGCTTGGCTCCTGCCTTGTTACTCATGCATGGCTCACCAAGTAACAGATATAAACCCACTAGTGCCGCCTCTTTTCTGAGTTCAATTGAGCCTCTCAACTCCTCTTGCCACTCCACTCCCATCATGGTCTCTCCCGCGCCGTCGTCGTCGCCTCTTTCCGACGGCCACCTCAATGGCAACAACACCCTTCCCATGCGGACGGGGCCGAAACTCTACGGGAGCAACGATGGTTCCCAGTCAGGAGCTGGAACTCCTCTTGGTTTCCAAAGACACCCCCACAACAAGATCCTGGACAATGTAGCTGGCTCCAGCGTGCGCCAACCGTCGCCGCAACCCACGCATCTGGCTATTCCCGGTGGTGGCCAGCATCGCATTCTGTCAGAGGAAGACCCCGGCTATGTGGCGGCCAAATTCGAAGGGAAGGAAAAGCAAATGGAGCAAGGTGAGTTTGAAACTGACATCCCGTCTACTTTTATCGGTGGCGACTCTTCTGACTATTTTCTCTCGTTCGCTAGTGATGGATCAGCTGGAGAAGAAAGGCTTCATTCCCATTGAGTTTGTCGTCGGGGAGACCGAGTGGTTCTACAACCAGCTCGGCATTGACGACACATACTTCCAGACCGAGTCTGTGGACGCTATCGTCACGCAAATTCTCTCGCTGTATGCTGCCAAGGTCGCCGCCTATGCCCGTGACGACAAGAAGCTCGAAATCCGCTTGGATAAGGAAGCAGAAGATCATGCTGTCTACATTGATACCAGCAAACCCGGTATCGCAACAGTCGAAGGCCCCGGGTATGAACAGCGGATTGATAAGAAGTATATCAACCCCTCGTCCCAAGGCAACAGCTATCGCGTTGAGACCTTCCGTTCCCCCACACCTATTCCCGGTGATGATGGGCAACAGCTTCGTTGTTACTTCGTGTACAAGTGCCAGTTTGCCAATCCCACTCCCGATCCGAACGAGACCAACATCGATATCATCGGCGAAAAGAGGTTCCTGCAGAAAGCCACCCCCAACACCAAGGCTATCTACCAGGAAATCATCAGTAATGCCGTGAGCCGCTCCGGTCCGGTTATTGAGCTGTTTGAGATTGAAAAGAGCCGCGAAAAGAGACTGGTCATTGCCTACCGCCAAGGCTCTGCCATGGGTCTTTTCAGTGCGCTCTCCGATCTATACCACTACTACCGCCTGACCAGCTCACGGAAGTACCTGGAGAACTTCTCCAACGGCATCACGGTGATTTCGCTTTACCTGCGTCCTCTGCCCAACAAGGAAATTGCCGCCAAGTATCCCCCAATCGAGGCTGCCATTCACCAAATCATCAAGGAAGTCTCCCTTTTGTACTGTATTCCTCAGAACAAGTTCCAGCATCATTTCGCCAGTGGCCGCCTTAGCTTGCAGGAAACGATCTATGCCCACTGCGCCTGGGTGTTCGTGCAGCAGTTCCTGAACCGGCTGGGCTCCGAATACATCTCCTTGACGGATCTTTTGGATTCGAACAACAGCGTCCATGCGGAGCTGCTGGCGAAGATCAAGAAGAGGTTGCGTACCGAGACGTTCACATCGGACTACATCCTGGAAATCGTCAACAAGTACCCGGAACTCATCCATAAGCTTTACTTGGACTTCGCCAACACGCATTACGTGCAAACGCGGGGTCCTGCCGAGGATGACTTCCTCCCAACCCTGAGTTACCTGCGTCTGCAGGTTGACGAGGTGTTGGACGGCCCCAAGCTGAAGCAGCTCATCTCGAGTACTGCGGCCAATGAACATGATGAAATGGTCATGAGCGCCTTCCGCGTGTTCAACGCCTCCATCCTCAAGACCAACTTCTTCACCCCGACCAAGGTTGCTCTCAGCTTCCGACTCAACCCTGACTTCCTGCCGGAACACGAGTATCCCCAGCGCCTCTATGGCATGTTCTTGGTGATCAGCTCCGAGTTCCGTGGATTCCACCTGCGATTCCGGGATATTGCTCGTGGTGGCATCCGTATTGTCAAGAGTCGGAACAAGGAGGCCTACAGTATCAATGCCCGCTCACTGTTCGACGAGAACTACAACCTTGCCAATACTCAGCAACGCAAGAACAAGGATATCCCCGAAGGTGGCGCAAAGGGTGTGATCCTGCTTGACGTCAACCACCAGGATAAGGCCCGCGTCGCTTTCGAGAAGTACATCGACAGTATCTTGGACCTGCTGCTGCCTCCTGTCAGCCCGGGAATTAAGGACCCGATTGTGGACTTGCATGGTAAAGACGAGATTTTGTTCATGGGTCCCGACGAGAACACGGCCGAATTGGTCGACTGGGCCACGGAGCATGCCCGCAACCGCGGTGCCCCCTGGTGGAAGTCGTTCTTTACGGGCAAGAGCCCCAGGCTTGGCGGTATCCCACATGATACCTATGGCATGACGACCCTGTCGGTCCGGCAGTATGTGCTTGGTATCTATCGCAAGCTGAAGATCGACCCGAGCACCATCCGAAAGCTGCAGACCGGTGGGCCTGACGGCGATCTGGGCTCCAATGAGATCCTCCTGTCCAATGAGAAGTATACCGCCATTGTCGACGGGTCCGGAGTGATTGTTGATCCCCAGGGCCTGGATCATGAGGAGCTTGTCAGACTCGCCAAGAAGCGGGCGACCATCTCTGAGTTCGATCTGTCGAAGCTCTCACCCAAGGGTTACCGGGTTCTGGTCGATGAAAGCAACGTTCATTTGCCAAGCGGCGAGCTGGTCCACAATGGTATGATTTTCCGCAACCTGTTCCATCTGCGTCGTGACCAGCAATATGATACATTCGTGCCTTGCGGTGGACGACCGGAGTCGATTGATCTTTCCACTGTTGGAAAACTCATCAAGGACGGAAAGGCCACCATCCCGTACATTGTCGAGGGTGCAAACCTGTTCATTACACAAGACAGCAAGCTTCGCCTCGAAAGGGCTGGTTGCATCCTGTTCAAGGACGCATCTGCCAACAAGGGAGGTGTGACATCCTCCTCATTGGAGGTCCTGGCTTCCCTGTCTTTCGACGACGAAGAGTTTGTGGAAAACATGTGCATCCGTGAGGATGGTACCGTGCCCACTTTCTACAGTGAATATGTCAAGCAGGTGCAGGAGGTTATCAAGTCGAATGCTACTCTCGAGTTTGAAGCCATTTGGCGCGAACATGAGAAGACAGGATTGCTTCGCAGCGTCCTGAGCGATCGTCTCAGTGTTGCCATCACCCAGCTGGATGAGGAACTTCAGAAGACAGAATTGTGGGATAATGTTGAGCTTCGCCGCTCCGTCCTCCACGATGCTCTGCCGAACCTCCTTCTGCAGAAGATTGGTCTCGACACCATCCTTCAGCGGGTTAGTCTTACAGCCCAACGGATTTCATTAACATGATGCTGACAATCTAATAGGTGCCCGAGAACTATCTGAGAGCCATCTTTGGCAGCTACCTTGCCAGCCGCTTCGTGTATGAGTATGGTAGCAGCCCGAGCCAGTTCTCCTTCTTTGACTTGTAAGTGGTTCATTTCTGGCCCCCGAAATCGTGATGGACCCTTCTAATGATGACTATAGCATGACCAAGCGAATTGCGCAGCTCAACGCGAACCACGATTCTTAGACGGATATACCTGTTTTCTTATGATTGTTTTTGTTTGGTGACTTGCATTTTCCGGGAAATACATACCTAACTGCACATCAGCAGTGTTACGGATACTTTAATTATGACGATGTCCATTGCATGGGATACAAAAAAGACATGAATACTACAGACCTAATACAGCACTTTTGTTTTGCAATCCCTTTTCGCATCTAAGTAGTCTGCTCTGTTTATTGAACTTGAATACATTCGCAACTAGCTACTCTGTATTTTACTGCTACCACGCTGTTGCACAACATACACCTTGCAGGACTGTTAAAGTTCTAAGATTCTATACCCACCGAATTCAGCCAAATAAGTTCCTGTCCACATCTGAGTTAAGCTCTCCTGTACCCCAAGTAATTGCAAGGCGTAGTTGACAGAATATATGGAAAGAATATATTCGACATCAATGATATGTAACGCTGCAGGCTCATACAATGCTATATGCGTAGTAAAGTAAAGTACATCTGTCACCAGCCTAAATTACACGCAACTAAATACTAGACGATAACCTCATTGTCCTTGATGTTGAACTTCGGCCCCTCTTCATACTCGGTCCGCTCGATCTGTTCCAACTGCGCCCACAGATCGGGGTATTTATTCTTGGCCCACTTCTCAACTTCATCCTTCCAGTACTGATACGGGATGGCATTGTAGAGTAATCCGATCCTGTCGTTGCGTAATACGTTAGTACATGTTTATAGACCTGAAAGGTGAAAGGAATTGAACGTACGAGTTGCGGGTCGGTAGGTATCCAGTTTCAGCCTGCATCTTGTCTAGCGCTTCAGTGGCGAGGTCAAACTCGCACTGTGCGGCCAGGGCCTCAACGTATGCCATGTATAGTTGGCGATCAACGGTGATTTCGAGGCGCTTGACCTTGCTCATCATTCGCATGGCCTCCTGGATTCCGTTGTGGTGTTTTTCGCACGTCTTGAAGAAGATGGTGATGGTTTTGTGGGAGGGGCCTTCGTCCGATTGCAGGATGTCGCGGAATACGTCCAGCGCTTTTTCGGGCATATCGCAGGCGGCGTATGCGAGCATGAGGCCGTTCAGAAGACGCGTGTTGAGGTCCACTTCCACGTCGAGCTTAAGCATGTTGTGGACGAGTTCGAGGTTCTTGGCGTCCTGAGTTCGCGCGAGGCCTTGGAAGCATCGCGCATAGGTGTCGGGTTTGGGTCGTCGTGCGAAATCTTCTGCTTGTCGCATGTGTCCGAAGACTAGGAAGGCGAGGTCGCTACGGTCTCGCTTGAAGAATGAGGTCATGATCTCGGTTCGCAGGCTGACGCCGGATTCGGGAAACGCGAGTTGAAGTAGGTTGTACATTTCCCAAGCGTCATCGGTTTCTTGGGTCAGGTCAGTGATGAAGTTGGTGAGAGTATTGCGGACTTTGGTTCTTTCTTCTGAATCGTAGAGCCCCAGACGGGGACGAAGGAGCTCGGAGACAGCCTCCCACTCACGACGGTACAATAGCATGTGCGTCAACGCTGCCAGAGTGTCTGCCTCCAACCGCACGTTATTTTCGAACAACGGATCAGTGAGGGAGCCCACTTTCTCCACCACGGCATCCTCCTGACTTGAAAAGCAGAGGACGGTGATCAGCTTGTTCATCAATGGCAAGTTCTCAAGCATGATGGTCTCTGGGTCGTGTAGGTCTTCCATGGAGCTCAATGCAGTCTTCACATCCCCTGCTAGAATGTACGCTTCCAGTCGCAGTAGGTAAGTTTGCAGGTCCGGTTCCAGGCCCCACTGGGAGGCCAGAGATGCGAACTCTGTGGCCAATTCGGGATTCTTGATGGAATTGGCGTATTCCATCAGATCGTTCACGCATGTGATGGTGAGTGATTCGCTGACTTCTTGGTTACCGGCCGTCAATATTCTGGCCTTCTCCTGGACGGCAGCAGCACTCTTGGTTTGGACAGCTTCCCAGAGAAGCGTGATACCTATGGTCTCCGCAACTGGCGCGTGCGAAAGCGACTCAAAGATAGAAGTTGCCCAAGCTGTCTCGGCCTTCATGATCGCATAGCGAATGACGGCTTCCTTGGCGAGGACAGAAGGTTCTTCTCCGGAAGGCGAGAGACTCTCATATACCATTTTTAATGCCGCTAGAAGATCCTGCTCAACGAGGATGTTGACCAGCTCTTCATGGGCAGTTCGATCGAACACAATGCCGTGCTCGTTCAGCTTTTCCGTGGTACGTCTGAGTTGATTCCTGTCGTTGATGATGGCATAGCCTTTCATGACTGTGAGCCAAGGGGAAGGGCTGGTCTTGCTCAGTCGGTTCCAGAAGTTCTCGACCACATGCCGCGCTTCATCCGGGTTACCAAGCATAGCCTGGATATAGATGTAAGATAGGAGGGCAGGACGGCTAATGTGATTGTTCCCAAATCCATGGTCTGCACAGAGCTCCAAGAAGGCTAGCCGAGCCATCTTTCGCACGGTTTCGTGCGCCTCTGGCAAACATTTTGCTTCCGATAAGACGTAGAGAAGATTCTCGAGGTTCTCGGTTGAAAAGACCTTCTGCCATTCCATGCGTTCCAGTTCCCCCTCGCGGGCTCTGAGATACTTCCAGGTGGTAACAAGCAACTTCGCATGGTAGTTCGTAATGATTCCAGGAGTTTCCGCGCGGGCAACGACAAAGTCCTGGAAAGCTTTTGCCAGGATTCCGTTGGCGGGGCCTCTGCTCTGGTCACTGAGTGATCTCAGCAAGTCTCGCATTGGCTTCAATCCAGTTTCAGAGGGCAAGATCGCAGGCTGAGGTTCGGCAGTTGGGGCCGCAAAGGCGAAGAGCCCGCGTCGCTGGACATGGTATGGACAGAGAGGACCTAGTTTGCGGGATCGATGGCAACGAGCAGTATGCAGGAAGCGATAGTGACAGCGTGATGATGAAAGAGGCTCATTATTTAAGATGGCCCGAAAGACCCTTTTAGTTAGGTGGGACTGCATATTGATCAAGACGTTTCAATGTGAGAAGCTGTTTGGCGCAGGGAAGTCGAGTATCTTGATTCTTGTTTGGTTCCCTTTTCAGCAGAAAGGTATGGAAGTATAAGCAAATGTTTTGCCAGATACCATGAAGCACGGTCTATCCACAAGGTAAAGCGATGCAGAGACCGATAGCAGAGTCAGGCCAATTGACGCAATGGCACCGAGGTGTATTCCTTGGATCGAGAGGTGGGAATGGGAATGGAGGAGACGGAGTTGCGGGCGGAAGTCCAGGCGGCTCTTGGCGCGTGCCGAAAAAAGAAAATCGATCGCATCGCCGGCCAGCTTCATCACCCCGAGCCTTTTCTCTCCGGATTGTCATTCTCCTCCCCACTCTTTGGCCATCTCGCTGTCTCAGTATGGCTCTTCATCTCTTTTCGTGGTCGCCTTTGCGCACCGTTGGCTCAGCCTTTGGGTCGGTGTCTGCTGCTGCTAGTGTTGCTTGTCGCTGGAATTCGACGGCTGCTCCGAATCCCGCTCCTCAGCGTGGCCCCAGATCTCGGTGTAAGTGATTGTACTATTCAGTCTGACTTTCTACCCGTTTCATAGACCGAACTTGGGGGGAACCTATTTCAATTATATCCCCTTCTATTGACTTTTCGCTAATCGGTGGCTTCAACGCAGCTCCCAAAGTGTACAACCGCCGCCGTGGACCAGTGGACCGCCGCCGATTTCTCGAGGAGCAGCGGGCTCAGAGTGAGAGCAGGGCTTTGGAGAGGTTCCAGACGCGTGAATGGAAAGCCGGTGATCTCTATGCCCCTCATGATCTCAGCCCGGCAGAGATGAAGAAATGGAGGAAGCGTTACAGTCCCTCGACTGATGCCTTTGACGCCCTGAACCTGAACCCCCTGGATTTGTATAAGGTAAGCCAACGTATCATGGACTTTTGGGAAAGAAAGAAGATGGTTCTGTCTCGCAATCCATGCTGATCGCTGATAATTCGTGCTTCGCAGAACTTCTCTGTTATGTCGGAATATATCACCTCGATGGGTCGGATAAAGCACAGAAACATGACGGGTCTGCGGCCCGTCAACCAGCGCAAGATTTCCAAGGCTATCCGGAGAGCTGTTGGTCTCGGTCTCATGCCCAGTGTTCACCGACACCCGGAAGTTCTGGCGGCCGAAGCAAGGTCGCGGATGGAGGGAGGAAGTGGCTACTGAATAGAGTTCCTCATGTATAACATCGGTATAGGGTCACGGACTGGACTCGGGTTGCTTTTGATATGATAGTTCTTTTCTTCCTCAGCTTTTGAACTCCTGGTGTTTTTCTTTTCTTTTCTTTTCTTTTCTTTTCTCTTTTCTTTTACTGCTAGCCAGACAGCCTTGACGGGATGGCCTATGTACAACTACGACTATTTACCACCACCATTCTCATTTCAATCCAACCAATACATATGACATTGTGCAATGATAGGGGCGGAAGGGGGATTTCAGGCAGCAACTTAGACGCTGAATGAGCATTGACTCTGATAAGAAGACGAGAGTTATATAAGTACCTGTCCAGTCAACCACGGCAGCATCCGCGGCCCATGTGTTTCGGCGGCACCCCCACCCATACGTCAACAGCCTAAACATCGCCGTGCTTCTTCTCCCCTTCTCCTGTTTCCCTCACTCTTCTAGCCCTGATTGAATCCTACTTGTGTCTTTAATTATTTAGCGACGGACATTGCATGTAAGTAAAATCATGTCTATTATAAATGGTCTGCTAGCACCCCTTACCCGCTTGCTTTACTATCACCACTGCTAACAAGACCACCTAGAGTCCATCTGGGCTGCCAGCCCCTCCACCACCAGGGGTCAGCCCACTCAGCTTTCTGCGGACGCCAAGGGCGAACGGATTGCATATGCGGTATGGAATTAAATTTTCTGGCATCCATGCAAATAAAATATTCGTCAATGCTTACTGTTCCTTTCTCGAAATCTTCAGGCAATCAAATCGGTTTTCCTCCGCTCGATTGACAACCCCGCCATCGCCAGGCAGTACACCGAACATAAGACGCAGACCACTGTTGCCCGCTTCTCACCCTCGGGCTTCTATGTTGCCAGTGGTGATGCCAGTGGTATAGTGAGAGTCTGGGACTGTGTTGGAGAGGGTATCACCAAGGGCGAATACAGCATTGTGAATGGCCGGATCAATGATCTTGCCTGGGATGGCGATTCCCAGCGCATCATTGCCGTCGGTGATGGAAAGCAGCGCTACGGCCACTGCATTACTTGGGATAGTGGTAATACTGTCGGAGAGATCTATGGCCACACCCAACAGATCAATTCCGTTTCGATCAGGCAGCAAAGGCCATTGCGGGCCGCTGCTGCCGGTGACGACAAGAACCTAGTCTTCTACCACGGTGCACCATTCAAGTTCAACACGGGAATCCGGGATAAGCACACCAACTATATCTATGGAGTCGGCTTCAGCCCGGACGGCTCGACATTGGTCAGTGTTGGCGCGGACCGCAAGATCTGGCTGTACGATGGCAAGACGGGAGAAGTCAGAGGCCAGATTGGCGAAGGAGAGCACAACGGCAGCATTTTCGGCCTTTCGTGGTCTAAGGACTCGCGGAAGTTTGCGACAGCCAGCGCAGACAAGACTGTCAAGATTTGGGACGTGGAAGCGGGCAAGGTTACCCAGAGTTGGAATATGGGAGAGGAAGGAGCTGCGAATGTTAAGGACCAGCAGGTCGGAGTGGTCTGGCCTCAGGGAAGAAGCGATGGCCTGCTGATCAGTCTTTCGTTGAGCGGCGACCTTAATTACCTAGTTGAAGGCACCCCGAAGCCCAGACAGGTCGTCCAGGGACACCAGAAGAACATCACGTCCTTGACCCAGTCTCGCTCTGGCAGCGATGCTGAGACCCTGTGGACTGGAAGTTTTGACGGCCGGGTCTGCAGCTGGGATGTTCCCACTGGGGCTGCGGAAGAAATGGAAGGTGACAGCCACACGACCTATATTGCAGGTCTCGCGCCTACACAGGAAGGCAATGGTCGGATCTACAGCGTCGCCTGGGACGACACCATTCGCTCCGTGGATATAGGTGCCAAGACCTATACCGGAATCTCTTCTAAGCTGTCGGGACAGCCCAAGGGCGTTGCAGCCGCAAATGACTTGGTGTTAGTGGGAGCGTCGGAGAGCGTTGAGATCTACAAGGACGGACAGAAGACTGGCGACTTCAAGCCTGATTTCCCCGTCACTGCGGTTGCGGCTCATGGCAACGTTGCAGCTGTCGGAGGTGAAAATGCGACCGTACAGATCTTGGATATTGCGGCCTCGAGCCTTTCCCCCAAGACTACCATCAAGGCTACGCGGAATGCGGTGTCTGCCTTGTCTTTCTCATCCGACGGATCTCTCCTGGCCGTGGGCGACTCTCGGGGTCGCATCCTTGTTTACAAGGTCGCAGACGGTAGCCTTGTTACGGATCGTTGGACGGCGCACACCTCTCGAATTACTTCACTTGCCTGGAACGAAGACAATGACCACCTGACCAGCGGGTCATTGGATACCAACATCTTCGTCTGGAGCTTGTCCAAGCCCGGCGACTGGCTTCAGGTGTCTAACGCTCACAAAGAAGGCGTGAACGGTGTTGCCTGGATCGCCGGGGGATCTAAGATTGCCTCAGCCGGTGCTGATGCGGCAGTTAAGGTGTGGAAAGTGGAAGGTCTCAATTAGAGATGGGGGCCGACTTATAGAGAGTATATGCCAAGTGTATAGTGAACGTTGAGGTTTTGGCTGGTCCACAATGTATTTGCTTTTCCTGGCTTTCTGAGTTCAAGTCATTATTCCGATGTTATCAGTTTGTAGGGAGCCATCTCATAGTGTAAGGAGCACGTAGAAGCTCAAGCGGGCTGGGATGACGCGGGCGTGACCCGTGCGTGATTCTCTCGCAAATGCCGGCTCGCATTGGTCACCGGACCTCCCAAGCTCTCCACCAGCGCACAAGATCATGGTGGAACAAGGCCTTGTTCCTGTTCCTGTTCCAGTTCCGGCAGTCTTTTCTATACGTTCGAGTGGAAACCGGGAAAGGAAAATGAGGTAAACAGATCATGTCTCTGCCGGGCGACTCATCGAGCAGCGGTGCCCGGCGCTTTCTGCGTCCGAAGAAGGTAAGCTGCATAGTTAGCTATCTCCAACCACTACTTAGCTAGCATTACTATCAAGCTAGCTGGGTTACTTGGCCTAGACTTCCTCCCCTTGCCTCAACCACTACGGGTTGACGGCGCACCCCGACCCTGCCAATACGCTCATCAGTCCAGGAAAAGAAGTTTAGTTAACTTATCTCGCGTTGCTGATTCATACTGCCTTTCTCACAGTTACGCTACGCAACCTTCGTCCTGCCGAGAACAGGCCAGCGACTCAAAGGCCTCGTTAATTTACGAAACCCGTATCCTGACCCACATGGGAGTAACGACAATGATGAGCGACGGCCACTTCTCCCCAGAAATGTCATCGAGTGCCCCAAGAGCCTTCCAGCACGGTTCTGGTATGGACTTCAACATATATGGTCTTGGATGCATGAGTTCGTTTCGTCGGAGCTAGGAATCGGCGTCTTGAAGTGCAGTCTAGCTTACCTGCTTGGATCACTCGCAACTTTCGTTCCGGCCATTGCGTCGTTCCTGGGCCATCAAGATGGCAAACATATGGTTGCTACCGTTACGGTCTACTTCCATCCAGCGAGATCGCAGGGCAGCATGTACAAGGCTTTGATATGTGCCTTTCTCGCCTTCCTCTATGCTGCCTTCATCTCTCTCACCAGCATGTGTGTCTCCATGTTCTTTCAGGACACTTTGCATATGCTCCCTGTGGGACATGCCCTCGTGCTCATTGTATTCTGTGGCGGCGGGTTAGGCTTTATCGGATGGACGAAACAGAGACTCGGCGATCCGCTTGTTAACGTAGCATGCTCGCTAGCTTCGTTGTCGACAATAACCGTCTTAACGAAGGAGGGTGCAGTCCAAAGTGGGGATCTATCGTTTGCGAAGATCTCTCAGGTACTGAAAATGGTCGTAATGGGCGTAACCATCACTATGGCCGTGTCTTTCCTGATCTTCCCCATATCCGCACGCAAAAAGCTCCGGTCTAACTTGACTACTGTCACTGAAAGCTTGGCGACAATGTTGGCTCTAATAACTGAAAGCTTTCTTAGTGGCTCTGAGGAGGAACTCCAGACTGAAGAGTTCACCAGCACGGCTGCGCGCCATAAGAAAGCATATGCGCAGCTGGACAAGCTTGTAAGGGAGGCCAAGCTTGAGCATTTCGTGGCAGGCACGGAGAAGGAGTACCGGCTGGAGAAGAAGTTAGTTCGTTGGGTGCAGGACATTACTCATAATATGGGTGGTCTACGCAGTGCGGCCCATCTGCAATTTCAATTGCTTAAACCAACGGAACTTGCAAAGCTACAGAGCCACGGCCCCGAAACCGGCACTATGCCGTTGATAAGTCCGTGGTCCCTTCATGAAGACGGGCCGTTCCTGGAACGAATCGATGAGCAACCAGACGAAGAAGACAGACTTGGGGCTACTGATATGAATGCCACCAATGGTAATCCAACGAATTCCCTGCATCCCGCAGATATATTTGCCCTCTTTATCAGCCATCTCGGGCCTTCTATGGTGAGCTATCATGTCAATAGATGAGATGGGGATCTGTGAATGCTAATAATCAATAGCGCTCGCTTGCGTTTACCCTCAAAGAAATATTCCGAGACATCCCGTTTACTCCCGCACCTGAATTTAGAGTTTCCGTCAACAGTCGATACCGGACGAGTCTAGATCGTGCGCTTGAGCTCTATAGAGAGTCGCGCGAAGAAGCACTCAAGACTATCTATAGGCAACGTGAGCTCACAGGGGTACAGGAACTAGAAGTCGAAGCTGATTTGGAAGAGGTTTCTGCAAGCTGTGGACACTTCAGTTTCTCCTTACTCGAGTTTGGTGAGCAATTGAAAGAGCTTTTAGCTATCTTGGATGAACTACAGCTGGAAAGTGAGGAAAGACCGACAGGGAGATCTTGGAGCTGGCTTAAGTTTTGGCGATGGGGAGGTTCTGGAGCGAGGAATAAGAATAACCCAGATGTAGAGCAGCCGTTAGCTTCAACGGCCGATGACGCAGGTGTAGCACCTCAGCGAGATATGGCTAGCTCACCAGAGTCATCCCTTAGCCCGTCAACGGCCAAGATTGAAAGAGTCACCTCTGCCGAAAAGCGTCTCGGCTATCGTCTTTGGAGGTCACTGGGGTTCTTCCGCCGCGATGATACAAAGTTCGCGATCAAAGTCGGGGCAGGTGCTGCACTATATGCCTTGCCATCATTCCTCCAATCTACTCGGCCCTTCTATTCCCATTGGCGAGGTGAATGGGGGCTCTTGTCCTACATGTTGGTATGTTCCATGACGATTGGTGCCTCCAATACTACGGGGTATGCACGGTTCTTGGGTACATGCCTGGGAGCACTGTGTGCCATTCTTTCATGGTACGTGAGTGCAGGAAACGTGTTCGCGCTCGCCTTTCTGGGGTTGCTTATGGCGACTTGGAACTTCTACCTCATCATCGTCCGCGGCCAAGGTCCAATGGGCCGATTTATCATGCTCACCTACAACCTCTCAGTGCTGTATGCCTATTCACTTACTCAGAAGGAAGGCAGGGACGACCAAGACGAAGGGGGCGATAGCCCGGTCATTACTGAAATCGCCCTTCATCGAGTCGCGGCTGTCTTGTCAGGCTGCGTGTGGGGTATCATCATCACGCGAGTCATATGGCCGATCAGCGCCCGGGAGAGATTGAAAGAGGGCCTGAGCCTGTTATGGCTCCGGATGAGTCTGATCTGGAAGCGCGGCCCTTTGTCCACAATGGCCTTCCCCAAGGAGACTGCAGGCTTCATGAGTCCTCGGGAGAAGTTGGAGGTGGAGCGGTTCCTGTCGCATCTGGAGTCCCTTCAAGCCTCTGCGCGATCTGAGTTTGAGTTGAAAAGCGCCTTCCAGGATGCAAGCTATGGCAATATTCTGCGGCGCACCCGGAGCCTGGTGGATGCATTTGTCGCCATCAACTTGGAGTTGGTTAAGAACATGACCGCATCGGAAGGGGAACTCGCTATACTTCGGTACACGGTCAAAGAAAGGCAACAATTATCCTCCCGCATCAGCCATCTGTTATCTGGTGAGTCCCACGAATGTAGCCATTGATTATTAGTAACTGACGCTTGAGATAGTTATGGCCTCCTCGATGAAGCTGGAGTATCCATTGAGCGACGTCCTCCCCAGCGTGGAGCATGCTCGAGATCGGCTCCTCGCACGGCTCTTTCATTATCGCAAGGACACTGAAATGTCACGACTATCCACGGACGAAGACTATGCCCTGCTTTACGCTTATAGTATGTTACGAGCCCCTTGTTTGGTTAAAGTAAGGAAGGGAAACATGGCTAACTGCGAACGCGATGTAGTTCTGGTGACGGGGCAATTATCGGTCGAGATTGAAGCGATCATGGGTGAAATCAGCCGGCTCTTCGGGGTATTACATGAGGATGCAGTGAAGCTGTATTCCTAGCGAGGAGATTAGTGGGGATCAATTCTGTTGCCTGTAAATACCCTCCATCTGAATCCTTGATGGGTGTATGTGCCGTGATACTCGGACGGTCGTTCTGGTCTCTAAACATACTCGGGGGTGGAACAGTGGGCAATGGTGAGAGTCATTTGGCGAAAATAAGTCCAGATTCACCAATTTGGAACTTGAACCGTCACAGCTTTCCCCATTTTTCCCAAGATCCGATGTATAAGGTGTTAATCGAAATCATCATCCGTTGAAATCCACGGAGGGCGGTGGTGGTAGTCTGTAAGTCTGGCAGAAACCACGAAGCGTATCAGTGCTACGCACTCAGTCTGGAAGGGTAAAGATCAACGAATTTTGTATTTTGTCGCATTTGATATGTTAGCGTCAGGATGTGCATGATTTACGTATAGCATTCAGTGTAGTCTGCTCAAACCTAAATGTACAGAGTACAACACTTCTACTATAATTCAAAGAGACAAGGCGGTGAGAGGTATAGAGAGTCGCGCGGTGGTCGTCTTCGAAAGTGCGCGCGGAGAATGCCGTAGATAACAGCCAGCGTAGAGATAAAGAAAGGAAATATCCTTGTCAAGTGAGACAAAAATTCCAAGTGCATGAAAGAGAGTGATCCGTGAATAAAAATAAAATAGAGCTGGTGGGGTGAGAGCTTGAGTGTAAGTAAGTCAGTAGTGGATGGACAGCGGGATTCAATCCAATCCATCTTCCCCAGACTTCCCAACTTCCACTTCCACCTCGAACGTCCTCCTCCGTCTGGCCTGCCTTTCCCCTTCTCCTTCAACCCCCATCGCCCATCAATCCGCTTGTCATTGCCTATCCGTCTTGCGTGTCGACCACACCTTTTGACACGCTTTGCTCCGATCGTTTTCGCCTCCGGTTTCCTGGATCTGGTATGACTCGCGCTTCATGAAGGCGTAGTTCTCCCCACCCCCGGCTTCGCGCAGCCCGTCGCGCTTCGGCGAGCCCTCGCAAACCATGCAGATCGATCCGGCTGCTCTGAGTCGGACAGACTCGGCCTCCACTACAATAGCCTCGTCTAAAAGCACTGCTCCAAATGCTCCGCCAACGCAGAAGTCTACCAAAGCCCTCATTTCCGTGCCGCGCCTGGATCTTGAGCCCATCTACACCGAGCTGAAGGCCGCCATCGGCGACAATTGGGCTGACTACAAGGAAGCTACTTCCCTCTTTCTTCTAGGTATGTCTGTGCATTGTCACGTCTATCCCCATCTTCTTGCGAGGACCTATCTATATCATTGTTCTTGAGTTTCTGTCTCTTATCTTACAATAAGCCTCGGTCCCACTTTTAACCTGAATGCGTATGCTGACGCCGCCCTTCTCCCCCAACGAACAGGACAACTGAACCAAAGCGAATTGTCGTCGCGAGTCGATCATATAATATGCGCCGATCAAAAAACCGAGCATCTACATAACAATTTCGTATGCGCAATCATTGGCAATCTTACACGGGATCTTCCGGATCATGGTGTCGCAAGTTGGGTGTCGGCGAACGACAAGCCGTCCGTCGTGTCAAAGCCGACATCGGGCGATGCCGCTGAACAAAGGCTCAAGACGGAGGTTATGCAACTCCCTCCCCGGGATCGTCGACGAATCAAAGCTATTCCCGAGGTATGCGACCTGCTCCAGAGATGCGACAGCCTCCCCCCTGAGATGTGCGCGTACAAGGCTGACCATGGATCTATACAAAGCGTGACCCCCATGAACTGTCGCCGAACGAACTGGAGGAGTATCATCTGGCGAAACAGATCAAGTTGCCAAGTCAAGTACCAGCTAGTGCGGGCGGGTTGAATAAGACAAGTAGGTTCATGCCAGAGATCTCGTCTGTTTTTCGTCTGCTCGACCGAATGATGCTAATCATCCTGGATCTCGGTAGACTGGGAACTCGAAATTCGAAAACGATATGCACAACCTCTGGCGTCAGAGTCCGGCGAATTCCCGGACGCCGAATCTATCCACGCACGTATGGTTCCCATCTGCTACGAAGAATCCATTGTCAGTGGTGCAAGCCTTCCCTGTGCCGAGTTCATGGCGATCGCAACGGAGACTTTTGTCAAGGAAGTTCTATCCGTAGTGTTCTCACGGACGAGATCGAACGGCCCTTCAGGGACAATAAACGGCATGATGATGCGCAAGTACCGACAGCAGCTCGAAAGTGAGGAATTGGCTTTCACGCGAGGAGAGATCGTCAAGGATAGCGCGACCGGTCTTCTCCCAGTCGAGGCCAAGGAGGCAAGCACCCGAAAACCCTTGGGCGTGCGAGATCTCCGATTATCCTTGGAACTCGGCGGCGGTGTCCTGAGTCATATGCCTCTACTCGTGGATCAAATCATGGGTGGGTATCTCGAGGATGAGTTAGAAACAGACAAACAGGACCGGGTCGAGGAGGCGGTCGACGTCCCCGACGCGAAGCCCGACAGTTTCATGGACGAAATGGACGTGGACGAGGCAAAATTCGACTGGGAAGGCGGGACAGTCACGGATCGGGAGCAATTGGGTGCCTTGCTGGATGAATGTTTGTCGATGGCCTCGTGAGAGCCATTGGCCGCTCCTCCTCAGCCCTGGTTGGCCTCAATTCTCTACAAGTTCTCTTTCTGTCCTTCTGTCTTTTCCATCCCCCTCCACTGCTACCCCGGTTCCTTGCTTGTTTGATCCAAACAGGACCAAACATTGCAACATCTCGGTCGAGCAGAGGAGGTGAAACAGGCGTCTTGGGAGTCATCGGGGGAAAGCCATTATCGTCAATTTTTGCATCTGGCGCGGAGTTCGAAGAGTATCAATTTTCTCTTTTCTTCTTCTTCTATCTTATACCTCTTTTCTCCTTAAATCTCTCTGACTTCCGCTCTTTGTTTCCTTCTGTCCGAGTTATGTTACCCTCCATCTCTCTTTTCTCTCCCTCTCTTTCTTATTACCTCAGCCCAGCGGGCGGTCACACCTATGCAGCCATAGTCAAGTTCCTTGGACGTCATCCAATGCGGAAACTTTGTACCTCTGGTACGTAATCCTTGACATGCTGGATTGTTTTCCATCTCAAACCAGGGATGTAACCGCCCCCCACAATGGATGAGAACCAGGAGAGTACAAGGGTACCCATCTAAACCCCGAAACAACATGAGCTGGACATATCTGCGGATGTGCATGGCCCACCGTCTCCTCGACTGGATGAAGACGTTACCTATAACCCGAACTCGGGTATCGATCAGGATCAACAGTTTGTTCGCCCACTCTTTACTACCTATATATCTGGAAAAACGTGAAGAATTCTGCTTGTTGGCGCAATCTAGTGGTGCATAACCATGCGGAAGAGAAATAAGAAGAAGAAGAATCGTGTTGTGTGTGTTTGCTGTTTACTGTACATTATCTTGCCTTCCATTCTTGGCTTGCATATGCTTGGTGGAAACCATTTTACTAGCTGATCATGATAGAGAGAAAGAGTGACCTCATGAGACTTCTCAAGAGAAATGTCTCAGCACCCGCACCGCGCGCAGGACCACTTGGTTGTATGGTTGGTTTAATCTGCAACTGCACCGCTCTTAATGCAAAGGCTAATTAGGCCGATATTACCTGTATGCATTTTTCAGGGGTTTCTCCTTATAGTGGTAATCGTTTTGTAAAGATGTAGCCAAACCAACCAAGCGGAGAGCGGTTGGCTGGTGAACCCTGTTTCACTTCGCCGGAAACGCCAACGTATCCTCTAGGGCAATGAACTGGATATCGTAAGGAATGATGAACATGCGAGGTCAAGAAAGCAAGGCATCATGAAATCAATTAGGTCAGACGGTCTGCAACCATCTTCAAAATCTCTTCTGTCGACTTGAGCGCGTTGGCGGGGTCTTTGGCCACGGATTGCCAGATTTCTCCGTGCTTGGGCTCGGTCGAAATACACTTGGATATTACATCGGCGCGTTTTTCCTGGGAATTGCTGTCAGTCACGTACATCCTAGACAGATTATTCTTTTTTGTTATGAATAAAAGACATACCTCTGTGCCATGCTGCAACAAGAATTTGTAGTACCAAGCCCATGCGTCGCCCATATCACTATCCGAGACAATGGCTTTCTCGAACCAGGTGAGTGCTTTTTCCAATCGGCGCTCGCCCCAGAAAATCCGCGCCACGGTAATAAAGAGAATCGGATCGTTATCAGCCTTCTTGATCGCTTCCAGACTCCGAGCTTTCCGTTGCGCGCGCGGCTCCAGGTGCCAAATGCTTTCGCTCCATAGTAATCCGGAGGTAGGGACTTCTTGCAGTGCCTTGGCCATTAGGACCTTGGCTTGGGCAATGTTGTTTGCTCGCCGCTCTACGCGCACACTTTCGGTCCAGAGCTCTGGACTCTTGGGGACCGCAAGGCGGGCACGGTCGAGCACTGAACGAGCCTTTACGACCGCACCGGCCTTTTCTTCAAGTCTTGAGGCCAACAGCCAGAGTGGGATGGACTTGTTGCAGGCTCTGGTTCCGGTCCCGTAAGCTTCCCGAGCCTGTGGGTATTTGTTTTGGGCTTCGTAGATCTGTCCCTTCATCATCCAGAGTTTGTCCGCCTTGGGATAGATTTGAAGTCCTTGGTTCACCAGATCGAGCGCCTCGTCGATGTTGCCGAGCTGTCGCTCGAACGCGACGCTCTTTATCCAAACGCGGTCCGTACCCGCTTCGCGTCGAGCAGTTGCAAGAAGTTCTCTGGCTTCGGATGTTTGGTTGGCATCGGCCTCTAGCTTGACAGCAGCCAGCCAGATATCCTCGTTGTTGGGGTTCTGGTTGAAGGCACGGCCGAGCACTCTCCGGGCATCGTCGATCTCGCCGGACTGCCACTTTTCTTTCGCAAGCTGCAGCCATAGTTCCTCACTTTGCGGGCACGCCTCAACGGCCTTTTCAAGGACTTGCCACAGCGCTTCTTTACTACCGTGGTTGCGCTCCAACTCGGCTGCCGCAATCCAGATTGAACGACGGTTGACGAAAACACGCAGCGCGTAGGCATAGATAGCCCTGGCAGTTTCGTACTTCCCCCTGGCAATACTAGCCTTTGCGTCATCCATCCAGATGTCCTTGCGATCGTCATCCTCATCCAAGCCCCATCCGAGAGTCTCACGAATGATGGCGCCACAGGTGAGAATAGCACCTTCCTCTTCGCACTTCTCAGCCTCCGCTACCCACTCCTCCCGTTTGAGCATGGCGTTTTCTCTCGCGAGGGCTTGGACAGCTCTCTTCATCACATTCACCTTCTCGAACGTACCCATCTGCTCCTGCAGGCGGGCAGCAGCGACCCAGACTTCGTGGCTTGTGGGAACCGCTTTGCGGGCGGCATTGAGAACCTTCTGTGCATTCTCCGGTGATTCTAGGCGAGCCAGAGCCAGCCAGAGCTCAACGGAAAGGGGGATCATCTCAACTGCCTTCGCCAGAAGCAGACGTGCATCGGCAGGGTCGTCCTCCAGGTTGACGGCTTCTTTCCAGATCGTAACAGACTGAGGTATGTGAAGGATCGCCTGTCTAAGAACGTTCTTCTTCGCACGAGGCTCTGTCTCCAATCGCATGGCTTCGATCCATAGTCTTGTAGAACGGTCATTGTTCTTGATGGCATTAGCCGCAATCACCTTGGCATTATGGCCCTCGTTAAGGCGAATGTTTTCAAGCCAGGCATCTTCACTTTTCGGGCACAACTCGCAACCCTTGGCGATTACATTCCTGGCAGTCACGATTTTACCGGCTAATTCTTCTAGACGCGCCAGCGCAATCCATCCCGGCGCATGCTTGGGATTCGTTTTCGTTACAGATTCCAACAAAACGCGGACCCGCTTAATGTCTCCAATTTCTACTTCTCCAGCTTTCAGCTCAGACTGCGTGAGACTTGTAAGGTAGCCCTTTGGATCGATGTTGGTAGCGCTTCCAGACGCAGAATCCCCAGATGATCCCATCGCCGCTTGGTCGAGCCTAACTTTCAAGACTTTATCACGCGCAGCACTGATGTCTGCAAAATTGGTGATTGTCCCATCAGCTGCCTCCGCTCCATTGGCTGCGGTCTGGGTCCCGTCCTCTGCAATCGTTGTCTCAAACTGGGTCGAGTCTCTTGCGCTCGCGATCACACTGTCCGGTACTGCGTAGAATCTCTGCCGAAGGTTCTGCTTTGCGCGTCGGTTCTTTCCGGTGAGATCTCCCACCTCCGGGAGGTTTGCCCACTCGTCCTCGGAGACAGAGGCTAAGGATCGTTTTAGATCTGCAAATTGCTGCTGAATCTTAGGGTTCTTGCGTTCGTAGTCTTCTCGTTCTTGCTGTTCGCGAGCTTCCCTGTGAATGGTGGAGGAATTACGTCGGTAATCTGTCCAGGCAAACCGCATATGGAGAAGCGGATGAACAAATCGCTTCATAGAAATAGCAGAAGGGGAGGCAAAGGGGCGGGGAACTAACCTTCTCATCTTCCGGCGCTTGTCCATCTTTTCATCCACCTCTCTGTAGATGCGGTCCGCCTCATCATCCTCTTGGTCGAACTGACCATATGCGAATAGCCCGACTTCATTGTCCGGGTCTTGAAATCGCTCGTCATCTTCCTCTTCATCCGCCTTCTCATCTTTACCACCCTTCTCTCGCCCTGCGCCATAAGCTGTGGGAGGAGCAGCTCCAAGCAGCTGGGCTCGCTTCGCCAGTGCTGCCTGGATCTGTTCTGGCGTGGGGCCTTCTCGCGCGGGTCCGAGATCTGAACGGGTGGTGAAGCCAGTGGCACCGCGACCAAGACCGGCAACATAGTTCTCGGGAGCCGCTTGGCTCAAAAAGTCCTTACGCCCAGACGCCATGGCGAACAAGGTGTACGGACAAGGGAACCGGGAGTGTGACTGAGGAAGAGCTGGGAAACCTGTTCGCAAGAGCAATGCGGATGGCAAGAGCCCTCCGACGATGAGCGAAACGCCGGGCAGCCGCAGAAATGTAGTTCCGGGCCGCTAATCTTATCAGAAACCCTCCGCACTTTTTTTTGTTCGAGCCAAAAGACAGAGAGAGTGAGAGAGTGTGTGTTTGTGTGAGAGAAGAGAGAACCCATATAGAATTCACCCCTCTAAAAGGTTGTCTTGTCAGGATTCGGACTGCTCACTCAGAGGCCTCGCGACTCAATCTGCCAGGATGCCCAAGGTCAAACAGCAGAAGCGCAATAGCGCTTCGAAGGCCAGTCCCTATGCCGATGCGGCGGCAAAGACGAAGGCCGCCAACACCGTCTTCAAGATGAATACCGATCTCGGCCAGCACATTCTGAAAAACCCTGGCGTGGCTCAACGAATTGTTGACAAAGCCGAGTTGAAACAGAGCGATGTGAGTCGTCCACAAACTTGGCCCATGTACCTTACAGATTTGCCTAACCTGGAGGGGCTATTTTTTTTAAATAGGTTGTTCTGGAAATTGGTCCTGGTACCGGTAACTTGACCGTGAAGATCCTCGAACAGGCGAAAAAAGTTATCGCCGTTGAGCTCGACCCTCGAATGGCTGCCGAAGTCACCAAGCGTGTTCAAGGCACGCCTGCCCAGAAACGCTTAGACGTTATCCTTGGAGATGTGATCAAAACAGACCTTCCATATTTCGATGTTTGCATCAGCAACACGCCGTATCAGGTACGCTCTATAAACTATCTATCTCTTCAAAGTGGAAGAAAGGCTAATTATTCGCCCGCTAGATCTCTTCTCCCCTCACATTTAAACTTCTCGCGACGTCTCCGGCGCCCCGCATTTGTGTTCTCATGTTTCAACGAGAATTTGCTCTAAGGTTATTCGCGAAGCCGGGCGATAAGCTCTACAGTCGACTCTCCGTCAATGCTCAGATGTGGGCTAAGATCGACCACATCATGAAGGTGGGCAAGAACAATTTCAAGCCCCCACCGCTGGTCGAGTCGAGCGTTGTCCGTCTGGTACCTAAGAACCCCAGGCCACAGATCAACTACGATGAGTGGGACGGGCTTCTGAGAATTCTATTCGTCCGGAAGAACAAGACAATTCGGTCAAGTTTCCTTGGCAAGTCCACGGTCATGGATATGTTGGAAGCCAACTATCGAACATGGTGTGCGCAAAACGATATCCCAGTTGAGGATGGGCCGGCGGAAGGCGCCGAATCTGATGCGATGGACATTGGCAACGCGCAAGATGAGGATGATGATGAGGGTGAAGACGAGCCTGACGAGGGCATGGACGTGGACGACGAAGATGACGTACCCGACTTCTTCAAGGAACAGACGAACGCGCGTATTCAAGAGGCTCTTAAGAATCGGCCTAGTCGTAAGAAGAAGGGAAAGGTAGCAGAGCTCGTCCGGGAGAAGGTACGGCAGGTGTTGGAAGATGAAACACGCCTTGCGGACAAGCGTGCAAGGATGTGCGATGAGAACGACTTCCTGAAGTTATTGTGGGCCTTCAACCAGAAGGGCTTCCATTTCAGCTGAGGCTAATAAGCCCGGGAATCGGAGATTACGTCTCCCTTTGGGAACGCCATATACTAATGAAACAGGTGATATTATTAATGACTCATGACTGTCGTCACTGCAGTTCATCCTCTGGAGTTCGTTCTCCAGCCGGACGAAGATGAGCCCTTGAGTCCTGGAAGAGACTTTGCCAGATGAATGCTTCGCTCAGCAAGAGTTCCACATCTTTATCCGTCCAATCCTTTGTGGGAAGTGCTTGCAGAAACATCATTATCTCCTATTGTCGTTTAGCATTTACTGTACGGTATCCAGAGCCTTAGAATTATACCCACCTGGAAATCCATCTTCACCAGCTGGTCTGACCATTTCACAAGGAAGGCTGCACAAACGTATAGATGAAACCTTGAGAAACCTTGCTCCTCTGCCTAATGGAACGGTCAGTATACCTGATCTACATCTGGCGCAATAGGGATAGTTGGTTTGCCTCACCATATACGTGTCCCACATCCGTATAGTATTCTGTACACTCATCTCCCGCATAAGAAGACAGTTCATCCACCGAAAACTGAACTGCATGAACTCTACTCCCTCCTGCTCCAAATGCTTGGCCAGTGTAGAGTCAATGCGCATTGTCAAGTCACGCAATGCCCTAACTTGTCGGTGAATACCCGGTTGAGCATAAATATAATTGTCCTGGATACCGTCGAGTAGCTTGGTAAGACACCAAAATGTATCTGCCTCCACAGCATCCAGCACACTCCTGGGCAACTGGCCAGGATCCATGCCCCTCTCAACATTGAGATCAGTTACGTACGTGCCCAAAAAGACCTGCCAGAACGGTGTGACGAGGTCATTGATACCTTGCACGTATCCGCTCGCCGGGTGTCGGATAGCCCAAACGTAGAGGATCTTTTCCAACGATCGTTGAGTAGCTTCGTAGCTGTAAAGTTGAATGTGAGGGCTAGTCCGAGGAACATCAATGCTGATTTGATGCCATATTGCCTCATCCAAGCCCCTGCCACGCCCAGCGCTCGACGAAGGTGGATTTCCAGAACCAGCCGCACTCCCACGTTCAAAGGCTTGTCGAACCCCGTCCAAATATTCCTTGCGCTTTCTTTCGAGGGTAGGAATGCGCCTTTCACTATTTGTGGGGAGGTATCCAAGGAGCAGTTGCCAGGTCATCGCGCGAACTTCATCGGGGACCCCTGACCAGGCCAGGTTCCTCAGCTCCGACAAAGGAACGGTGCTTGTCTGGAGAAGACGTTTAAACTTGTTAATTCTCGAAATGCGGCTGTTGTACATATCCATCTCTTTAGGCGATGCATTTTTGGGAGGAGGCGCGTGGTTAATGAGGTTCAAGGCGTTGGCGGGGTCTGGAAAGAGGTCAGCACGTTCCAGCATTATAAGGACACATCATACCTTTCAGGATTTCTTTATACTGAGGTCGCAGTATCTTACCCTCTCCAGTTCCAGCCGTAGGATACATAGGTACGCCGCGCTCCTCAGCGATATCCGAACTATTGGCCCGTTGCCGATTGGTTCCCAAGCCAACCCCGAGTGATGAGGCGGTACTAGCAAGCCCCCCACCTGGATCAGCAGGCTTAAGCTGAGAACTGCCAACTCGCTGCGACTGTTTCTTCCGCATGCTGGTAATACTAGGGAGACCGAACTCGTCCTCATCATCATCATAGACGATGTCTTCCTCCTCGTCGTCATCTTCGTAATCTTCTCCCAATCGGTCAGAACCCCAGGATTCGATCCCGCCGTTCATTATGTCAGAGTAGGAAGTAGTATGAGGGGACGTGGACCACCCGCCCGATCGTAGGGGTGAAAGAGACGTGTGTTGGATATTGGCAGAGGATGACCGAGGCGGTGTCCGCGGGCGCGCATGCTGCTGCGAGATCCCTCTATTGGGGGAGGCGCACAGGTCAGTGAAATGAAAGAGCCAAGCACGAAGAGAGATAAACACCCAATGGCATGCAATGTACTAACTTTAGTATGTCAGCGTGCGAGTATGAGGCGCCAACAACCGTGTTTTGCTCATGTTGCGTCGAGGCCGCTTGATTATGGGATACTGATCTTCCCTTCCAAAACGGCGAATTCACCCGCCTTTCAGGGGAGGGTTAGCGCGAGAAACTCAAAAGTCATTGCTATGAAATGCCCTCAATGGCTCATGAAAAGAAATCGAACGATGGGGGGTGAAACATACTCAGCACGGTCTGTTCATTGGAAGTGGGGGAGCTATATCAGCCACTGGATCTGGAACCCAAAAGACGGGGGTGTGAGAGGTACGAACCAACCTGGACCATCTCCTTCAGAGAATCAAAAGCGATTGGATTAGCCAGCTATTGCGTACAGAATATAATGGGGCTGGGGTTTAAGACTCACCTGTTGGCCCTTCCTCGCAGCCATTGCGTTTTTGAGGAGTGCGGAGGCAACGATAGCATCAATTGAGCAGGTCTTGGGGATCGAATAACATGGAGAGAGCACAGAAGCCGAGTGCGGGGAGGGCTGCGGCACGTGGATTCGGTGCTGCGTCCAGAGCTGGCAGGGTTTCCTAGCAACAACACCCCGAAAACCACGTCGGTTTGATCTACTTTTGGCTTACAGATCTCCACACGGAGGGAAGCAGGGTAATTGTAATTGGAGATGGTGGCCTGTCATGCCACAATATTCAGTATTCTTCTGATGATGTTTTGCTGGTCGGGGGATAACAGTCGATAAGGTCTTGCGTAAGGTCTACTGACTACTGATACTAGCCCTTACGGACGATACCCACCTGGTAGCTTTCGTCAGGTACTGCGAGGGAGCAGTAACCTCCGAGAGGGTAGAGATCCCGTTAGGTTATATTGGCTATATATTATAATTAGAAGACAGATCTATGTACCAGGGGTCACGTCTATTCAATAATAATGCATACTTTAAAATTATGGAGAAAAAAATAATAAAAAAGAAACACGCACCAATATGTTCTTGCAGGTTAAACATAATATAACTACTTAGTACTTAGGTTCCTTACCGATGGCCTCAATCGAATACGGTACAATACATAATACCGACAGGATTCTTACAGTTACAGCAAAGCAAAGCGTACTTGCCCAGTCAGCCAGTCCCGTCACTCTTGTCTCTCTCTCTCTCTCTCCCCGTCGCTCTCGCCTCAACCTCCGCCGTGTAGCTGCTTCTCCTCTCCTCTCCTCCACCTCTTTCTCCCTCTCCCTCTCTCTGTACTCCTTGTCTCTACAACTAACCCACTTCACCCTTACTATTGTCGCTCTTCTTCCTCTTTTCCTTTTTTCTTTAGTTCTTTTTCTCACCATCTCTACCGAGGCGATATTCTGGCGATAATAGTTCGTCGCCATCGGTTCGTTGATACCTCTCTAGGTCGGATTTGAGTGGCTCGGTTGCCTCCATCTCAGAGTTGGTCACCTTGATCACATTTTGTTCCTGTCCTCAGTGCGACCTGATTCTTACCTGAATTTCTTTGTCACAAGATCACCATGGCTGAACCTGAGGACGTTGAGGAAGATCTTTTCGCGGATCTGTAGGGTGCTCCAATTTACCCAAATTGCCTAGGCAGCTTCTAAACTGTATGTGTTCTTATTAGGTATGAAGCCGACGACAATACAAGCCATACCATTCCCAGTACGGAAACTTCAAAATCCGTCGATCCTGTGCCCTCAGCTCCACCTATCAATCCCTCTCAAATCCCTATTCAATCTGTTGAAACTGGCCCGATCGAGTTCGAGACAGACGCTGCATACCATCACGCGTATCAAGGAGTCCACCAGAATGGCACGGATAATGTAGGTAGTGGGCGTGCACATCATGCCATGTCTGGTGGTGGTGAGTCCGAGCCCCGAGGCACTGGTATTAAAGAAGACGGGTAAGTGCTACTCTGTTAGAGACTTCGTGCGATTTTTTCCTTGCTTGTACCTTGATTGCAACTGGACATGTGAGTGTCCATGTGCGATATAAATCAACCCCGTTTTGCACTTATTCTTGGTTCTTTCTATCCTCTGGGGGGGGGGGGGGATGGCCCATGGTAGGTTGGGGATACCGATGATATTCGCACGCATACCGGCTTTCTTGCTGTGCACCGTGAACGTAACTAGTGAGTTGGGCGCTGGAAGCTGCACATCAAGAATCTTCAGCGGCTGGACCAATGGTTCCTGGGGTGGGCTCTACTGAGATATAATGGCTTGGCGTCATGGGCAGAAGGATGAGGTTCTTTATCTAAGTCGAGGTCTTATCCGGTTGGGTCATCGTTGTTGCTAGATGGACGAATTCTCGGGCAGCCTTGGACATGCAGCTTTCAGGCTCTTTCATGAGTATGAATATCAAAATCAGTCGGGCGAAGGCAAATTCAGCTCGGCCGTGCAATGCTCGATTTGTTTATATCTCAGCAATCAACCGTCGGTATGACTCGCGGTGAGATCTACTTCGGATTCCTGACACTGCGATTCCTTGTCGCGAGCGACTATAGTACAGCCGATACTATATAGCTTCTTGTCGATATAGCTTGATAGTGCACAGCAAGGAATAACGGCCTTGGCTGTCTGGTTGGGCAATGTCGATCAGATTACCTAGCTTCGGACATGATTAGACAGACAGGCAGAGGATCCTTGGTCCAGGGAAACAAGAACAAAAAGAAAAGAAAGTTGACTTAATTCGCCTGCCATGCTCCAACTCGTGGTTCTTTGTCACCCACGCGCACATCTTCTGTCGTGGGATACATATCGCCTGGCCTCTTATTATCCACTGGGTCGCCCCGTAAACCAGTGGTCGAATGACTAGAGATATCTCTGTCCTCATTAGCCAGTCGCCCTCTGGCCACCCCTGTCGGTGTATACAAGACTCAGAAATTGGCCCGTTTCAAAGACCTGAAGTTCATGCATGGGCTGCCATTACAATCCGCCCGATGGTCGACTTTGCTCAAGCGCAACCTATGCCCTTCGCGCAACAGACACACTACTTGATCAGCGCAGGGAGTTAGATACCCCCATATTCGGGAGACCCGAACTACAGGATCAGCTTAATCCCATTCACAATTAGCCTCCCCAAACAAGTGCCTGTTTCTTCCAAAAGCATAGGCCATCAGGCCCCCCACCTCTCAGCAGCAAAGCTTCAGCTCCTGTCCACCTTGTTTATGCCCGCCTTTGATGTCAAGCTTAATCTCTCGTTCTTCGTTCCTTTTTTGTTTTCCCCGTTGTCTGCTTTTTTCAAAGCCCTCGTGGCATGGCCTCCTTTGCTGATATACTCTTGGGTTAGGAAAATGTTCATCGGGGGACTGAACTGGGAGACTACGGATCGTATGTATATCCCAAACACTACCAGTTCTATTCAAGCCAAGTACAGCGTGTCTAACATAATGACATAGAATCTCTGAAGGACTACTTTTCTCAGTTTGGAGAGGTACAGGAATGCACTGTGATGCGAGACAGTGCTACTGGTCGCTCTAGAGGTTTCGGTTTCTTGACTTTCAGAGATCCCAAGACAGTGAACACTGTCATGGTCAAGGAGCATTACCTAGATGGGAAGATTGTAAGAACCTCTTTCATGCTCATTCATAAACATGCAGACCATGGCCGAATTATAAGCTCATGTTGGTATGACAGATCGATCCTAAGCGTGCGATCCCCCGTGATGAGCAAGAGAAGACTAGCAAGATCTTTGTTGGTGGTGTCAGCCAAGAGGCCAACGAACATGATTTCAAAGAGTTTTTTGCTCAATTTGGCCGCGTCATCGATGCCACCCTGATGATCGACAAAGATACTGGTCGTCCCCGTGGCTTCGGATTTGTGACCTTCGATAGCGAGGCTGCCGTCGAGGCCGCTCTCTCGGGCCCCTTGGAGATTTGCGGAAAGCCCATAGAGGTCAAGAAAGCTCAGCCAAGAGGTAACTTGCGTGATGAAGAAGACCGCAGGTTCCGCCGCGGCAGGGACGCTTTCCGAGAGGGTGGTCAAATGGGGGGTGATGGCTCCCAGCAGCAAGCGGGTGCACCGGGACAGGCCAACATGGCTGGTGGATTAACACCGCAAATGATGGCACAGTACTGGCAAAGGATGCAGCAGTATTTTGCTCTGATGCAACAGCAAATGGCTGTCGCTGCCGCTCAGGGTCAGGGAATGGGCGGAATGGGAATGGGTGGAATGAACCCTGCTATGATGCAGCAGATGCAACAAATGAAACAGATGCAACAGATGCAGATGGGCAACAATCAGCCTCAAGGCAGTCTCAGTCCTCCTTCGCAGAGCGCAACTCCTCAAGCCATGCCGAACATGATGAACCCCGCTATGATGCAGCAGATGCAACAAATGCAGCAGATGCAGAGTCAGGGGCAGGGCAACAACGTCGGGGCCATGCCGGCTCAAATGGGAAATGCTATGGGTGCAGGAGGAGGCGGTGGTGGTGGCGGTGGAAGTAGTGGTGGTGGAGGAACACCAGGCAGTGCTAATGGAAATGGGAGCTTTACTGGTCCTCGAGGGGGGCCTGGTTATAACGCCCAGGAACAAATTGCTTTTGAACAGCAAAAGTATGAGCAGCAGCAGGTACGCCGAGCCATGGAGAACCGGGCCTTTTCGCCGTACCAGCAGGGCGGGCCCACTTCGTGGGAAGGCATGTACGATGAAGTGCCCCAGCCTAACATCCCTACTGGACCCCAGGCCATGAATCGTGCTGGAAGCATGGGACGCGGTATGTAATGATTATTGATGTCTGCCTTTCAGCTAGCTGACCCCAGATGCAGGACCCACTCCCCAACCTCAAAGCGCTGCCCCGGCAAACGCTCCCACAGGACCCAAGAACGCCGGAAAACCAGGCGCCAACTATCGTGGAGGAGGACGAGGAGGACACCGAGGCTTCCATCCCTATTCCCGGGGATAGGCCGATTCCCTTATTTTGTGTGTGCGAATAGGTGTATCGTTCTGCTGTGGTCACTTTCCGTTCTCTTGTTACTGTCATGGTTTTGGTCCTTTTCCCATCAAGCCGTCCTGCCTCCCCTATTGCAACTGCTGCTGCCTTTCGTATCATGGGGGATCTATCTTATCTCATACTCATTGTATGACCACTACAATGGTTGTTGAGGGGAGGCGACGGCCTGCCATCATTGATGATGTCTAATGTAACTTTCCGAGTGATGCTTTCATTCATTTTCCCCTCTCATGGCTGCTTTTTACCTCCTGTCGAAGTCTGGAGTCTCCTCGGAGGAAGGTTTCGAGTCGAACAAGAAAAACCAAGAGTCGGTGTGTTGCATATAATCCAAATTGGCGTTACCCTCAGTACTTCTTATGTCAATTTTTCAGTTTGAAAACAAAATCACTGTTCTTGTTTTTCATTACTCCAGCCGAATCCTGCGCTCCAGGCAGAGTAGCTGCAGGATTTCCGTAGTAAAATCCGGATCTGCCCAAATAAACAGATGACCTTAAACCATCCAGTTGGGTTTTGTAATTGCTATGATCGTAACTGGGGATGGGTATAAGTAGATTGAATGCTTTCATTCGAACTTCTATCTTTCTAGTACAAGATGTAGGTCTCAGCACCCTCAAATCCGGCTGAGTGTGTGAGCAAAGAATGCAGCTTGCGCGTCCTGTCAATGGATTCTTTCCCCGCAGCCCATCCACAATAACGGAGTCAAGATAATGCGTAGGAGCAACCCCCTATGAGCGCCGATTTACAAGAAAGCCTGAAAGCCTAAACTAGGTATGTATGGTAATGGCATGATGGGAATCAAATAGGACAAGAACAGAAGAGTAAACAAAGGGTAGTAAGAGAGTCAGAGAGGGAGAAAGGAGCGGCGTAACAAAAACACAATAAATACCAAGATCCACCATCAACCAAATCAAGTACGCTAAATTCGTCAAATTTACCTGACACAAAAATTCTATGTTCAATATTTAAGATGAATGTGGGGTCGAGAAAAGAAAATATTGGTACGTCGTCAAGTGCCATCCAGCGCAAACGGGCTTCAGTAAGCGAACCCATAACCCGGGGTCGTGGCATGGTGCTTTTCAGGGTTTTCATGGCTGCCATGACTGTCATGGCTTCGGCGGCTTTCTCGACTTATACTTCGACCATTGACGTCTTCAAGAGGGTAGCTTGAATCAACCAGCCGATCCGTGCTACCTGTAGGGCTGTGTCGCGATTTCGAATCATGTTGATCCCGGTATGGTTCGTAAGGACCGGTAAAGTTGAACTTGCTCATTTCAGCGTAATCCTTGCGAGGAGGATGCTCCATGAGCAGAGATTCACGGGCGTCAAGAGGGGTCAAATCATCGAGATCACGATTCATTTTGTTAGCTTCCCTCTTCCGTTTAGCATGAGGGTTCTCGCGAATGCAGAGGATAATGGCGTTGGTGGCAATAAGAATGGCCAAGATACCACTCAGTCCCGACTGAATAGCAATGAGGACAATGCCGGTAACAGTTTTGGTCGTCTCCGAGAGCCCCAGCTCGTCGACGAAGATCAACACACACGCGATTGACAAGACACGAACCACCTGGACTGAAATGTTGATCCACTGGCTAGACTTGGCAACGTACGGACGGTTCCACAGCAAAAGGGTGAGCATGAGAGCCTCCACGATGAGTTGGCCAGCGCTTTGGGCAAGCCCATGACCATCTCCAGCAGCAATGACGCAACCCTTGGCAAACATGTATACAATGGCAGGGACGAATGCCCACCAGTAGTCCTTTTTGTAGTTGTCGTAGAAAAGACTGTACTTGCGCCAGGTTTCATCGTTGTCGTACAAATGGGACGCATCACCTTCAGTCTTCTTGTACTTCCGAGCCACGAACATGATCTTGAGACCAAAGTACAATAACACAGCCGTGAAAACTGTAAGCGCCACAGCAGCCAAGAGCTTCGCCGCCCACGAATCCCCACTGCTGAGCTGATAGACACACCAAATCACCCAAACGCCGTACAGCAGCAGAATCAAGTTGGTAATTGTGCGACCCAGGAGACCCCAGTAGTCTTTGCGGAAGTTGGTGAGTTTGTCCGGGAAAGAGCCGTAGAGCGCCCAAACTTCGAGGATGACCTTGAGCAACAAGATGCCAACGGCAATAGCGGCAATTAGGATAGCGAAAATGAGCAGAACGGTCATGAAGGTGTTGGCTTGAGGGATGGTCAACTGTTCGGCATAGGCCTCAATTCCGGAGACGAAATGTTCGAAACTACTGCTGTCGTCACTGGTGCTGTTAGACGACGAAGTAGTATTGCTGCTATACGAAGTCGAGACCTCGCGCGCAGCTAGGTTAGCCATGCCTGTGACCAGATCCAGTCCTCGCTTCGACTTTGAGCTAGAATTCGTGCCGTCAGAGTACACGAGCGTGGCATTGAGAAGATACTGGTAGCTGTTGTCGGTGAGATTGCCGCCGGTCGACTTCCGGAAGTTATCGATGGACTCCTGCATTTGACCCCAAGGAATCAAACCCGTGCTGAAGGCAAAGTTCTTCGAAAAGCTGCGGTACACCGTCGGGTAGCTGACACTGAGCATTCCATTAGTGGCCATAGTGTGAAACCAACTCACGACATCACCAAAGCTGGGACTAGATGAGACGGCACCAGGGTGGCCAACAGCACCCAGAGCTGACAGCCCGCTCACGGCCAATGCCGCACCAGCCACACCAGCAGCAGCATAGGATACACCAGCGATCTGCATAGTATTGCCGTTGGTCAGTTCCGATTGGATGCATGCCAGCTCGTCATTGTCGGTCTTGGACAGCAATTGAAGCTTCACTTGGCCATCCAAGTCTGGGATGGCGAAGGCGATGGAGGGGATTTCACTAGCGATCGATTCAGGTAGGGTCTGCGTGCCAGTCGCGGAGAAGCTACCGGCAGCCACGGGACAGAGTTGCTCCACGTAGTATTTGCTGCTGCACGGGTCGAACGTTTCGGAGTAGAGTTGACTGCCGTAGGCATAGATGGTCAAGATTGCCGTGACATTCTGTTCTACCCCATTGGTGCCGGAAACATCGAAGACGATTTCTCTAGTAGAACGGGTATAGGTGACGGATAGTTTGTCGACTTGGATAGCAGAGTCTGACATACAAGTTGTCAGACCATTGGTGCTGAGGGTATCGGCAGCGAGGGCTCGAGTGGCCAGGAGACCCAGCGCCGTAAGGGTCGAAAAAGAAGGAATGAGCCGCATATTGACAATTGATGGGTGATGTTACTCAAGGCTGTGAAGATTCAAGGTGCCAGCATCAAGAAAATCTTCAGAGCTTATGCAGACAAGAAAGCTTTTCTTTCCGAGAGATTGGCGACGATTATAAGGGTATATTTGGCGCGAGTATATTTGAATCGCCGATCAAGATCGCAGCAACTAGGCTCGCCTGATGATACGGAGATTGTTGACAGGATCAACCTGTGTAGAATGAAAACGCTTAAAGAGGGTGAATCAAACTGTTGGAGCTGCAAACAGATGCTCGAAAGAGTGTGCAGAACCGCAATACAAGATATCCAAGCAAGCCACGAGAGGGGATGCTGTTCCAAAGAGTGTGAGGACCGCACCCACACCCTCTCACTGACTTGTGTCACTCACTGTCCGTCGCAAACGTCAAGGGAGTGAAGGCAGGAGAGCGCGATACATGGAGGGGGCAGAGAGGATTGAGGAAAGAGAGTCTTGCGGGCAAACAATTGATTGCCTGCACGAGAGAAGAGAATAGGTGCTCGACTCTAAAGACTGAAGAAAAGGGGGGTGGGTTGAGGAGAGCGCGCGGCTAGGCAGAGAAAGTGAGTGATAGGGTGGTGTGAGTAAGGAGTGGAAACGCGCGAAAGGGACAGATGCTGGCTAACAGATTCAAACTGATGGATGAGCGACGACAAGGGAAGAGAAAGAAAGAACCATGCAGAACGAATGTTGGATGGAGACAATCAGACTCCAAGGAAGATGGGGGGAGGGGAGAGGGGGGGAGGAAGAGAAGAGGGAGGGGGGAAGTGATGAGTGAAAGGAAAGATGAGATGGATAGAGTGAGTAGCTGCCTGTCTCACTGTCTCTCGCTCGTCTCTGCCTCTCTGTTTCTCTCTACTAAAGTTACCTGCGACTTACAGCCCGAGTACTCTTCGTACCACCACCACTACTAACTACTTACTCTCAAGTACCAGGTAATGTTATTGGGTATTATTGTTGGCTAACGACCATTGGCCCGGCAGGTGGTTCGAGACTCTGACCATACACAAACTGGGAGTACTAAGTTGCCCCTGAGTGTCTCGAAACTCGCCCCATGCGAGCTTCTCATTGGGCGTGTATTCAGGTCCCCGCCCCAGGAGAGGACCGGGTTGGTCAGGAACGGGCGGCTGGGGCCAGTCTGGACTTGCCGCTAATGGAGCTAGTCGTCTTATTTCTGGGCTCGATCGTTTTTCTATTTTTTTTTCGTTTCCCTGGCGCCACCGTCGTGGCACAAAACCCAGTCACAATACAAGAAGTCACTCCTGTTGTGAAACCTGAAAATGGAGATTCGACTATTCATAGCGAAGACACGATGAATATCTTGTACTAATATAGGCTAGCTGATTGTCTTTCTCTTTGCCCTAACTTTTTTTTAATACTATTTTTCTGTTTTTTCACCTTTTCTTTTCGTATTACACTATTCAGCCTGGAGTGGCCTGCCTAGTGAAGATTTCAAAGTCAAAAGATTATGGGTCGAGGGAAGGGGGAAATGACCTTTCTTAACTAACAACTAGTCAGTAGTCTAGTTACCAGCCGATAGAAGCTTGACCTTCAACCTTCCCGTCCGTGTTGATTATTCGAGGTACTATTCTCATCTCCCAGTTTCCCGAAATAAAATTGCAAGGATGACCCTGGTATAATTACTTCATTCTACTCCAGACGTACCATCTCGCCTACACACCGTCAATCAGTCTTGAATCGGTAAGCTGCGTGGTGGGGGTTGTGGGAAGTAAAGAGGGCCGTCTGTGACTTGGCCCTGCCCTGCCCAGCCAACAGCCGCCAGCTGTGCAGAATCAGTAACCAAGTCGACCATTCATCTTTTATTCTCTTCCTGTCAGCAGTTGATAGTAGACAGTAGATACTATCTACCCTGAGTGACCCTGTTCACAGGGTCGATCGTCGTTTGGCTTTCCCTTCATTAAGCCCGTCATCGTGGACAGATAACCGCCAAACTTTCAACCTGAGTTTTGGCCATTCCTATTTTACTATCTCCCATTTTACTTCGCTCACACGGGAAGAGTCACAAGCATCTAGAACTAGTCAATATTAGACACGGTTGGCAAACGTCCTGCCTCGTCGGGGGTCGGGGCGAAATGGCTCCATCATCGACCAAATCGTGTGGCCCAGTCCTTCTGCCGAAGCCACAGAGTGGGGCGGAAATTGAGACTCCGGCACTCTGAGTGAGTGAGTGAGTGAGTGATGGCCTGCTGATGGCAGCCTGTGTCTAGATCCACGGTGGTTGTGCTTACGGTCCAACTCGTTTTCTTTCTCCCTAACTATAGATGGCCTTTGCTGGTTGAATTGATACATAATTCTGTATGTATCTATATGTGGGCACAAGACAGACAGACAGACAGACAAGACGTCATCCAGCTTAAGGGTCACATGTGGTCTTATCCATGTTCTTGAGCAGGTCCCCGACTCCACATTCCACACACTGCGTTTTGTCGGCTCGATCCCATACTTCAGGTTTCCCATTCTTCAAAGCTCAAGGCCCTTCCAGACCCGGGCCCATGGTCGGTCTCGACGTCTGAGGAATGAGTTTACCCCCCAAGCGGATCCCATTGCTTGGTCCTGGACCATGGTTCTAGAAAACCTGTCCAACGACATCAAGTAGATAGATAGACTAGATATCTATCTGTTCTGAATACGTATACCCTTCCTTACATGATTATTCCCCAAGTTCCACTCCAAACAATCAGGTACCTATTTACATGCACACGTCCATGGTTGGCATCATCTGCAAGTGCGCCTCTGTAGTAATCCTTCTTACTCAGAATAGACCCCAACTGATTACTTCATAAAATATACCGAAATGGCTTGTCAGCTTCGTTCTTCCCCTCAGACTGGTTGCCACTCAAATCGCCCCCATCTTGCTCATACTCCCTATCCAGATGCCGATTCGCCCGCCATAGCAGATACATCTGCCAACATCCCATAATCACCACGATCAGGCATGCGCCACACGAGATCCACATCCCCTTGCGATAGTATGGTTTGTCACTGTCGGGAAAGACATTCGTCCCTAGGATCGGACCGCATTGGCCGCCAGTAGCCAGGATGGCAAAGGCTCCGGCGCGCTTGGAGTCCGTGGCGTGTGTATTACCGACCCAAGTGAGAATGAGAGCTACGGACACAAAGACCTGGGTCGCCAGGAACAGGCCAAAGTACCTGACTGCCACCGTGGTCTGCGTAGCTAGCACAATGTATCCGATGGCAGCTATGAGTGCGCCACCCACGATGAAGGGCCCCCGCAAGTTGACGCGATCCGACAGAAATGCGCAGACAACAATGGCTATCCAGCATAGAACATATGGAGGTGCGCTGAGACCGTTTGATTGGATAGTTGTGAAAGCCCCCATTTCGGAGATGATGGTCGGCACGAATAATGGGAGTGAGGCGAAGCACACATTGCATCCAAAGTACATTAGTGCTGGGGGGTAGCCTATTTGGATGCATTAGAAGACAGGGCACTGGAGAATTGATGCCTTTGGGTAACCGTTCTTACTCGTATAATCAAGCAAGGATCCCAGCACTTGCTTCAACTGCAGACCATGGGTTTCTCGATCCCCAGGTTGTCGTAGGGAGAGTGCAACCGCAATTTCTTGCTCCCGTTCATCAAGAAACTTGGCTGTCTTGGGTGAATCAGGCAGACAAAACCAAGCAACCATGGCCAGAAGGCATGACGGCACACCTTCCACGATGAATAGGATCCTCCATGGTCCGATTGACCCTTTGGCCTGGGAAATTCCATACGCCAGGGCACTCCCATATGCGTTTGCTAGAGCGGCTCCTGATAAGAATATGCCAGTCCGGAGGCCGAGTTTCTCACGCGGATAAAAGTAGGAGAGATACAAGGGCACTCCTGGTCCATACATGGCCTCAATTATTCCCAGAAAGACTCGGCAGATCATCAGGCCGGCCCAGTTTGTACATGCTGACTGAATAGTCGAGATAAATCCCCATAAGAAAACAGTGACAGCTACCCACCGGTGTGGCGGGAACGCTTTCCAACCGATGGTCGTCCACTGCGACAGAATGTCTAAGTGCGCCTGTCAGGAGAATTCGAATCAAGAGCAAACAGGTTTCCAAGATGTTGCGAGAAGCAATTGATGGTCTAGGTTTGTAACTCACATGCTATATAGAAAGCGGTAGCAAGCCAATCATACCGCCTCCCGCTCAAGTCTATATCATCTTCCATGCCTGCAATCTTCGCATTTCCCAGGTTCGAATGGTCAAGAACGGAAAGGCTATATAGAACGAAGATCAGGGGCATCAGATTCCAGTCGAGTTTGCGGTAGACGCGGTTCTCATCCTCGATGCTGAAAGTCTGGCCAGCATTTCCGGGGGCATTGACCTTCACATACTCCAATTCTGATATGTCTGCCTTTACGTCAAGATTCTCGACTCCGTCCCCTGTGCGGTTGCTCATGATTGCTAAATTGCTGGTTGTCTAGAGTAGATACAGAACGCTGTCTCCTCAACCGTGCTCTCCGTTCCAGGATTCGATCGCCTTTATGAGCAAAACAATCCCGAGGCTCTCTACATTGTTCCCCGCACGGTTGTACAAAGTTAACAGAACCTGGCTATAGCATCGCACACTGTTGTCTCTACAAGACGGGAACCGTCTTCCCCCCGCATTTTCTCCACGGAGGATCATTCTCCGCCATCCCCAGATGCGGCTTTGATGGCCTATAGGAACCGTCCAATCTGCCGGACGTCATCCTTTGTTTCCAAGCTCCAGCACCAATCGCTGATTATCTTTGCCTGTTGTGGGCCAAGAATTGGACTACACTGGCCAATGAACTTCTCCGTGAGCTGGCTGTCCGTCATGGGGGCGTCGATACTGCCAACTGCATGGTGCACATGCTTCTCTATCTTGACCTCCGGGGCTTCAAACTCAACCAGAATCCGGCATTCATCCGCTCGGATATTATCCGCCGCTATTGCCACAAACTTGTCTCGTACCTCTATCGTTTCCGGATTTGTGACAACATTATCTTCATACTCTGCCGGTGTCGCCTTTCCGTGAATCAAGCCAATAGCACCGCCGTGATATACGCTGAACTTGGCTTCCAGCCCGTCTTTAGGTTTTGTTTTCCCCGTTAGCTCCAAGACAAGTGGGTGAACTGTGACATGAACACTCTTGATATCTTGTAGTCTGAGGCCCCGCCGTTGCAGCTCACCATGTAGCCAAACACAGCCATCAATGACCGGGTGTATGACAATACCACACGGGAACGGCTTAAAGGCATTTTTCGCAAGTTCCCACTTTCCGTCGGATTCCAGGCTGTCAATTTCCTGTGTTAACTTGTCGTCATTACTAACGACATTCACCCAGCCCCGCTTGGCCTCCAGAGCCTGCAAAGAACTGGTATATCCATCTGCAGCAAGAATAGCCGCTAGAAGGCCATTTTGGGCTGCGCGCCCAGGGTGAAAGGACTTGGTGTGCGAGCCAAACATCTCACGAAGACCAGTCACCTGGGTGGCGGCGATACCGATGGCATGAGCCGTCTTCTCCGGACTCAGGCCGAGAAGGCGAGACACCGCCACTGCTGCCCCAATAGAACCAGTGGTACTAGTGATGTGCCTAAAGAACGGTGTCAGTCCATCATACCGCGCTGTTTTGGGTGAGGGGTCCGGGAGGGCAAGAAGCCTAGCAGACATACCAGCCCACATCATAGTGGCTCGGCCAGACAGCCAGACCAGCCTTGCATTCTAATTCTATCCCGGCGGCGAGAGCCGCGAGGAAATCCTGTCCAGATACTGGCCGATCTAGTGACTGCGCAAAGCTTAGAAGAGCTGCCGCAACAGGCCCAGTAGGGTGTATGATGGTCTCCAAGTGCGTGTCATCATAATCGTGGACGTGCGATGCAATTCCATTGATCAACGCAGCATGCTGCGCATCAGCTTGAAGCCCATTAGTACCTAACAATGTTGAAGTTGGAGACCCGAAAAAGCGGGACAAAGAGTTCCGGGCAATCGAAGCAGCGGGGTGATTGCTGCCCCCGACAGTGCAGCCGACCCAGTTGTAGAAGCTCCGGATGGCCGCTTGGAGGGCGTCCGGAGGTAGCGAAGAATACGTTAGGGACGCTGCCCACTGAGCAGCTTTCTGTGTAGCCATTGTTTGCTTTGGGAGTTGCAAAGTTGGAAAAATGATTTCGCAGAGAAAATAAAATATCGGAAATGTGAAAAGGGACGAGGGAAGAAAGAGGGAGGTGGATGAGGGGAGATATTTTCCAGTTCTGGTATTCTCCACCGATGCCGCGTTTCCTCTCGGTTCAAGAGTGGAATCTTAGTATATATACATAGTATCTATATAGCCAAACTGACGCCCCATGAGATACTACTGGGATGTTGTCATTTTTTCCCCCAAATCTCCTTGCACTCCAACTAGACCTCGAATCTTGAGCTTGATTCACATTAAGAAGAAGTAAAGATAAAATAAAAAACTAATTGGCTCCGCCTCAAGTCTTTCAGCTTCCAAAAATGTATCTCCCTTGGGAATTTTATATATACAAACACCCTCACGTTGAAGGACTCATTTACGGGTAGACTTCTCTTGCATCTCCCGCATCGCAGCTCTGGCACTTCTACTGCCTCCCAATTTAGGCCCGCGTGGAGCATCAGGCTTGGTTGTCTTCGTATTCCTTGCTCGCGCAACACGACGCCGGGATTGAATGGCATCGAGAAAGTCCCTTCTGAACTGCTCTGCCACCCTATCATCGGCCGCTTGCCCATCCTCACCCACTGCTTCGTCACCTTCCTCTTCTGGTCCCTCATAGACATCCACTAATTATTGACATCTACGTCAGCGCAAAAGGCTCGGAAAGAAAATCGAAGAATAATATGGTCCGTGGACAATTTCAAAGACCGTAAGGAAGACTCACATTTACTTTCCCGTAATACTTCCTCCACTAGTCGATCTCGTTCGATGTCTTCACTAGTCCGTCGTTTCCGATTGCGCCACGTTTTCTGGTCCCCATTCGCTGGGGCCATCTTAGGCCCGGGGCTCTGCTCGGTGGGAGGGGTTTGACCGCCGTCTCCGGCGAGTCTCTTCGTCGCTGCCTCTGTGCGGGCGATATTCTGCAACTTAGTCTCGTGACCCAGATCGATTTCGTGCAGTTTCCCCAGAGACGCTGGTCCGCGTTGTGGAAGGTCAGCAGAAGACAGAGCAGCAGCCTTCGGTTCAGTTGCCGAAGGTGTATCATGCATCGCGATCTCGGTCGGCATATCGCGCCGGTATCGCTTAGCCATTTCAGACTCTATAAAATCCATCCTTATCTTGTTAGTCGCCATTGCAGCTGGAGCGCATGCGAAGCACGGAAACAGAGACGGGGAGCCGTACATATGCTTGTCAACGTCAACCGTTTGGCCAGTATGGGCCGTAAATCGATCGCACATTGCTCGCAATCTTTCATTTTCTTGGTCCTCCTCCGCCACAGTTGAAACGGCGGTTTGGCTATTCTTACCGGCCGGTGGCCGCGAGGTGGCGGAGAATTCTATGCCACCCTTTCGAGCTCGCTGAAGCCGTCGCGAACGAAGAATATCGGCTGTTGGGACGGAATTCGGCGAGGGTTCCTGCCAGGACGAAGGCGTAGATGATTCTGAAATAAGAGCGACATCTTCTGTCGCAGATGGAGATTCCTCGTCGTTGTCCTCTGGCCGGCGTCGCTGAAACTTCCGCCTCTTGCCCGGCCGGAAGAGGGAAGCTGGGTCAATCTCTGGCTCCATGTAGTCCCTGAAGTCCCTGAGACAGAAATTCCCACTCGGCAATGAGAGAGAAAAGTGATACGGAAAAAAATGCTTGAAAGTTATTGTGCAGTGAAACAAGCAGATAAGACGGAGGCGATGGCGGTAGATAGCGAACAGTCGGTAGTAGTAGATAGTAGAGTCCGGCGCGCTCTTCCCGCCGCGCCGCGATTATTCATTCATCAGCCATCTCAGTGAACCAACTAGTAATAGGTTAACCGTGCCTCCTCCACTATCAATCAATCATCTACTCTAGTCGCCTCTTTCTCTACCTCTACCTTTGCCAACTGCCCCGCTGCAACCGTTGGCTTCAAGCTTTAGATCGCTCGTCACCGAACCGTACTATTCTTTTCCTCCCACATCGGGGTCGTTGGCTTAATTCGGGCAGTGAACCATCCTAAAACCTTTCGCCTTGCTCGTTTACGCCGACCATGAATCCCTCCATCCCACCCTCGACGGCTGAATATGGCGGAGGTATGTCAATTCCTCTGTTGCGCGTAGCTGAGAAACATTTGTTCCTCGTGCGACACTTTCTTGTCAGCATTTCTGACCCTTCAATGTCTAGATGAGGTGTCGGCGATTGTGCTCGACCCCGGCTTCTCAACGACGCGAGCTGGCTTTGCAGGGGAGGACACACCCAAATCCCTGATTCCGACATACTACGGAAAATATTCCTCAGATGGCCAGTCGAAGTTGGTCTTCGGTGATGATATCTTTGTTACGCCCCGGCCCGGTCTGTCGATTCACAACCCAATGAGTCGCGATGGAATCGTGGAGGACTGGGACATGGCAGAGAAAGTATGGGAATACGCCTTTATTTCGCGCCTGACGGGCCCAAAGCCCGGAAATCCCCTACAGAACGGATTGAACGACGTGCCGGAGGGCGAATTATCTACAGAAATGGAAGGGGTCGAAACTGAGGAGAAGCTGCTTGCTGATAGCCCGCTGCTGATGTCGGAGCCCGGCTGGAATCCCACGAAATCGCGCGAGAAGACTATCGAGCTTGCCATGGAGAAGTGGGGAACCCCAGCCTTCTATCTAGCCAGGAATGGTGTCCTTTCAGCGTAAGTACCGACCTGTCAGTCCGATGGACTAGTCGAGTCTGTACATTTCGCTAACATGCTTCCTCGCCAAAAGCTTTGCGGCCGGCAAGGCATCCGCTCTTGTGATTGACATCGGCGCTTCTAACATTTCCGTAACCCCGGTTCACGACGGCATGATACTGAAGCGAGGAGTGCAGCACTCACCTCTCGGCGGTGATTATATCTCATCTCAGATCCGCGCTCTCTTCAAGTCGAACGCCCCGCAGCCGATAACCATCACTCCTCATTACCTGATCTCGTCCAAGACAGCAGTCGATGCCGGCCAACCCCCGCAAGCTAAATACAAGACTTTCCCCCCCGACAGAGCTCCTGACGCATCTTACAGAACCCTTCTCGAGGAGCGAACACTGTCCGAGTTCAAGGAATGTGTCGTCCAGGTCTGGCCTGGCCCCAACAAGCTCTCCGCCACAGGTCCCAACGGTGTCTCGAACGAAGAACTGGCCAAGAGCAGTCCCGGCCGGCCCTTCGAGTTCCCCGACGGCTATAACCAAGTCTTTGGAGTGGATCGCTATAAGGTCGTCGAATCCCTGTTCGACGCCAAAGCTGCAATCCCGGACCCTGAATCGGCATTCCCCGCACCGACGCCGGCACAAACTGTGCCAGAGCTCATCAAGAATGCGCTGAACGGCGTCGACGTCGACATCCGCCCGCACTTGTTGGCTAACGTTGTCGTCACGGGCGCCTCCAGCTTACTCTATGGTTTCACCGACCGTTTGAACCAGGAGCTCATGCAGATGTTCCCAGGTCCACGCGTTCGTATATCGGCCCCAGGAAACACCGCAGAGCGGAAGTTTGGCTCTTGGATTGGTGGAAGTATCCTCGCCAGTCTGGGTACCTTCCATCAGATGTGGATCTCCAAGAAGGAGTTTGACGAACATGGTCCGAATATCGTCGAGAAGCGCTGCAAGTAGGAGATTGTCTTTGTGATTCGTTAATCGTCTTTCTTACGTCCTTCGCACCTCCCCCTCCTTCCGTCCGCCTTCTCTCTTAAAACTATGTTTTCTTTTTACCTTCTTTTTTTTACTGCCCGTATTCATTTTCTGGACACCTTCGTGTTCTATTCATGACTACAGCAGAGGAGAACGGAGGCATCCGTTAATACGATTTAATTCCGGTGTGAACTTTGAGACACAAATGTTTCTTCTTTATATTGTTTATTAGTTACAGCTAAAGGTAACGCCCCGTGCGTCTTGCGCGCGTAAGCCAGCAGACTAGAATTTCTATGGCCGAAAAGCTGCTGAGGTACTCATGGTTCTGACACGGGAGAGTCACCTAACTACAATGTGAACACGAACATATGTATCCGCATATACAACAGAGGATAGATAGACACATACTCCAGTCTGTCCTGTTGTCGTTGGATCGACATGCACTGCCGTTTCGTTCTGGTTGCGTGACTCAAGGCCGAAACTAGAATCCGTCGTACGGAGAATAGTATCCGCATTCGGGGTATTACAGAATAATTTCAAACTCGAAAGGCACAAGGACTTGCAGCTTGCCTTGTTTCATCGCGCGAACGGATCAGTTGCCAAAGTCACAGTGCGTGGGAATCTTCAGGCCTGGTGACACCGAGCTTGGACTTTCTGATGGCATTCCTGGCAGGCTTGAAGTCGCATGAGAATACCTTGTCAAGAATCTTATCAGGTGAAGACTTTGGCAGGCTCAGAGTGATGTTCGAGACTGTATGCAGGATAAAGCGCATGAGGATGAACCTCTTCCGTATTCACCGGCGCAGCTGGTATGGAAGGAAGAGCTGTTATCACCGATTGTGTCTCCCCTGCTGTGTCATCGAGCTCCGCATCAGTGTCTTGGTTTTGTACTTCGTTATCATCCTGCGCAAGGCTGAACTGGACCGAAAGGACATGGATCCTGGGTCCGACATCCCTTTTTGGCTTTAAAAAATAAGTGTTCATTGCGCCAAGATCCTGGTGGAGCCATGCCATGTCATTGTTCAGATCAGATCCGACCATGTCGGATTTTATCTGTAGACAGCCATCATCATTGATGGACGACTCTGCACAAAACTCGCTCCAAGGGCCGGCCTTCTTGGCCTGGGAGGAATTCTCGGCATTGTTTCTCTCTTTCTGCGTTTCATGTTCCCAAGCGTCGACCACTTTGTCGGATTTGAAATACTGCAGTAATTGGTTTCTCATCGTTTCTCGTCTCGCTGAGGGTTGAGGAGCAACTGGGCGTCCCGTTTGAGCAGGCACCAGCGAAGTATGGGCCTTCTGACTTGGTTCCCTTTTGCTTTTGTGCAGGGACTTCAGTGGTTCCAAATAAATACTTCGAGCTTTCGATTCCCTGGACGGCGCAGTGGAAGGGCGCACTGGTAATGGTTCAGGATGTTCGCTAGTAAGTTCCTTTGTTCTGAGCTTGGACCTGGAGAGACGGCGAAGTTTAAGCACAAAGCCTTCCGAGTCTAAGCCGTCAGCAGTACCGTTGACAGACTTGGCTCGGTCGGGTAGCTTCGTGTGCGCATTACGCTCGTCATTCTCCCTGGCCGCCCTGAGATTCGGAACACTTTTCTGCGTGAGCCTATTACGGTCAGTCGACCGGTAGAAGGTCGCCGTTGCCGGACAGTCTGGGGCACGGGGAAGAGGTTTGTTCGGAGTCAAGGCCGGTGCGCTAACGAATGAGCCTCTTTCCATAAATCGTTGCCGTAGTGATTTCTTTCGTGACAATCCATTGGTACTTCGCATGTAGGACACCTGTCGAAGTCTCAGCCCTGGCACGCAATTATGGGGTTGACGGTCCTCTGGTAACTTACAACAGCTTTTCGACTTGCCACTCCCACACGTCGCTGCAGTTCCGTTGTGGCTAGGCCAAGCTGAAGAAGGGCCGACTGCAGGGCGACGCCCTTCCGACGAAGATTCGAAAGTGCTATATTCCAGCCCTCCGCGTTCGCGAGCATAGCGTGGTAGACAGCCAGTAGTCGAACAGGCAACGGACTACGCTTTTCAGCTGACTGTTGAAGATATGTCCACAGCGCACCAACCGCCTCCCGGCCTTTCTGGATGTCTTTGAGGGAATCCTCAATCGCAGTTGCGAACCGATCGACGGCGTGTTCGATCCTGTCATTATATTCGATCATAGAGCCACGGAAACTGCGCTCCTCCAGCATCTCATCGAAAATCATTAGATTTTCAAGAGGTAGGCTGAGATACTTACTCCGCGTGCGCACGTCAATCTGGATGATAAGGAAATCTTCCGAGGTCCTCTTGAGGAATCCATCCATCTCGTCTACATGGACCTGAAGGATTTTCAAGACCTCCACGTCCGACTTGGCGAGTTTTTCAACTAGTAGGTGAACCCCAAAGGACATCTGGGCGATGAGTTTCCAGAGAGGGTGATATCTACAGGCGGTCAGTTTGCAATGTTGCTGAGCAAGTCCAAGGGACCGGAGCTCGACCGAGTGCTTGCCTTTCATCGGCCCTCTGGCGCCATTTCCTGCCACAAAGCCGTTCATACTTGGGGCTTTCGAGGAGGTTCTTGCGCCTAGATTGAGCATCAAGATCGGCTACCCATCTACCTTTCCCAATGCCAGTGGCTTCCTGTATTGATTCCTCGAAGGGTCCTTGGAGCTGAGAGATTGGGTGCCTTGAGAACTGGCCTGCTCGCCGTTCCTTGGCTAGTTTGATCCCATCGCCTGGTCGGGCATCAGCAGGGACTGCCAACCGTCCTTCTCTCTCCGCTGGAGACGCCATAAATGGGTGTAAAGACTGGAGTTCAGTGTCCGTGGCCTCTTGGTCTAGTTGCATACACACGCGCGCGCACATATACACACTCTCTCTCCGTCTTTCGTATTTTAAAAGCAACTCGTAAGTGATAGGCTGTCGTGATATTGCTCGCTCTGCGCAACAACAGCATTATACGGGTAACTACCTCCTCGCGATCAAGCTGCATGCGGCCGAATCCTCAGCGGGATGTTTAGACGTGATGAAGGGGTTGCTCATAGTAGCATCCTCGCAGTAATTGGCAGTGATTGATTTTATCGGGTTGAGCAAAAAGCGCATACAAGAAACAAGAATACTTCACAGTTGTAGCGAAGGCATACGATGGGAGTCCGCAGGCCCCCGTGTACACGTTGCTGTATATAAGCGGAAACACACACACGAACGCGAACACGTACACGTACACGCACGCCCGTGCAGACACAGAGTGGAAGGTGGGTGGGGTGAAGGTGGTCAATTGATTGATCGTTCGGTAAAAATAGAGAAGGAAAAAGTCGAGCGAGCTTCAGACGTTGATTAGATCGCACATGGGAGGCGTGACATGTGTCAAAAGAGTGGTGGGACCGCCGCAGGAACTAAATAGATAACAATATAGGCGAGGCGAGGCGAGCGAGGGAAGTGTTCAAACGATCAGTGGGAATTTGCGCCCAATCGACCCCGCCGATTTAGTTAGGGCTGAAGTTGGGTTTTCTCCAGTTTGGGGACCCAGACAGCTAGCTAGCATATACAAGGCACAGACGGAGTAGACTGTAAAAGAAGGAGGTGGCAAGCGGTTAACACCCAGTTATAGAAGAATGAAACGTAGACAAACACCAGACGGACTGGAAAGGGGGTGGAGGGGAGTTGGTTCGAAGTGGAGGTCGACAATTTAAAATTACAAGCAGGCTTCATGGCCTTCCGGGCCTTACGGGTTACGAAAAGAGCCAGGATTCATAGAAACGGGGCCGAGGCTACTTTGTAATTAGTATCGCGCATGATTCCATTGACAATGCGGACGGTGGACACCAATGGCGGTCCTTCAGCGGCTGACGTTTAATGAGAATCGTCGGGAGATGACGATCTGATGTCGGGCGACTCCACTTGGCTGCAACACGAACCGGTCGACGTCTAGACTCCCTTGGCCTCTCCTGATTAGCCATCTAACTAGTCCGAACCCCCTCGTCATGCCATGCTTCTGCGTACTCTGCCTGCCTTGCGGATACCTTAACCATTGGCCCTGGTCTTAGCGAAAGGATGATCTGATAACGTTGTTGGACGCTCACTCTGTGTGGGCCGGCCACTTCGTTATATTCAGTGACGAGTTACTCAAGTGCTACATGAGGTAAGCTTGGCCGAATGATGAGCCTGTCAGCTTTGGTAGCGAGCAAAGATCGGCACAATTAGAGCCAGTTCCTTGTCGCCTGTCTTGCGAACCTGCGCGCAGACCCTGATGCCGGCCCCCGAAGATGCTGTAGCTAGGATTACGCTCACCCTCAGCATGGCCTGGAATTTCTAAGGGAGGGTCCTACTAAGTTCCGGGAGGTGGCTCTGTCATGAACAAGGGGTCCCAGAAATTGGTGGGCAAAGAGAGATCGAGGAAATCTCCAAACAACGTGTCAATATCCGTAAAGTTGTCATGATCAGGGTCTGGGGCACTGATATCTTGCGAATACAATGGCCGGGGCGGAAGTTCCTGCCCTAGCGCAGTCGAGGTCACGCCACTGCGTACGTTACTCAGAGTGCCCTGGGCGGGATCGAGAGACGAATCCGGAGGCGGGGAGAGAAACGCCCTCGGATTCTGAGTTGTGGGCGTGGCAGGACTGGCAGCCCGGCCATGTTGGTGATGTCCAAGCTCGGCCTCGTCAATTTGGCGCAACGCTTTTCGACCCAGTCGCGCCGTTGCTTCTGCAGAATACCAGAACCCGCCCAGTTCTTCGAGCAGAGTACAGCAAGCTTCCAGGCTGGTCCGGGATCGATCAAGATGCGTGATGAGCTTACTTGAGCGAAATTGTTGATATGATACACCCATAGAAAGTGCTAATGCGTATGGAACAATAGGCAAAGGCGGTAACTCATGGGAGCATTCGGTAGCAACAATGGAATGGATTCGGATGGCAGCAAGACCTTGGCGGACATACGAAGGCCTGGACTCATCCGACCGGTGGGTGACTTTGTATCTGCATGACAGTATGGCAACTGCATGATAGTACAGCTCAAGGAAACCTTTTCTTTCGGTGATTAGCAAACGGTCCTGGAAGACAGATCATTTTCCTTTCCCTCTGAGCTATGCCGTGCCTTTTCTTCTCAGACATGGATGGATCGAAGACATACCTAGTGTAGCAAAGTCCAGGTCATCTCGCAGTTTATCGCCTGTAATGCCTTCAAATGCAGGGAATTCCCCCTCCCATCCAACCGTATGATCCGATGAAGGTCGATAAAGCGAGATCACGGTCGACAGTAGATCAGATATTGCAAACCAGATATCAAAGGCGGATTTGGGAGAAAGATCCTGAAATTTCGGTTTCTCAATCCCAATATCGCAGTCAGAGAGGATGACTGGGCGACCACCGATACAGGCATGCAACCTATCCAGGCCCCATAGGCACCAGAAAAGATTAAATAGAGAATCGCCGGGTGTCCGACCAGGTCGGTCCAAATGCAGGCCTACCGTTTGAGCTTGATGAATGGCCTGACAGAGGTGCATAGACGCCGCCTCTGCACCTTCGTAACCCTCGCAATGCAGAGACATAAGGGCCAAGATGCGGATACGACAAAGTCTATCAGATTCCAGCCCAACGTTCAAAGCGACAACCAAGCCCTGATATAACTTAGAGCAGAATACACGAGAGGAAATGAGAGGCCCATCATTGCTGAAGCGAAGGTGAGGACCAGCCGCCCTATCTTTAGCAGCGACAAGGCAAATGGCTCTCTCCAGGAAAACAGATGCAATGCTATCTGAGTTGGCCTGGGTTGAAGATGCCTGGTCGACTAGGGGTAGGATATGGTTGACCTTGCTGAAATAAATTGAGAACAGATGATGGCGGGTAGAAGGGGGCAAACGGCGACAGGCATCCATGCCAGATGAATATTGTTGATTGAGCGCGGATGCGACAGATGGTAACTCTGGCCCATTTGGGGGACGGTGTCCGGTCCACTCATGGTCAGTATTAGGCACATGCTTCTTATGGCCATGAACTTCCGAGGAGCTGATCCAGAGCCCGATTCGATCCCGCAGATGGCTTGCGTTGGCAGAGTCCAGTTTCTCCCGGATCACAGCTTCTGGATTTAGGTCTCCAACAAACCGTTCTGTTCGAGAGGTGCTTGAGGGCACGCCGCCTGGAATGCTAAGGCTACCTGCTAGGGTCGTATCAACCGGTTGATCGCCGGTGATAGCAGTACTCTGTTGTTGCCGCTGTAGCGGTACATGGCTGCTGGCACCTGTCTGTGGGACGTAATTATGGCTTACGCCGTTCGCTGTGTCTAGATGGCGGCAGCGTTTCTTTTATTGATGAGATGAACTCGTCAGAATCTAGGCACCAATCCACCACAAAAGGGAAATAAGGGAGGAAACAGAAGAGACAAACACACACATACCTTTCGTCGTTGGCAAGTAGCACATGCTCGCAACGCCCGCGTCCGGCGTCTAGATTGAGGGGTATCGGCGAGCCAAGTAAGCTCCATGGCTTTTTGTTTCATTAACCGACTCAAAAGTAATGACTCGCCATGCCAGATAATTACTTCTTACCCTCCAAAGCGGTCTTGTTTCTCTGGGTAAGGGGCGTTTTGCGTAAGTCGACTAGTTCATGATAAAAACGGTACTCAAATGATTAACTAACGAGTGAAACTAGTTGAGTAAGTGATTTGTGTCTGGCCATAAGGATATCTCCGGTTGGACTTGCACGTACCTTGGTTGCTAGGCAAGGAAAGCAATGGTCTAGATCTTCCAGGATTAGTTATTTGCTACTAGTCATTAGTTATGCTCTAAATTACGAGGTAAGTATTGGACAGCGCAAGAATACGCCGTGACGACGTCCCAAATCTTATCGGGCGGCGAATTGAATTTCCTCCCAAACGGACCTGTCATAGACGCCAATTAACGCGTGATTTCGCGCAACTGCGACGCGTTGCCGGCTAGTGCTCCGCTGCGGCTGGAAGGGTCTCTTGAGTATCCATTCTCATGCATTATCTCCTGAGAATTCGACCTATACGAAGGATATTGTCACCCAGGTGAGTCCATTGCATCTGTGAAGGGCTTAACCTGTCCTTCTTTTTCGCTTCTTCATCCTTTCTCTTTCCTGGTCTATTTTACCCTCACCTCATCTTTGAGAACTTTCAAGATCCCTTCCTAAATTCGTTTTCGCTACTTCATCCTCTGATTCGTCTCACTGCTTCTTCCCAATCGATTTCTCTGGCCCCATTTTCGCGAGAGAGACTTTCTCACAATCACCTACGAAAGGCAACACACGATTGTCGGAAGCATGGCCGGTAGAGCAGGCATGAAACGTGATGCTAATCATTTGACGACACCAGAGGCCGATTCAAAGAAACCCAAGGCCAATGGAAGCATCACTTCATTCTTTGGTGCCCCCAAGAACAAGTCCAGCGACTCAAAGGCCACTTCGTCTTCATCGGCCTTTAATAAGCAGAAATGGGTCGACTCATTGACTTCAGAACAAAAGGAGCTCCTTCAACTTGAGATTGACACTCTTGATGAGAGCTGGCTGGCACAGCTCAAGGAGGAAGTCGTCAAGCCTGAGTTCCTGGCCCTGAAGCGCTTCCTCCAGAAGGAAAAGCAATCGGGAGCTAAAATCTTTCCTCCCGAAGAAGATATCTACTCATGGTAAATCCCCATTGTCTCCCATTTTGGCTCTACAATTATTATAGCAATTGGGGCAGCTAATCTTGAATACTAGGTCCCGTCATACACCTCTCCACAAGGTGAAGGTGGTCATCGTCGGCCAAGATCCTTATCATAATTATAACCAGGCCCATGGCCTTGCATTCTCCGTCCGCCCTCCAACTCCTGCCCCGCCTTCCCTCGTCAACATCTTTAACGAAATTCATAATGACTATCCTTCTTTCCAAAGACCCGCAAACAAGGGTGGCCTTCTCATACCCTGGGCTGAGCGTGGTGTACTGATGCTCAACACTTGCTTGACCGTACGCGCGCATCAAGCCGCTAGCCATTCAAACAAGGGCTGGGAACTGTTCACGCAGAAAGCCATAGACTTAGTGGCCCGAGTACGGACGCGCGGTGTTGTTTTCCTTGCATGGGGAACACCCGCAGGGAAGCGCGTGACAGGCATCAATAGAGCAAAGCATTATGTTCTGCAATCGGTCCACCCAAGCCCGCTAAGTGCGTCAAGAGGATTCGTAAGTAGACCCTTGTTATCATCATTCATTGGCCATCTAATTTTGACGTTTGGTTGTTTTGTAGTTCGGAAACCAGCATTTCAAAAAATGTAATGAGTGGCTTGCTGAACGTTATGGTGCCGACGAAGTCATTGACTGGTCATTGACTTCGAAGAGCAAAACCAGCTCTCCTTTTGCCACCATTCAAAGCCCCGCTCTCACTGGTGCCCCGAATAAGCCTATCGCTAAAGGGTCAGATGCTAGTTTGGAGGAAGAGGTCTCCAGGACAACAGAGCCTGCCAAGTCCACCGAGGCCGTTGACGAGTTTGAAGACGATCTCGATGCGCTGGAAGCCCTAGCAGCAGCAGAAGCGACCAGATAGTTGCTAATACTGAGTACATTGTAAGAATTCCAGGTCTCTTTCCTTCATTGCCATCTCCATTTCCACCTTCTCATACCTTGAGGGGAGCTATTAGAGCAAAGTCGTGATCGAGATCAAGCCACCGTTCTTGCTCATGGATCACGGTATTATTCACCGCATCCGCTTGCTTAGACTGTGAATCGGTGATATGGTATGTGGCTTCGATGTTGGAAGGCTCATTGCTCACCCTTCGCTTGAATTTTGGGTCACGGTGCAGGGATTAAACTACTGTTACAGTCATTGAGGTATCAACCCAGCACTTTACTACAAGATGAGTAAGAAATAGTCCTTGGGCTCTCACACGGTAATGCTATTCTTGAATCTTTGTGGAGTACAGTTTCGGACAAGCCTGGGTATCATTCCATGGAACGAGGTAGACATGCGTGGAGCAAATTATATATTCATCACATTGTCTGGCCATATAGAAACTGGTCCAATTTAGCTAATTCAACCAACAACAGATTGGTCCAGAGATTACAAAAGTTAACAATAGAGAAACGAAGTTCCAAATAATTAGTGATTGATACGGCACAGCACTAAGCGGGATCTCAATTGGGAGACTGTTTACAGTTCGTCATGTTCTGCCTTCTCGTCATCTGTGGCAGCCGGGGTCTCGGCCTCCGTAGCGGAGGGAGCAGCCTCAGTCACATCACCACCCTCCTGTGTTTCCTCGGAAGCGACATTGAGGGCGTCAACGTTGTGTTTGCCATTCTCCTTCACAAAGTTGGCAAGATCCTCGACAGTGCGCGAGCCAGAGTACTCAATGGGGGAGTCCTTGGCACCGGCCGGGTAGAGTCTGAGGGTAGGGAATCCGGTAATCGGGTCCGGAACATCGTTGGCCGTCGCATCGATCTTAGCGATGGTGACCTTAGCCGCCAAATCGGGGTGGTCAGCATAGAGAGCTGCGAGCTCATCGTACTTCGGAGCAAGACTATAGATTTGCTGTTAGTTGATTGTGCTCCAACACCTAGTGTACTTAGGGGATCGAAGAGACATACGCTTTGCAGTGTCCACACCAAGGTGCGTAGAATTCGAGCAAGACATCCTTGTCATTGTCAATGACGAGATCCTTGTAGGAATGGGCCACTACAACCGTGACGGGGCCCTCCTGAGATTCGGGAACAGGTTCCGACTTGATGCTAGGCTCGACCTTCCCATCCAGAACATCCTGGATGAACTTTTCAACCTCGTCGGCATTCAATTCCTTGGCCTGGTCATAGGGGTATTTGGCGTTCTTTGCGGGATCCTGGATGGCGAATGCCGGGAACTTCTGAGAGTCTAGGTTGAGGTTTCCAGCGTGGGCACCGAACATCTTGGCGTCAATAGTAGCAATGTTGATAGCACCCTTGTGCTTCTGGGCAATAGGCTTGAAGTCTTCGGTGTACTTTTCGCGCTCCTCCTTGGTCTCGGCAAAGATATAGGCCAATGGGACTCCAGCCTATAAGAAAAGTGGTTAGCCAGTTCAGCCAGCAAATTGGTATCGAAACTCAAGCCGAAATGCAAAGAGATGTCACGTCGACGTATAGATTCAACTTACCCCAATATAGCCAGAGTAGGTCTCAGGGCCAATCTCGCCCACAAGGGGAGTACTAGCGGATTTCACCCAGCTGTGAATAGCCTCCTGTTCGATCTCGCCATCGTAAACAGCCTTCTTCTCATCGAAGTCCTTATAGAGCACGATGGAGGGCTGCTCGACACCTTCCGATTTCGCAATGGCGGCATCGTCCGTGGCAGCAAAGAGGTAGTTATCCCGCTGAGACTCAGCATATTTTTCGAATGCTTGATAAGTTTCCTGGTCCTCGGACGGGATATAACCGATCACGACAATCTTGTCCATGGTCTTGATCTCTTCTAAATTCTCCTCGTTCACGGAGGATACTGCAGGAAGTGACTGCTTAATCATGTAGGAAACGATTCTGGGAAACCGTCCGATGGGTCAGTAGCACATCACATACACGATAGCCTTTTGATGCATATCCATTTCTTTCGTCCAGTCAAAACCAAGAGGACTCACGATTCTGTTTGCCTAGCGCCCTGGTAAGGCTTGCTAGAGTCAACACCCCGAAAGATCTTGAGGGTAGGGTAGCCTTCAACGCCCTGACTCCGGCAGAGATCCTCCTCGGCGGTGCAGTCAACCTTCACCAGAGGGATATTCTTCGCCTTGAGCTCCGTAGCTGCTTCCTCATACTTTGGTGCGAGGGCTTTACAGTGGCCACACCAAGGAGCAAAGAATTCGGCAAGCACGAGACCGTGCTCGTTCATGAAGCTCTCAAATGTGTCCTGATCCAGTGAAATAACATCAGACTCGGTATCAGCAGCCGCAACCACCGCGGATGCTCCGAGAAGGCTAACGAGCCAAGGCGCGAAGGAGCGCATCTTGTAATAAAGAAGCAGCAGCGGAATAGAGGACGATGGGAGAGGGTATTTAAATGGATATCTGCTTTTCCAGTGGCTTCCGGGGAGATCCTCGAAAGTCAATGAAAACAAATAATAGACCGGCCCGTTTGGAGGGAGAGGGGTGGGGAGAGAGAGGAAGGCAGGTGACGCGTAGAGCAGAAGCTACCGAAAGAGAAAAGAGCGATGGGGCGAATGGGAAGGCAAGTAGTTCTTAAATAAATGGTAGTATCATAGGCTGATCCTTAACTAGCTAACCCACTACTCAGTAGCTATGGCGAGGCGATGAGGACAATCTGTTCTTTCTGCAGTCAGCTGGCCTGCTGAGCATTCTGACTGGCTCAACCGGACCCGCCCAGAACAGCAAGGGACCTTCATACCAAGGGTCTGGTAACCTATGCATACTTCACTTGGGAAGGGTAGTACCAGGTACCTAAACCGAAGCCTACTAGCTGGTCAGTCGATTGGTCGGTAGGGATGGTAGGCATAGATACTTAGGTACATGGGACGCCGGTATTACTAGTATCAATGATGATTAATTATTATTGTGAGACCATAGCCTATCTCCCCTGGGAGCTACTTACCCACTTTTGTCTTAGTGGTACCGAGGTACCGCCCCTAGCACTTCGACCAAACTCGATCCCTTCAATTACTTAAGTAACGGTTTAGCTAACTAGTTAACTCACTAGTTAGTTACTTGCAGTAGTTGCTAACTACTTGGTATTCAGTCATTTCCCCCCTCCCTTCAAGGTTTCAACCTGCTCCTGCGGACCTTCCAGCTGGCCACATTCCATGACAAGGTCTCGAATTACACTCTTTTAGCCATTGTAATCAATTTACATGCGGCCATGCTTACCCTGCTCCTCCACACCCGTTGTGTCTATTATGCTGAGTAATCTAAGTGCAAGTACCAGTGGACATCAGGTACGGTGCATGCCATCTATATAGATACTAAGCGCTACTAGAATAAGTAGTACATGTTCCCTAAGCCTAGGGCAGAATCAACAGGGCCATTGTTCGGCCACACAAAGTAACACCCTCGGTAATCGCCACATCTACTCAGGAGAGTAGACCATGATTCTTAAATCAACCTTTACGCAACCATCACCGCCTCTACTCCGCTAGGTTCTCGCTATGAGACGGGCAATGAGTGACAGCTCCATAGACCGGTACCTCCTGTCTCGGTCTACCCTTAAGTTCTTTCGAAAGTGAAAGCGCGTCCCTCTTTCCACGCTCTACATCGACCAAGAGCATTAATGGTAAAGGGAGCAGAATCAGGACAGCAAGAAAGACGAAGGCGGGTCGGATTTCCCCGTAACGATCTGTGATGATTCCAACAATGGCGGGACCGAAAACACTGGAGCCTTTATCAGTAATGGCATATAAAGCATAGAATGCAGCCTCATATCCCGGAGGGATCAATTCTCCAAAGAAGCTCCGACAGTATGAAGAAAGTCCACCCATAACAAGTCCATATATGACGCCCAATGGGTACATCTCCCATGGTTGTTGGAGGCCTAAGTACCCTAGGCTTTTGATTGCGGGAATGAAGCCTAAGAGACCATAGAGCGGCACAAGCTCGAATAGAATAATACAAGCAACTATCGTTTGTGAAGCCCGGAGATTGAATGTCCGCGACACAAAGCTCCAAGAGAATGCTCCAAAAACTCCTGCAATCATCGCAATGACATTAATCAGCCCCAAAGCGGCTGGCTGCATCCCCAATTGTGTCTTTGCAAACAGGACGGCGGTCCCGCTGACTGTCGCGATACCATCACTTAAGAGGAACCAAGCTGCCAGGAATAAAAGGATATCTCTCAGATGTCGAGTGCGCATTACTGTCCTGCCCAAGGACTTCCAAGCGTATGCCATATAACTAGTCCATGTCCCACTCTCTTTCCCATATGGAAGGGGCGGGCCGGGCCGGGCACGTAGCCACATTGCCGCAGGTATGGTGAAGGTGAACCACCAGAGCCCAATTAAAAAGAGGACTAGGCGCAACGAGAATGTTGTCTGGTGAGTTTCGACAACAACTAGGATGCAAATTGCTTGCAGTATAACTGCACCTATGTATCCGATGCCGATTCCGTTTGAGGATAATTTTGTGGAGAGCTTCAATTCCTGAGAAGTCTTCGAAGCAAACACTTGAGTTTCGTCACCCAGAGAGTACGCATTGCGGTTTTGTTCTGGCCGAAGCAGTGATGTTGTTTCAGTTCCGTCAGTTTGGCCCGGGCCATCGGCTGTAGAGGTCGAATCATGGCTGGTTCCGGTGGGTATATCCCCGTCACCATGTCCACCCATCAATATAGGATGATAGCGAACCAGCAGGGGTAGGAAAGAATTCAACAGTACAAAAGAAGCTCCGAAACATGTATTAGATATAATTGCGAACAGCCCACCGAGAAGATAGAGCCTTGGAACGACGGCAAGAAACAACATCGTGGAAACGGAGCCGATAAGTGCAAAGATAACCAACAGCATTTTGCGGTAGCTTCCGTGATCCGCAGCACCTGACATTGATATTATCAGAATGGCTTGTATGAATACACTCAATGAGAATGTGTACATAGCGAAGCTTGCAGTGTTTATTTCAACGCCGAGAATATAAATAATGCACTGGCTTGTTCTGGGTGAGCCTGGTTTCGTAAACGCAGTGGCATCAAAGATGGTGTTCCAGGTCCCTGATGGTGAGGTCGATTCTAGAGAGCTCCAAGTAGCACTGCACGGTGTTTTCTTATCCGAAAGAAGTACGCCGCGTTCGCGAGCCATTTGCTCTAGGGTAATGGGGAGGAACGATCCTAAATTAGGTTAGGAGGTGTAAGAATCGTACTTCTCGGCCTGTGTAAGATATGCATACCCATAGCGCACACTGTAAAAACCTCGGCAGCCCAACCATAGCTGTACCATCCAGCGAGCTCCTTCTTAGATGTCGGCCTGGTGTCATCTCCAGGGAATTGTGGAGGTGGAGGACAGACGGAAGCGGCCTGGTCTTCCGGTGAATTGGTGCAATTCTGCATTATGGATTGCTCACATATCCAAGAATGAGGTATTAAGAATAGCTAGACCGAACACGCTTGTCTGTATAATATTGTCGAAGCTGGTTAACATATACACCGGATCAAGTAAATCGTACAAACGGGGGCTTTAATAGTATAATAGATAGATTCATAGGCATTGTATACACAGAATAACAGCTAAAAATGAATAATAAAGTGCTACTTACAACTAGGCTTGCTTTGCTATGAGACAGAGACTGCAGGAACAATGTCGGCTGGATAATAGTATTAGTGCTATTGATGACGGTCAGGCTGGAAGCGAGTAACAGGCAGAGCTTGAAAAGGGGGAGACGTCAGAAATGCTACAAGAGGAGGACGTAATAATATTTTATGTCAAGGAATTGGTAAAGTTATAGTGGGCTACACTATATGAAGTAGGGTGATTGATAGCTTTCCGGTCCGACAACCGTAAGGCGCGGCTGGGAATGGAGGAAGCTTGGAGACCTGGGTCGAGTAACTAGTACTTATCTACTTATCTAAAGCGCCAAGGAGCTCTCTCTAACCAGGTAACTTGCGGGTGGAGGCTTTGGAGAACCTAACCAATTCGGTCCTGGAATGCGGTGTGACTGTCTCAATACGGTAACAATATAGCCTGCCATTTAGTGTTTGCCTGAATACCTTATACGAAATAAAAGTAAGGTATTGTAAGCTTAGCCGGCCAGCAAATTAAGGCACAAAGGCAACAAAGCCTAGCTGCTGGCTGATCCCGTGCTCATGCATTTGCATCGCATCGCGCAGGCCTCATCTTTCGATCATCCACCAGTACTTTCACAGATTCTCAACGCTCCTGCAAGCATATTGGTATCCATCACGCCACCTCCGATTCGCAGTATCTACGCTTCACTCGCTCATCTTTCAAATGTCTTTTACACATCGTCTTTTCTTCTAAAAGGTTTATTCTGACATCACCTAGCTCCCCGCCTTCGGTATTCAATACCCTGCATATCACACCGCAGTCGCTTCTTCCAAATTAGCGTCGCATCTCTGTCCCATCGAGGCATATCCTAGAAGTCATATTTTCAAGCTACTTTTGTGCACAGTCAAGCTCCCGCGCTAGGCCATTGCCTCGATCTGAGGATCCTCAAGAGCAACGAGTTACCCAACAGCTCGGTCTGAGTTCATTACATTAGTCGTCAACCGCCCCCTACGTTGAGCGCATAACGCGCTAATTATAGTTTCTCAATTGGATCGCTAGCTATAAACCAACTGTTTGCCCTCTGGTTGAGAGAACATAAATGGCATTGCGTTGAAGCCCTCGGTCGACGAACCCACGCATAGTCAGCTTCCCTCCCTACCCCGGTGCCAGTTCCTTCAGTATCAGAAAGGCCCCAGATTGAGCCGCTCGTTCTGTGCTGTGCGAGGGGTAAAGGAGGGGAGGGATCAACTCAACGAGGAGCACGTTTATGCACGGAACATGCCGGGAGTCGTCATGGACAATGCCAACATTGGCGGACTAAGACACGGGCCAGGTAACACTTATCCTCAGGATGGACTGTCACACTCTCGGGGAGAAGTTGCTCAGTTCAACGGCGCCAACGCACAAGATGGTCCTGTTCATGTTAATGGCGTCGAAAAGAACGCCAGTCAATCTCGAAGCGTTGAGGCAATTCCCTCAAATCATGCATCAAGGGTAACCAAAGGACCGCCTGAATTGCCACATATTACACAAGGGTTTTTCCCTTTCGCGAAGTTGGTCAATAGGTCCGTACAGCAGTGCTGGAACGATCTATCTGACTTAATCACTGAAATGGCGGAGATGCAGGTGAATTCTCATGGAATTCACCCCTCGACAGCTCCAACTACCGGAAAGTCGCCCGGAAATCAGTCCCCTGGAAACATACGAAAGAAGCTTCGAATACTAGAATTTTCTCACGCTAAAAGAGCCGAATTCATAAAGTTGCTCGTCCTCTCTCAATGGAGTCGACAAGCGGCTGATGTTAGTAAATTGATCGACATTCAGAATTTCATTCGCACCCGGCATCAAGCTTACACGAATGCGCTGCAATGGGTCGGGGACATGAAAAGGGACCTCGTTCAGGCGCAGGTAGCAAATCCTGATCTGAAAACCGCACTAGAAGTCTTGTCGAGGGGCAAGGTGGCGTCCATGTCCGATGTAAGCTTTGTTATCTTCTAAAGTGTTGACAATTTATCTAATGTTCTTTCTGCGCCGAAATCCAGCTCGGCTACAAACCTCCACGGCGCTTGACAGTCCGAGGAACGCTCAGGAAACTACAGAAAATCAATCGATTAATCGGTGCGCGACTCGTGGTGCAAGATGAGATTCCTCCTCCATTCAAAAGTTACCGGGTCCATGACGGCCGGGTCACATTTGCCGTCCCTGGCGAATTCGAACTCGACCTTTCCATTGGCGAAGAGAACGAAAATTCGCAGTTTTTCTTTGTCGATATACGTTTCCTCTTCTCTCCTTCACCACCTATACTGAAGGGCCGATTATTAAACGAGCTCGAAATGACGATTAATGACGTCCTTCAAAATAGCGGCTTGACCGGGTGCTTCGACCTGTTACATAACCTGGTGTTAACCAATAAAATCAACATATTATTCAAGCAAGCTACCGAGTTGGCCAGGAGTTCTTGGTCTGACGGCTTGCGGGTTGAGTTGTTGCACCGAACACTCGTCGTCCAGTACTGGACACTGAAGCCTGGAACTAAAAGTTGGCTTGAGATCGGAATCAAGAGCGGCCATCGCAAGTCAGACAGCGAAAGCCCTGGGTTACCATCTTTGAAGTTCCGCTGGGTGAGGGATGGGGGCGAGGTGCCATGTGAAGATATTGCTTTCGATGCAAAAAATCTCTCTATGGAGACTGTACTGCGAAGTGTCATCGCACTGCATGTCTCCCATACCCTTTCTTCGGCATACTGCAAGATAAGACAAAGCTCGCTTTTCTCGACTGGCTTCCTATCCTTGCGTGCTCACCTAACAAGAACTGAGCCCGGTGATTGCCAACTCGATGTCCAGCTCACTGAAACTAGGCATCTTCAAGTCTCTATTGAACCCATGTCCGGAGTGAGTATCCTGTCAGCCAAACCGACTGTCTCGGACCGCTTTGATATGGAGCGCAATCCTGAAAGATCCTCTGTTGAGGACATAGTCTCCCGTGTTGCTCGAATTCGCTGCAATGCAGCCATAGAGGAAATAGAATCCAAGGTCAAAATGCTAGGATTCGAGCCACTCAATCCGAGGGCATGGAAACTTGACATTCGAAGGATCTTTCCACCAAATTTTCTACGCTTCACACTCTTTTCTCATCAGCTCTGGGGGCGAAGTTGGATCGTGGCAGCAACTAGCAGCATGGATGGCGATTCTTGGTGGGTCGTGCAACTTCGCCCAACGTTGCCTGCAAAGGGTCCTCCCATCCCTCATGCAAATGGCTATGGCCAGCCTATTCTCCGTTCCGCTCAGGTTGTCACAGATTCATTCTTCCCCGCACGCTATGATATTGACGATGCGTACCTCGCAAACCTTGGACACAGTCTTTCAGGAATTCTGGCTATCCAATCCAATGCACGCTACTTGTCGGACTTGCAGTCTATCAAGTTCCATCCTCCTCCGCATAAGTTAAAGATCGAACCCGATCTCCGGGTCCCAGACATCCTTGTCCGGTACGATGTATCGACCCTTCCCAGTGTCTTTAGGGTAGCCATGCCCGCAAAGGCAAAGAAGAAGAGTCTCATAAGAGATACCATTCGCCTTGCTTTCCATGGAGTTGATCCCCGTGAGAAGTGCGCCATCATGGTAGCTTATGGCAACTTAGTCGACTCTACGGCTACTCTATGTCCACTTATCTCGAGCTGGGATCGCTCACTAGTATTTCAAAAGGGAGGCACTGGCTTTGCGATGCGTTTGCTTGCACCTGCTGGTCACCCGGTCATCGTCAGCCTTCTTGAGAATCTTCAGAGGCTTGAGTGTGTGCTTTCAATTCTTGAAACACTGCAACGGAAGAAGGTAGAGATTCGGACCTTCTCTTTATCGAGTATATCCTTTATTTATGGTTCAGAGAGAGATCTTGCGGCTAGCCTCAATATACATCTGTCAAGGAACGAATCTCTCATGAAGCTCAGCCCTACCGACCTGGCATCTAGGCGCGAGTTCTTATTTGGTCTGCGTTTAGGCATACAGTTCGGTCTCCAAAACCCGCACCGCCGGATCCAGGAATCCCTTGCGTCCAGTCTGAACCGCTCTCCCACCGAGGCGGGACTTGAGACTGTTGTTGAACTTCTCACGCTTACACTTCCCCTTATGAGGGCTTTGGACCAGCTAATGGCCAATCCTTCACACAGCGGGCCTTTGAGACTGCACGTAACAGTGCGCAACGCTAAGACGTACCAACTTCACTACCCTGGGGACGAGGCTCGATTTCAATTGGTGGCTGCTTCGCACCAGAACCGGTTGGTTTGGGTACTCAAAGACGCGAACAGCCAAGGAAATAGTAAGAACGATGACAGTATCACAGCCAGACTCCGACAGACACTGTATACGTCGAAGGGCGATGGCTGGAAAGGACTTGAAACTGGAGTCGTGGCAGAAGTCGATCAAGTCGGAAACCTTCTACGAGAACTTGAGAAGTGCTTTGTCGCCTCTCGGGCTGATCGGGCTGATCCCAAACACAAGCCCACCGATTATGCCGCCAATCACACTGGATTGAACAATCCAGAAATATCGGCATTGGCAATCAAAAAAGGAACTACAGATGGTGCTAAACTTTCCCTCTCAGACTCGCTTACAACCCTGCCGAACGACAAAGGCAATCTATCCCAGGCAGACACGGCAGCGCAGAAAGAGGACATCATCATGATCGACTAAAACTCGCTTGTGACCACTGCCTGAACTAGTGCATCTCAGGCATAGAATTTTTCCACTTGAAACGTATTTGTTTTCTTGACCGTCATGTGCGTCTTGTACAGTGTCTACAGGTCGAGCTCTGTGATTTGGGGCTTCCCTATTATGCCAGCTGCCGCGGTAGCCGAACGCATGCATGCGATTCGGCAGGTGCTAATTGTGGTTAAATTCTAAGTCCTGTAAAGAATATAGCCTAATGAGGTGTGGAGGTATGCCTCAGGAGTCCGAGTGTTTAAAAAAGAAAATCGCTTCCATTCTGTCCTACAACAATACCCGTTCATTGCATGATGCGAATGTAATAGTTCATCGTACGTCAAAACAAAAATGTATATCTACATAACACCATGTCCCTAACCTCGCAAGAATTAAATATCTGTTTCTAGCACTTAGTGCATAAGTTCCGTTACGTACTTCCCAGCTACAAGCGTTCCTGCTGTATCCTGCCTCGATTCTTGATGGCATCATACTCAACCCACCGGACAAAGGATAGCTCGCCTTCCGGAACAAGCCTGCCAGTATTCATCACATGGCAGCCCTCATACGTTATACAAAACGGCGCGGCCTCTGGATCTGCTAGAATGATTGCAGTTGGCAACGGATACAGCTGTAAGGAGGAGACATAATCCCACAAAACGGGTCGCAAAGAAAGCGGGAAAGGCGACAAAGTGCCCTGGTCGAGAATCGATTTCACAAGCCTTCGAGCGAAAAGGGTTGTACTCGGGACTAGACTAGAGCTTATGCCTGTCTGTGGGCTATGGCTGTGAGGTTCGAGATGGTCGGTTTCCCCGGCAGAAGCGTGCGCGTCTTCAGCCATCGCGGTGTCGGCGCCATGTGAGAGGTTTACAGCGTTTCGTCTCAATCTGTTAGAAATATCGTCTCTGAATATCGCAATATCATGGACAGGCCCGAATAGGGTAAGGCGGGAAGGATTTGAAGTCCATATCGCTTCCCCAGGAGGCCCAGACGGCTGAGAGGAGTCCAACTGCGAGTTGGCAGTAGCAAATGCTCGTTTCACTCTAGTAGTGAATAATTCTGGAATCGAATGGCGTGGGATTGGGGAGGCGGCGCCAGCTGAGAAAGCCGACGGCCATGGATCATTGTCGCCCGGAACAAATACGAATGTCGAGTGCTGCAACAACGAAGGGAACTCCGACAGTATCAAGGAGAGAGCATCGAAATGTTCTTTGTACTCGATGCTGCCCGCCTGGCCACTGCTGTTTATGATGGCTTTTTGCACGAAGTTCCCCGTCAGGACAAATATGCTTGGACGCTCCTCCAAAGGCAAGTGGTGATAGACGCTGAAGACCTTCCTCAACGCATCTAAAGTCCTCATATCATCCAGATTAACCTCCCCCAAAGCAGCCACCTTTAACCGGCGGTCGCCTTCAGCGCTTCCGTGTACACCTCGTAGATAGCTGGCTTCAATATGCCTCATTCGCGGGCCCTGCGCACGTTCACTTCCAACTCCCAGGAAGTCAATCCATCCAAGCCCCCCACTGGAACTGACCTCTCTGCCACTTTGTTGGTTGTTCATCCCGAGAGATGTCTCCCGTCGCTCACAAGGAGGACCGCATATAGAAACGCCCACAAAAACTCCTCCAATGGCACCCCCGACCCCGGAATTGCCGCCTAGAGTAGACCCCCTAACATTTTCCTCTTCCTCATATATCCCATCAACGAGGACAAACATCCCTGGAGCGAGCCAGGCTCCGTCTTCAGGCACCATCCGCGCGTGTCTCAGATCCAAAGAAATACTCCCGGTTAAATCGCTCAAATTCAAGTCCCCCGTTGGGGACATTGAGAGTAAACCTAGAATAAGGTGTGATGTGCCATTTCTTCCGAGTAAATTCGCGATTGGTGTGAGCTTGTAGCCTTGGGTAACCGCTAAAGAAGATGATGATTTCCGCAAGATACGCGAGGGACCGGACGGTGATTGGAATGACTCATGCCGAAGCAGACGTTGATGGATAACATTGTAACGATCCCTAAACAGATTGGTCCTGTGAGAGGATGGAGGGAACAGAGTGGGCCTTGATCTTGCGACTTCGAAGTATCTCTTATCCGCATTATAGGTCAATCGCGGTATATCAAAAGCCTCGATAACCCTAACCCAATGTCTCGGGTGTGAGGGTACGTCAGAATTTTCTGCTGCACCTTCTCCTTCCAGCCCTGCCGCTGCATACAATTGCGGATCGGCCCTAGAGCGTCTGTTTCCTTGGCCTGGGCTTGTTGTTCTCGAAGGGACCTCATCTGGCGTGGCGTGCTTCCCAGAGATAACCCTTCCCCCACTCATATTGCTCTCTAAAGTCTGGAGGATGGCTTTCAGTGAGGCGCCTTTCCCTTCATCGACAATGACGCCACCGCCAGCTTTCTTCCAGGCTTTAGCCACTTCATCGAGTGCTCTTTCTGCGAGACCTTCTTCGCGCCATGCTGAGCCACAATTCTTCCCCACAAAGGTGGCTAGTGTTTGAAGCGCAGAGGAGGATATTGTTAGATTATGCTTGCGCGTGAAGGTACGGAAGGCCACAGGCCGAAGTGTCGAAGGAGGAAGCAGTATGGGAAGGACCGATGTCCTCGTTGGCAGCGCATTGGGTCTATTTTTTCGGAAAGGATAGGCGGGTGTTCCAAATCCGGGTGATGATGAGGGTACGGGGTCCGAGTCCATATTGAGAGGGCAGATCGTGAGTAACTTCGACGCCGGTATTGCAAATCCGCTCTTGGTCGAATGCGCGTCTAACGGCCGGATACCGTGCGGGGACAATGTCACGACAAGAAACCCTTAGAGTTCCTCGGAATAGATGTAGAGGGAATACTCAAGGAAATGGAGAGGGCGAGTAAAAAACTAAGTAAACTAAGTTCCGCTGTCAGTACAAGGTGGTCCTGCCAATACCGGTTGACTGATTAGCCATTACCTACCTAGATGAGGCATTGACGTACGGAGTAGATCAAGCAAGAACGCGTCGTGGTGGTGGTGATGGCGGCACGCGCGTCCCCCACGCGATTTGTTCCACTTTTGCGACAAACTACAAGGCCATTATCCTCGTTCTTTTCCATACTTATGCACTGATCATCACACCAGGCCTATCCTGATAAAAGGCACCATTAAATCCGCCAGCGCCCTTTCGTGACATTCTCTTCTCACCCTGATTCCCTCTTTAGCGCCTTCTCATCTTTTTCCCTGCCATTTGGAGGGATTTCCCTGTCGGGTTGGTTCTTGGTTCATTCCTCGTCCATTATATTACCATCAGCCACACAAATTCATAATGGAACCAAGTACATCCCTGAATGACGATAGTACGAAGACTCAACCATCCTTGGACGACCTTATCAAGCAAGCTGCCGCCAAAGATGCCATCAAGGATTACAACGCCGCTGCAGAGCTGTACTCTGAGGCCACGGAACTTCAAGCAGAGCTTAACGGAGAATTAGCGCTCGAAAATGCAGACTTACTATTCGCTTACGGAAAAGCCCTCTACAACGTTGCCGTCAGCAAGAGCGATGTGCTTGGGTCCAAGGTAGCTGGAGAATCACAGCCGAGCAGCACGTCTATTGAGAGGCCATCCGCTGCGGCAACAGCCACAACCGCAGGCATCGTTGAGAAAGCTGTAGCCCAGAGCCCACCCGAGAGATCCTCAGGAGCCCAGAAGACAAATACTGGTGATGTTCCAGCTAAGCCGTACTTCCAATTTACTGGTGACGAAAACTTTGACGACTCGGATTCGGAAGACGAGGCCGACGGCGAGGAAGCTGCGGCCGATGACGAAGACGACTTTGCCAATGCCTTTGAAGTTCTTGACTTGGCACGTGTACTATACCACAAAAAGATGACTACGATAGAGGAAGGAATTGGCAAAGGGAAATCCGCAGGTTTACCTCCAGATCTCAAACACGTCAAGGAACGTCTCGCGGATACCTACGATTTACAAGCCGAGATCTCACTGGAGGCAGAAAGGTTCAAAGACGCGGTGACGGACTTGAGGACGTCTCTAGAATTAAGGCAGTCTCTGTTTCCGATGGAGGATCCTTCTGTTGCAGAATGTCACTACAAGCTTTCCCTTGCTCTAGAATTTGGCTCCGTCAAGAATGAGAATGACAACTCCCAAGAGGACACCAGCCCCAAAGAGCCGGTCGACGAGGAAATGAGGAAAGAGGCCGCAGCTCAAATGGAAAAGGCTATTGAAAGTTGCCGTCTAAGGATGGATCAAGAACAGAAGAAGTTGGTCGACGATAGTTCGTTGGATGAGGACAGGGTGACCGCTATGAAGAGAAGAATAGCAAATGTCAAAGACATTATAGCTGACATGGAGCAAAGGGTAAGCAACGACCTTCTTTCCAAATCTCTTTAACGCGATCCCTTCCTACTATGTTTGCTTCGGCTACAGTTACTGAGAACGTTGACAGCTCGTCGATCTTCGACACCCGCCAGTATCTGCTATCGAGAATAGCGATGCAGACAACACGGTGCTGAAGGGTATTTTGGGTCAGATTATGGGGCATTCCCCTTCGGAGCAAAAGGCTCATCTCGATGCTGTCACGAGAGAAGCAAATGACCTTTCTGCGTTCATTAAAAGAAAACCTGCGAGCAACAAGCCACCACAGAAGAGTGACACTGTAGCAAAACGATCGGCTCCGGAAGATGGCGCGGGAGGCGATACAAAGAGAGCACGAGCAGGCGATGAACTTGAATGAACCTGGGTATACTGATCGCCAGAGGCATCAACGTGGCTGGTCGGGTGCTCTGTCTATCAACCCTTTGCGGCAGCTAGCACTCACGTGAGAAAATGATCATTCATGCTGGCATTTACCCAAAGGATTAGAGCAATAATTCTGATATGATACCCAATGAAGCGAGGTTGAAGAGATATCTACGCATTATACAGCAGTAGCCACCAATTTGTCTGTGAAATCTATTGTGATACCACATATTATAAACATTACCGATGAATGTAACTCCCAACATATTCATAAAGAAGGAAAGGTGAAAAGATTAAGGAATTAGAGCCGTCTGGTGCACAAGGCAAGGCGGTTTCATATAAACAACGCTACCTTGCCCATTCTGAACTCAATCCGAAGATGCGGGCCGTTGAGTGATATTTCATCGAACATGATCTCATGAAGTTTCATTAGACGCAAGAGCATAAAACATTATCACAGGGCTGTGATTCCGAATAGAGAAGATCGGCGTTCAGGCAGTTTGCGATTTCTTCGGCGTACGGCCAACCCAGGGGTCCAGATTCCAGAGAATAAGTCCTCGCATTCATCTTCGTTCTGGCTATCAAATTCTATACTGTTAGGAGGTTGGCCATGTCCAACCTCAGTAGAACCGGGATATGCGGGCAGTAATGTTGATTCAACAACGTCGGATGATTCCCAAAAAGAAGATATCATAACCCTTTCGGTCTCCAAGATGAACTTGCCGATTTTGTAACGTTGTGACTCTTCTTCGGCAGCGATATATTTCCAGCCGAGCACATTTCCGCAAACGGAACAGTTAATGTCGCCTACTGTGTGCGCACCAGTGACCAGTCTCCGTGGCACGGGCTGCTGTATCACCGTGTTTAAAAGTGTATCAGTAGGTGAAGCTTTTCGGGCGAGCGAAGGCTCGCCGGACACAAGATAGGCACGGCCGTAGCGACCCGTGAACCCTTTGCTGATTATCTGCGACGTCAGGCATATATCTGCTGCACAGCATGAACAGCGGATACATGAGATATGGCCCTCCAGATAATTGGCATCACTTGGCTTCACAGATTGTCCGGGTCCTGCTTCCGAAGATGACACCCTGGACCTCACGCTTCGCTGTTTATCACGGAAGAAAGATGGCCGGAGCAAGAATTTAGGAAACATAGAGCCTTGTATATGGGATCTGCCCTGCGAAGTACGTGGGTAGGCGTGCACGCGTAACAACAAAACGGCGAGAGCATTAAAGAATTAATTACGGGATGTTGCGAGTTGTTGTCATAATTCCGGTTGCCTCTGGATCAGAGGAAGAGGCATTTGTATAGTGAGGTATCTGGAAATGGGTAGGTATCATACTGAGGTCATCACCCACTCCTTGGCGATCTAGCGCCCGGAATGAGTTTTAATATGATCATCTGACAATCAGTGATTACGAATACCTACTGATGTGCTACCTACAAAAGTGAAGCCATTTTCGGCCATACTAGCGAATGGAAGCATAAGTCGATCTCAATACAGGTATAATAATCATTTAAGTCGATTTCGTTCTCAAAAAACTGAACTACCTGTTTGGTTGCCGACAGCTAAACCTCCGCATCCAAGAAAAGCCATTTAGTGCTAAGCGAGCGTTCGACGTCTCTTGCAGCACCCCACGGTTGCAATGTAGTCAAACTGAATCCGCACCAACCGAGGTTCCTTACAGCTTCTAGTTCAACTGCATCGTGCGAACGAGGTACACATGCCACAATTCGGGGACACCCAAAAGCAGATATATTAGCAAGTTCAAATAGGGCAATCAACCTTTCGGGAACAAATATGACAGTATGTTAGTAATATCCACGGGTTTATACCTCGTCTACAATCAGACGAGAACATTAGTGCACATACCCTGTTTTCAGACCGTGACCGAGTGCTTTCTCTGCAAGGAAAACAAATAAAGTCGGTTCGCCGCTCGCATTGGTTACAAATCCTCGATGTATAGTGTCGCTGGTGTAATCCAACAGCTCAAACCACTGTTCAATCGGCATATTATTGTTCGGCCGGCTTTGAGACGCACCTACCCCAAGTGACTCTTGTCCAGCGGATCTCCTCTCACCAAGGAAGATCGCAGACAATATGTCACAGAAGAGCCTCTCACACTCTTCCGGGATAGTATGCATTGCCTCCCCTTTATATTCCGGTAATATATTACCCGGCCAACTAGTCCCCATGCCTGGAGCGATGGAGAGTCCAAAGGGAGGACTTGGAGACGCCTTTGACCCCGAAGGGACCTCAGGGATACCACTGTGTTCCTAGGAAGATGGTGACAAGTTAGCACGTAGTTAGGAAGGTTAGACCATAACGGTCGATTGCATAAAAGGACATCGTACCGGCCCCCGCGGTAGCGCAGTAGTGGAAACTATCGATCACGGAAGTGGAGGACTTGACGCTGTAACAACTGGCAAGCACGCTAGCCTTGGGATGCATGTCGAGTGTACACTGCAGCTGATTTCGGATACTACTGTTGTGATTCCAGGACTTGGCCATGATGATGGATCTTTTAGGTTGAAGATTAGGGGTGCTATCTCTCGGAACAGGTGAGCGCTGCTTGAAAATACGTATAAAATCTTGGGTCCACTAAATATCTTGTGGAAACCTTCTTTGACAGTCGCGATAGTGTAAGGATGTAATGACGAGGGGCCGGTATAGAGATGTGGTGTCGCTTGAAGATGTACTAGAAATTGGTTGGTAACTAGGGATGGGATAAACTGGGGTGGTCTGCCGTGAATTCCTGAGACTAGGTAGTTACCACGGAGTACTAAACTGACATGTGGGGCTCCCATTAGTCAGGCCGAACATACTGCATGGTGTAGTACGGAGTACTCTGTAGCTTACTACTTTGTATTTGACCGACTAGTGAATTTACTCTTGTCATCTGATAAGACGCCTAAGGCAATTCGGTGTAGGTAATTATGAATAGTTGTACGTCTATGCTGCTCATATAGACGTAGCTTTCCATAGGAAATAGCATTTGAGAGAAGTAGACTATATAGAACCTCTCAAAACCCTCGGATGCTTATGCGTGTAGATAGCGACGGATAACTTTACCCACGGATGATCATATACTCAAGGGTATCCAAAGGCCTCCCAAACATTGTAATGCATTGGATTTTGAATGTCGTCTGATTAAGGCCCTGGTTTAGTGGCCGACATATCTCAATTCCACGAAGGCGATTCCTATATACGGATACCTAATGGCGGAGCCGCTTTGGACTCAGGCAGGCCTCATGAAGATTTTTATCTACAACCACTTTGCACCTACTGAACGCATCAGTAGTAGCTGGACTTTTTATTAGGCATATTGTTTATGTGGCGCTAATATTACATTGTGTACATTGAATTGCACCTTCAAATAACAACCCCGTTAGAGCCGGAACCACCTCCTTTCAACTCCCACAATGTGCAAAATTCAAAGGGGCAAGGCCTGCAACATGCACATGCCCGCAAGACAAATGAATCAAAGAGCAGCTGTGAACGCCGATGAACATCAGGGATGAAAAAGAACAGAAAAGGGTGGGGTGAAAAGCAAGATATATCGGGAGAAGAAGGACCTGAGACCTAACAACCGCGGGCATGTTGAAGTGACTTCCATCTACACCAATTTAGAGTTCTCGATAGTCACTTGGCCGTATCCTCCTGTGTCTCGCTTGGTGCCGTTGTGGGTTAACAGGTTGCCGGAAATAAGCCGTGTCTTCTTCCCTGGCAAATGGCGTACTGAACGTCGTTCTCTGTTGATTTGAAAATCGACCTATTCCGGGACCTTGCGCAAGACCGGAATTTGGTTGAAGTCCCATCATTTGGGGCATGTGGAACATATTCATAGATGGCTCTCCGACGCCGTTGTAAAGGTTCGGTGTGGCATAACTGTTCACATTATCGCCATACATTCCTGGGGCAGGATTAAAATTCATAGCATTCATGGGATTCCACGACTGATCCATATTAGGTGGAAAGCCACCAGACGAAGGAACACCCATAGCGTTCATAGGATCAGACAATGGCATCGCAGGCATACCCTGGTTCGGCATGAATCCAAAACTCCCGAACGGCATCTGCTGGCCGAATGGAAAAGCTGGAAACCCGGTCACAGGCCCAGTAGCCTGTGGAGTTTGTGAATCGGCCTTGTCGTTTGTCTTCAATTTCTTGGACAATGAACTAGGGCTTGATCCACCAACAGCGGTACGCGGAGTTTCATCCTCTGCAGGTCTTTTGTTAGAAGCAGGTTGACTAGGCGGAATTGGTGGCAAGGACTCCGTTGTTGCAACAGGCCCTTTGCCTTGAATGGCTGTTTTGTCAATGCCCGGACCAATGTCATTTGCCTGTTGCTTGTCCTTCTCTTTCTTCGAATCAGCCTTTTCAGCTTCGTACTCTTTAATCTTGCTAATAGCCTCGTCATCAACGGCAAGGTTATCGAGTAACACTCCCTCCGTTCCACAGCCAGGGCATACAAAATCGCTCTCGATCAATGCATTGGTAATACAATCATTGCAGTATGTTCTTTGACAGCATGGAGTTCTCGTGGGCTCTAAAAACATTCGCTTGTCAATCGGACACTCTAAACCACGTGCTTGCAGTTCTTTGCTGTACTCTGCTGCTGCCGCTTCTGCCGCGGCTGCTGCGGAGGCTTTGGCTTTCTCCTGGTATAATTCCCAAGCTGCCTTGTCAGGCTTGGCTATGACAAAATCGCCATCGGCATTGACCATGACACCTGTGTTCCTTGGATCCTCGTTTGAGCCGTCCAGGGTGAGGGATTCCGGCTTCTCAACCTTGGTTTGTAACGAACGAGGTATACCAGTTGATCGTTTAACTCTATATTTCCCATCAAATTTTGGGTCATTATTTGTGGGGCAAGCTTGAATCCAGTGTCCTAGACATACACCGTTAGTTTTCGCTTTCAGTAAGTTATGCCAAAGCAGCTTGCCTTTCTCGCGACAGCGGTAACATAGGTAGCCGGGGGGAGGGGGGTGATCAGGAACATTCACAGGCCTGCCCCTTCCACGGCCGAATGGAACAGGGGTAGCGCTATACGGGAGATAGATTGTCAATACCAGAAGAGGGGAGAGAAAAAAGTCTCACTACGCATAGACACACTTACTTTGCCATTTCCTGCTGCTGTTCTTTCCATTGGTTTGCTTGCAAATTGAAGAGTGCATTGATCTTCTCTTCCTCCGTCTGGGCATTGTTGAGCTCTAGAACACCGTTGCTAGTATTGGGAGATGCCCGAGTCAAGGGATATTGTTCATTACGGGGGGCACTGCGCGCATTGACTGGCATTTTCCCGGAAACATAACGAGCAGCACCACCCTTACCCGGGCGTGATGCAGGTAATCTCCGAGCTATGACGGACGTAGAACGCGGTATTATGCTGGTGTCATCATCGTATTCTGTCCCAAAAAACAAACGGTCAGTCCGTAAGGATCTTTTCTCTTAACTTCGACCACGAACCTGCTCCCACTCTGCCAGACGGGATTTTGGGAGAAAGGAAGGGAATTTGGGGGGGACCCAAAGTTGAATATGAACGGTAAAACCAGGGCAATCAATTTCCAGAAGCTACTAACCTTCTCCAGTATCTTCATTGTAGATAGACAGCTCGAAGTCAGTCCCGTCACCCAGTCTACTCTGATTGATAATTTCTCTTTTCAATTCGAAGACAGAGATACCGGTGCCATCAAAAGTCACCCTTGAAGGCTCCTTTTGAGACTTGAACTTGAAGTGAACAGAGGATGACATTGTATTCAATTGCACGTCAATGATGGTGTTGCGAATGTAATTAGATCAATAGAGGGGTGCCACTTTCACAAGAGATACACGAGAACAAAGGCAGACAAATGATAACAAGCAACAATCGGAACGGTTGGCAAATTGCAGATGACAGTTATGACGTATAACCTCACTCGTCTCAAATGCTTAGAGATCGAAAACCCAGTATCTATCGAGGGCTTTGCTCGAACTCAGTAGATTGAAGAAGCGTCTTGAGTGCTGCACGGCCAGTGTTCGAATCACTGCATACAAACAAGGTGTAAAGTCTGGTGAATACAGAGACTAAGCCAACTAGTCTGCAGTAAGATGATGTGAGTTATAAAGCTCTGCGGGCCTTGCCAGTATGTCAAGCAATATCAAAGACACCGCGATCCATCTAATTCGCGCTTGCGACCGAGCTCAAAGGATATGATTTCACGTAGTCGTTGAGAACAGCCTTGACGCACTTCAACAGCTTTGGGGCAATCAAGGCATTAGATAGTATATACGACCAAAGCGGACAAGACTTAGGGAGGCAAAGACGCAAAGAAGGAAAAGGGCCTTGAAAGAGAAATATGCCCGCAGGCTTGGGTGCGGGAGACAACGGCGTCAAAGCTGAATTAATCAGTATAACTTTCAAAGGGAAAAGACCAATATATGACGAGAGAAAGCAACTCGACAGAAACAAGGCAATCTTAAACGATCAGTGCATTCTCTAGGACATGGCAAGGGTATGATCAAAGCCTGGGGAGCGGTTCGGGAACAGTCTTCGTGGTGGCGAGCTAGCGCACTTGGTCACGTGGTTTCACGCCAGATGTGGAAAGTATAGAGTACTACGGAGGAGGTTGCTTGCTTAGATACTTTAACTTTCCCAAATCATGGTACTGACTTTATCTTCTGGTACGTGCTTTTGTTGGCCAGGAAGCAAAGGTAAACGTGTGTATTGCAAATTGCCCAAGAGTAATAGCTGTAACAAGAAGCGTTGCCGAACGAAAACGCGCTAAAAGTCCATGGGCCTGCAATGTAGTTAAGTATTTGGCGTTCACCACTTTCTTTTTGGGCTACAGAGAAACATGGCATTCCGCGTATAGATAGGTGCCAGAATAAGGCTTCCTACGTACCCAAATACGTACTGGATAACACGGGAGCCTCAACTTCATTAGGCTTTAAAGAAAAGCGTGCACTTTCCTATTACTTCCCTACAGATCAGTGAATACAGCCTTGCATGCATCGAAATGATGAAAGTGTTCAAATAATTACTTGCAATACTGGATAATGAATACTTAGGTGATCGCCGAGAGCTCCACGGGGGTGCATAGCACGGGCTTGAATGAAATCATTACTGACACTGCAATTTGCCCCTTTCTTGAGAGAAAATCATACCAGTTGGCTACTTGAGCCGCTACTTTCCCAAGCATATATTGCCTTGGTTCGCAACTTGATCGAAATTCAGTGAGCGAAAGTGGGGGTGTGAGCGGGTAATTATCTATGTGTGTATCAATCCGTTTATATGTTACAGGTTCTTGTTCCTGGCACCCCGTACCTGGTGCCTAGATGTACATGTGAAAATTTCCCTACGTATTCAATTGGCCCAGCTCAATCCGACCTTTGCATGCCCTTCTCTCCAACCCAGGATCCACCCCCTCTCCCAACCTCAGGGGCGCGCACATATCCATTCTTACTGGCTTTCAACTTTACACTGGTTTTACCAGGCAGGTAATCATGTTAATAGGCCTATGCGGAGGTTAGCATCTTGCCAAGCAGCGTGCCTTGGAGTCTTCAGTATATGCTAATAGTATGCGGCAAAGCCATATGTTCTGGGAAGCATGCCGTCGCAGATTATTTAATCCAGAAGGAAGGTTTCCGGCTTCTCAAATTGAAAGATGTTGACTCCCCTCGGGTAACTGATGGAGCCGACGGTGATCGCCAATTACAGGCGCTGGAGTCTGCAGAGGATGACAGTAGTCCACCACCGCACCTTATATTTGAGGACTCTAAGGCCCTCTTAGACTTCGTAACCAAACGATGGCAAGAACATTGGGTTACAACGGACATCTGGGATGTTACTATCTTAGATCGTTTCTTTCAACGCCCATTCTTCCTTCTAGTTAGCGTTGATGCGCCGGTGAGCTTGAGATGGAAGCGACTTGTGGACAGGTCTGGATCCCTGATAACCTTACGAGCATCGTAGCTAAGCTAACACACTATCTGTAGATGCCGAAACAGGCTGGTCGAACCCCCGTCTTTGGAGAAATTTGTATTATGGAACGACAGACATCTCTACGACAAAGATGTTGGACGCGCATATCTCACTGATCGGGCACAAGTACGACTGTTTAATTCCTCTTCGTCATTCGATGAACTGCATGCGGCTCTCAAGGCTCTCAATCTTGCCGACGAGCAGCGCTTACGGCCCAATTGGGATCAGTACTTTATGGAGCTGGCATCTTTAGCCGCTCAGCGAAGTAACTGCATGAAGCGAAGGGTGGGCTGCGTGCTTGTCCGTGATCGTCGTGTCATAAGTACAGGGTATAATGGGACCCCAAGGCACATTAGAAATTGCAATGAGGGCGGCTGTATGAAACCTTTAAAGATTGCATATTGTTCTGTTGATTGAATGTTTAGACACTTACTACGGCTAGGTCCAAGGTGCAACCGTGGTGAGGGTGGAGGTGTAGGTTTATCAACTTGCCTCTGCCTTCATGCCGAAGAGAATGCGTTGTTGGAAGCCGGAAGAGAGCGCATACGAGAGGGTGCAATACTCTATTGTGACACGTACGTCAATCCCCGAACGTCTGGAGATGCACGGCACATTGCTCAAACCGATCAGGTGCCCTTGCTTGACATGTACCGTCAAAATTACACAAGTTGGGATAACGGAAGTCGTATACTCGCAAGGGTATAATATGGATAACGATGTATGCTCTGTGCTGCCCTCACTTTGTCATTTCGCTGACCATAGAAGAGCGCTGCGATTCTGAATGCGGCCGGGGTAAAACTTAGGCAATTCTCTCCGGTACGGGCACTCCCTCAGCAATTCATCAGTCATCGCTAATATGTTGTTGACAGCCTCGAAAAGGGCTCATTTATCTTGAGAGTTCCGGGCATACTTAAGTAGGTTGGTACAACCTTGATATGGGTGCTACTCGGATCAGTAGATTTAGGTTTGGAATATCTGTACAGATTGCATACTCCTAGGTCATGGGACTAAAGAACTTCGGAGATAAGCTGTATATGAGTGTATTTTAGCTCATAATTTAGGCTCTATCCGCTCTAGCACATGTCCATCTGCAGTACTAAGACGCTATGCAGTATATAGATGTATATTGCCGGCTATGTCTGCGGCCGGCTCCTATAGAGTTCGGGTGTTTCTGCTCACTTCTATCGCGGTGCTGCCAGCGACGCAGCAGCGAAATTGTTGGGCTTAACACAAGGCTATCTTTCGGTTAGCTGTTTACGTACTGTAGTCACCTGCAGTTGTATTGTGTGACTTGAAAACACGGACGATGCTCCCGTGCTGTGCATGTCATGGTGGAACGAAATGTTGTAAGTTAAATGGTGGCTGCTCAGAGGTAAGGCGCCAACTGGGCTCAGGAGGAAGGAAATATTAGTATCTGCTTACAGGTAGGGAAACATGCGGCGTGGGGAGGGGGGATATAGATACGTAGTAATCAATGCTTTCAATGCTCATGGCAAAGGCGGTCAAGGTTTTATTGGGTCCCGCTGTCCAATTGACCAGCAATAAAATGCATTAATCGGTACCAAAGGCGGAACATACGGATCGGGGTTTAGGGAGTGAAAGAGAAATGAGCTAGGGATTACAGTCAGACTACAAAAATACCTTTAAAGAGGTAAATTTTGGAAGGGCAAGAAAGCTTTATAGGAAGCAAGAAAGAGCAAGATGGAGTTTAGGAGTAATGAATATACACATCGTTATGGAGAGAGAGCAATATCATAACTGGAGATATACTTACCTACTGAATTAACGTAACTAACTAAAAGTGGGTTGTTGCGAATGACTCAGCTCGGCATGGCCAGCCATGGTGGGGTGAAGAAGAATAATCGTCCCAAGTCAAATTGCGACTTTTTCTATTCTCAAGACTTTATTTTCGAAGACCTACTGCTGGGAGTGGCCGCAAAAAGACTGGCCTTCAAACCAGCGGAGACCTATACCCCTGTTCAACATTTCCAGAGCATTTTTGCACAAGACATTGGTAGAACACATGCCACAATGCCTACGGTACATCTGCTAGATTACGTCGCCGGAAATGTCCGCTCCCTGGTCAATGCGATCAACAAAGTCGGCTATGAGGTGGAATGGATTAAGTCTCCAAGTGATCTGAAGAATGCAGAGGTAAAACAAAGTGATATTACAAACCACACAATGTTGCGCTAACTGTTTAACAGAAGCTCATCCTACCAGGTGTCGGTCATTTCGGCCATTGCTTATCTCAACTTTCAGAGGGAGGCTACTTGGATCCGATCAGGCAACACATAGCTTCCGGGAAGCCATTCATGGGAATTTGTGTTGGTCTACAATCACTTTTTGAAGGGTCTGAGGAGGACTCAGATGTTCCGGGGCTGGGATTGATTCCGATGCGGATGCAGAAATTCAATCCCGACACTAAGAGTGTACCCCACATAGGCTGGAACTCTGCTATAGACACCAAAATTGGGTCTGCGGATAGTCAGAGCTTCTACGGATTAGTCCCAAGCAGCAAATACTACTACGTCCACTCCTACGCAGCTCTCTACACCCCAGGGCTCCTTGAGAAGGATGGCTGGTCAGTCGCCACAGCTACTTACGGCGAAGAAGAATTTGTCGGTGCTATTGCACGAGAGAATGTCTTCGCGACTCAGTTCCACCCGGAGAAAAGTGGCCAGGCTGGATTACGGACTATTAGCGCCTTCCTAAATGGTGATCGCTTTCAAATGCTTACCCCGCAAGCGTCGCTCTCCTTGGACAAAAAAGATGGGCTGACACGTAGAATCATTGCCTGTCTTGATGTTCGCACCAATGATTCTGGTGATCTCGTCGTCACGAAAGGGGACCAGTATGATGTTCGTGAAAAGGACGGGGTAGATACAGGAGGCCAAGTCAGAAACTTAGGGAAGCCCGTGGACATGGCCAAGAAGTACTACGAACAAGGGGCTGATGAGGTGACGTTCTTGAACATCACTTCCTTCAGAAACTGTCCTGTTGCAGATGCTCCCATGCTGGAAATCCTCAGGAGGACCTCAGAAACTGTCTTCGTACCGCTGACTATCGGGGGCGGTATCAAGGACACTATTGACACAGATGGCACTCACGTCTCAGCCCTTGATGTTGCGACAATGTATTTCAAGTCTGGTGCCGATAAAGTCAGCATCGGTTCGGATGCTGTTATCGCAGCAGAGGAGTATTATGAAGGGGGCGAAAAGCTGACTGGCAAGACGGCTATAGAATCTATATCAAAAGCATATGGTAACCAGGCTGTGGTCGTGAGTGTGGATCCTAAACGTGTCTATGTGGACGGGCCAGAAGATACCAACCATCATACAATCCGGACAAAGTACCCGAATGCTGCTGGCCAGACGTTTTGCTGGTACCAATGCACTATCAAGGGTGGCAGAGAGTCTCGAGACCTCGACGTCCGGCAACTAGCGAAGGCGGTTGAAGCAATGGGTGCTGGTGAACTCTTGCTAAATTGCATCGACAAGGACGGAAGCAACAGCGGATTTGATCTGGAATTGATCAGTGATGTGAAAGCCGCCATTAAGATACCAGTGATTGCCTCCAGCGGTGCTGGAAACCCCGAACATTTTGCAGAAGTCTTCCAAAATACTACGACTGATGCCGCCCTAGGCGCTGGCATGGTAAGTAATAATTTCGTTCAAACCGGTCGAGAACCCGTTTAGTTGGCTAATTTCTTATCTAAACTTTCACAGTTCCACCGAGGTGAATATACTGTCAGCGATGTCAAACGTCACTTGGACAATGGAGGATTTCTCGTCCGCAGGCCTGAAGTGGGCAATTAAAGCTATGCTTCTGACCGATCGTGAGATTTTTGACCACATTATTCCTCATGGAGCACGAATCAGCCTGCAAGTTATACAAGCACGCTCTGTTTTCTTTAAACTGACATACTTGGTTAACCGAAGCGAGCTTGCGTGTGATGGGAGACCTACTCTATCCGTATTCTGAACTCTCCGCTTAACTGACTTTACCTGCACATGTACACGGCATCTACGAGTGGGTGGATATACTATTATTGATTCTGTTATCTCGCTTGGCTAGCAGTTTTTTTTGCAAATGTCTTTACACCAACAGAGGAGGGAACTTTGCGGCCTTGCGTCACAAGGCTCACATCCGCTAGTCCTCATACGGGTCTCTGTAAATATGCATTTATCCTTCCACACCTCATCTGTGAGGCTTTTATAATGAAATTACTTCAATACAGCCACTGGTCAGAACGTTCATAAGCATCTTATGACGTAATCAGCGAAAGTCAGAGACGTGTCAACATTCTAACAATATCGCAAAAGCGAGTCTCATATGAAGCTTACACATAGTCATGATGTTATTGTATTGGGAATATTTATAGCCAGAGGTGGTTTGCATGCTAATCTACCTTAGACGTGAGTCGGGGTTAATACCGTTGAGGTCCCGGCAGCGCAATCTAGCAGGACCACTGCGTAGCGACACGTATCTATACAATGCAGTAGTAAGGAACACTGTAACCTGTACCTACTGCTCAAGTGATAAGTTATTTCTATCTTTTACATACCAAGTACTAGCGGAGTGCACCACGCAATATCAAATACGACACGTCGTACCAAGGCTAGGTCGTATCTTGATCCAGAGGGTGGGGTAACCAAGTTACTAATGATTCTATGCCCTGTGACTTCTTGCCCCACCACAGATAACGGATCACCCCCTCTTCCCCAGCAGACGCGCTTAGGGTCCCCTCACCCCTACGGTATTTCGAGTATATAGTGAAAGCACAAGAATCGTGCGGACGCTGTTCTAGACCGCTACACTCACAAGATCAGTTCACTCAGCGTGGAATATGGTCCTACTCAAATAGCTCCTCTACACCCGAGGAACGCACCGACATCTCAACCCAGTTGTAAGAGGAGATGAGCTCAATCATGCGCTACACTCCGTTCGCTTCCGATATAGAGTTCCCGTTTTATACGGCTTTATCATCACTCAAGATCAATCACGACAAGCTTGACGATGCTGCCCGTAAAGTGCTAGGTCTCTATGAAGTTCGACCTACAGACCTCCCTAATGCCTCCTGTCGAATGCAGATACATGGGAACGCCCTAACAAGCGATGAGTGAGTTATGATCTACTGCGGGCTTGGATGTTTACGAGCAATGATATACTGACAAGCCGCTTGGTCACCAGAACACCGGCTGGGTTTTATCGAGCTGAAGGATTGATCAAGAATGTCAATACACTTGAAGAGTACTCAAACATCGATAAGGCACATATTCTTCAGCAGTCCGCGAAAACGGTTGGGCACACACTTATGGGCTAATCAGAGTTATGCTGACTTGTAGACATACTAGATCTGGGATGCTATATGCGACGGCACTATCTATTCGTGCCCCTCTTTGCTTGCGTCATTTTTCATCTTGTCGTACGCGGATCTAAAGAAATACAAATTTCACTATTGGTTCGCATTTCCGGCGCTGCACTCGAGCCCTTCCTGGGCCCTTCTTGAGAAGACCGAGGAAGCTGGTAACTCCGGTCAGACTAGAGAAGCTGTGTCACCAGCTGGAGGTCTAAAAGATGCTGAAATATCAAATCTCGTGGAAACAATCAAGACATGGAGCTACAGTGTAGAAGACCGCCAGCGAGGGTTTTTCTTAGCCAGGAGAGTTCATGGTGCCAGCAATGGAACAATAGTTGAAAGCAACTCAGGGATCACCGACAATGTTACGGAATCATCAAATCACGATGGCCCACGGTGGAGGATTGCTCCTCTCCTAGCCTACGAGGATGGCTTCTTCAAAGAAGCCAGGTTTGAAGACTGCTTCGTCTGTTTCGCTGATCCTTCAAATTACGAGGATGCACCCGGCTGG